TTGTGCCAACATGCACGGTATATCAAACGAAAGGGGACATTTTTCTCTAATTTCGAATTAAGTCTTATTGAATTCTACCCGGCAGATTTTTAGAAAATCAGGTGTTTCTATTTCCGACCCCAATTAATTAACACTGGCTTCATATCGATAGGAGCGCGGCCCACTCCCTATCGATACGCCTCTCGCCAGAAAATATTTATATTGACAATTTGAACAATTGTGTTAATTATGAATGCCCAATAAGCGACCTTGTCATTCTAAGCAATTGGGTAGGTGTTTTATCAAAATCCGTACAGTCTGTGTTGCCAGACCGTCGACGATTACACTTGTCGATCAGCCAGGGCTGCTGGAGCATATGAATACAATTGGATCTTAAAAACTAATTTTCTTAACAACTACTGGCCTAAACGTTTGGATATTTTTACCAAAATTTATGCAGAATTTTCGCTGTGACTTAGTGTACAGTGTTTGTTGGTACAAGCAAAAAAAAACACTACTTGTACCTAAATAATAATCGGAAAAACAAGAAAAATTGATTTTCTGCTAAACGACTGAACGGATTTTAATGAAATATGGATTAAAATGTTTAGAAAAACGATGTCGTTTATGAAACAATCTTTCCTTTGCAAAAGTCGTACCCTAAAGATAAAATCAAATTTAATTATATATAGGCAGCCAGGGCTGCCGTATACATATATTATTCGCTTGGTACATATATGTAAATAATAGAAAAAGGGGGTTTTCTCCTGAACGACTGAACGGAATTTGATAAAACACCTACCCAATTGCTTAGAATGACAAGGTCGCTTATTGGGCATTCATAATTAACACAATTGTTCAAATTGTCAATATAAATATTTTCTGGCGAGAGGCGTATCGATAGGGAGTGGGCCGCGCTCCTATCGATATGAAGCCAGTGTTAATTAATTGGGGTCAGAAATATAAACACCTGATTTTCTAAAAATCTGCCGGGTAGAATTCAATAAGATTTAATTCGAAATTAGAGAAAAATGTCCCCTTTCGTTTGATATACCGTGCATGTTGGCACAAATTCGTTGAGGACTGCAAAATATTTTTAAAAGTTAGCGTCGAAAATATCGTATGGGGCATCCACGTGGTGAGAGGGACGACATGAGCCAGTGTTAATTAATCGGGGTCAGAAATATAAACACCTGATTTTCTAAAAATCTGCCGGGTAGAATTCAATAAGACTTAATTCGAAATTAGAGAAAAATGTCCCCTTTCGTTTGATATACCGTGCATGTTGGCACAAATTCGTTGAGGACTGCTAAATATTTTTAAAAGTTAGCGTCGAAAATAACGTATGGGGCGCGCCACGTGGTGAGAAGGTCGATATGCGCCAGTGTTAATTAATTGGGGTCGGAAATAGAAACACCTGATTTTCTAAAAATCTGCCGGGTAGAATTCAATAAGACTTAATTCGAAATTAGAGAAAAATGTCCCCTTTCGTTTGATATACCGTGCATGTTGGCACAAATTCGTTGAGGACTGCAAAATATTTTTAAAAGTTAGCGTCGAAAATAACGTATGGGGCGCGCCACGTGGTGAGAAGGTCGATATGCGCCAGTGTTAATTAATTGGGGTCGGAAATAGAAACACCTGATTTTCTAAAAATCTGCCGGGTAGAATTCAATAAGACTTAATTCGAAATTAGAGAAAAATGTCCCCTTTCGTTTGATATACCGTGCATGTTGGCACAAATTCGTTGAACATTGCAAAATTATTTTTTCAAATTTAGCGCCGAACTTAGATGGTGTTAGTTACCAGGGGTGCATAGTAATACCGTCTAGGTAATTACAACAATAATTAAAATTCGAGGAATAGCTAATTTCTCCCAAAAGACTGAACGGAATTTGATAAAACACCTACCCAATTGCTTAGAATGACAAGGTCGTTTATTGGGCATTCATAATTAATACAATTGTTCAAATTGTCAATATAAATATTTTCTGGCGGGAGGCGTATCGATAGGGAGTGGGACGCGCTCCTATCGATATGCGCCAGTGTTAATTAATTGGGGTCAGAAATATAAACACCTGATTTTCTCAAAATCTGCCGGGTAGAATTCAATAAGGCTTAATTCGAAATTAGAGAAAAATGTCCCCTTTCGTTTGATATACCGTGCATGTTGGCACAAATTCGTTGAGGACTGCAAAATATTTTTAAAAGTTAGCGTCGAAAATATCGTATGGGGCATCCACGTGGTGAGAGGGACGACATGAGCCAGTGTTAATTAATCGGGGTCAGAAATATAAACACCTGATTTTCTAAAAATCTGCCGGGTAGAATTCAATAAGACTTAATTCGAAATTAGAGAAAAATGTCCCCTTTCGTTTGATATACCGTGCATGTTGGCACAAATTCGTTGAGGACTGCTAAATATTTTTAAAAGTTAGCGTCGAAAATAACGTATGGGGCGCGCCACGTGGTGAGAAGGTCGATATGCGCCAGTGTTAATTAATTGGGGTCGGAAATAGAAACACCTGATTTTCTAAAAATCTGCCGGGTAGAATTCAATAAGACTTAATTCGAAATTAGAGAAAAATGTCCCCTTTCGTTTGATATACCGTGCATGTTGGCACAAATTCGTTGAGGACTGCAAAATATTTTTAAAAGTTAGCGTCGAAAATAACGTATGGGGCGCGCCACGTGGTGAGAAGGTCGATATGCGCCAGTGTTAATTAATTGGGGTCGGAAATAGAAACACCTGATTTTCTAAAAATCTGCCGGGTAGAATTCAATAAGACTTAATTCGAAATTAGAGAAAAATGTCCCCTTTCGTTTGATATACCGTGCATGTTGGCACAAATTCGTTGAGGACTGCAAAATATTTTTAAAAGTTAGCGTCGAAAATATCGTATGGGGCATCCACGTGGTGAGAGGGACGACATGAGCCAGTGTTAATTAATCGGGGTCAGAAATATAAACACCTGATTTTCTAAAAATCTGCCGGGTAGAATTCAATAAGACTTAATTCGAAATTAGAGAAAAATGTCCCCTTTCGTTTGATATACCGTGCATGTTGGCACAAATTCGTTGAGGACTGCTAAATATTTTTAAAAGTTAGCGTCGAAAATAACGTATGGGGCGCGCCACGTGGTGAGAAGGTCGATATGCGCCAGTGTTAATTAATTGGGGTCGGAAATAGAAACACCTGATTTTCTAAAAATCTGCCGGGTAGAATTCAATAAGACTTAATTCGAAATTAGAGAAAAATGTCCCCTTTCGTTTGATATACCGTGCATGTTGGCACAAATTCGTTGAGGACTGCAAAATATTTTTAAAAGTTAGCGTCGAAAATAACGTATGGGGCGCGCCACGTGGTGAGAAGGTCGATATGCGCCAGTGTTAATTAATTGGGGTCGGAAATAGAAACACCTGATTTTCTAAAAATCTGCCGGGTAGAATTCAATAAGACTTAATTCGAAATTAGAGAAAAATGTCCCCTTTCGTTTGATATACCGTGCATGTTGGCACAAATTCGTTGAGGACTGCAAAATATTTTTAAAAGTTAGCGTCGAAAATATCGTATGGGGCATCCACGTGGTGAGAGGGACGACATGAGCCAGTGTTAATTAATCGGGGTCAGAAATATAAACACCTGATTTTCTAAAAATCTGCCGGGTAGAATTCAATAAGGCTTAATTCGAAATTAGAGAAAAATGTCCCCTTTCGTTTGATATACCGTGCATGTTGGCACAAATTCGTTGAGGACTGCAAAATATTTTTAAAAGTTAGCGTCGAAAATATCGTATGGGGCATCCACGTGGTGAGAGGGACGACATGAGCCAGTGTTAATTAATCGGGGTCAGAAATATAAACACCTGATTTTCTCAAAATCTGTCGGGTAGAATTCAATAAGATTTAATTCGAAATTAGAGAAAAATGCCCCCTTTCGTTTGATATACCGTGCATGTTGGCACAAATTCGTTGAACATTGCAAAATTATTTTTTCAAATTTAGCGCCGAACTTAGATGGTGTTAGTTACCAGGGGTGCATAGTAATACCAAGGTATTTACAACAATAATTAAAAATTCGGGTAATAGCTAATTTCTCCCAAAAGACTGGACGAATTTTGATGAAACACCTACCAAATTTCTTACAATGGCGGTATCGTTTATTGAGCAGTTAATTTATTTAATATTAAGTTCCATAAATTGCTAATGTTCTTAAATCTAGTATTTCTTTAACATGGTTCCGCTGTCTGGTTCGGCAACTGGTTCTCTGCAGGTTCACAGCTGGTTCCATTTTCAAAGTTAGCGCCTCTGTTATCAGCCCACCTACACCACCCACTGCTATGCGATTTTCTCAAAAACTGACGGATAGAATCTTATGAAACTTTTACCAAATATTCTTTAAACTTCCCTTAATAAGCCAGTATACCGTGCATATTGGCACAAATTCGTTAACTGGAGTTATAGGAGTTACAATTTTTTCTGCGCCATTTTGTATGGAGCGAAACCCGAGGTTAGTTTACTGTTACGCAATTTTCTCAAAAACTTACGGATAGATTTTAATGAAACTTTGCAGGGTGAAAGTACAATAAATGTCCTTTATCCTGGCATACCGGGTATATCTGCACAAATTCGTTGAGCCGAGATATAAACAAAATTGCGAAAACACGATTTTTCGAATGCTTTTTTTAATAGACCGAAGGGTCAAATCCCCTCAAACCCAGTAAAAATCATTAGTAAATTCATTTTTAAGCATTTATAAACTTTATTTTGTTCAAATTAGTGCCTTATTAACGAAATAAATAAAAAATAAAAAATCCCTCAGTGTTCCATTTTCCCACCGTTCCATTTCGACGCTAACTCACCGACGCTAATTTGACGGACATACATTTGCTTTGAAATCCAGAGTGACCAAGGAAAAAATATCAAAAAAAATCAAATAAAAATATCGCGACTTCGATATTTGGGCAAACAAATTTCACGATATAAATATATCATTTTCAGGAAAATATATCGATATATTGATATTTTATCAACAACCCTAGTTTGAAGTTTGAATTTTTGTAGCGTCGCTCTAATTTAGTCGGTGTTAATCGTTAATTGTGCTAAGTGTTTAGTTAGTCGCTGTGTTAATGGCACGCGGGAGTTGCTAAGCTCGTACCCGTGCTAATTAAGTGTCAGTTTATTATCTGTTTTTGTGCCAGACGCCCAAGATGAGCGCATTCGAGGTTAGAGTGTCCTCCGTGGCCTCCAAGATGGTTCTTTAACATGTCGGACAATTGCAGATCACAGTGACGCCGTCGCGCCTGAAGCAGAAGAAGCGCATCGAGGGACGCGAGCCCGCCGTGGTGGTCATGGCTCCGTTCTCGGCCAAGGCGATTGTGCAGTTCGAGGACGTGCCCGTAACCAAGACGGCCCGGCGCCAAGTGCGCGTCATCAACCCCAGCGACGACGACATTGAGGTTAGTGTGTCGCGATAGGGATCAGCGGCGACGCTGCCTGGCAACTGGTATTTGATCAATGATTCCGCTTGCAGGTCAAGGTGACGAATGCCATTCCCGAGGAGCACAACCTGAGCCTCGAGTGGCGGTCGCACAAGGTGCCCGCCCGCGACGAAGTGGTCATGGAGCTGGTCTGGAGTCCCCAGCTGGAGGTGGCCTGCAAGGAGACGCTGCAGCTGATAGACAATCGCAATTTCCGCAAGGAGGTGATGATCATACTCAAAAGCAGAAGCAACCAGCCGGTCAAGGTGAGTCCCTGTCCCTGCATTTTCCACCCCCCGAAACTCACCCTGTTTTACATTTTTCTACCTGAAGAACCCGCGCAAATTTCCCACCGTGGGCAAAACCCTGCAGCTGAAGTCGCCGACGGGCGGCGCCAAGAAAAGCATTGCCTCAGCGGTGGTGCAGCAAAAGAAGCGACTGTCCACAGCGGTGGCAGCTCCTGCTTCGAAGCCCACCTGGCGGCCGTCTGTGGCTTCTCGTCCTGCTGCCCGTCCCCCGACCCGTGCTCCTGCTCCTGCTCCAGCTCCGCTCACAGAGAAGAATGTGTACAAGCAGGAGCCCGTCTATATATCCCCACAGCCGCGCAGCCTCAAGGAGAACCTGAGTCCCATGACGCCGGGCAATCTGCTCGACGTGATCGACAATCTGCGCTTCACACCGCTCACCGAGACCCGCGGCAAGGATCCGGCAACCATTATGCCGGACAACCTGGCTGCATGGCCCACTCCCGACCTCAGGGGAGGCAAGAGCATGCCAAGCGACATGAAACCCCGACGCATTACGCCCGATGACCTGGAGGATCAGGCGCCCACAAACAAGACCTTCGATGTGCGCCACTCGGAGACCATAAATCTTTCCGTGGACACTTTGGACTGCTCCCGGTCGGAGATGATCTTGCAGACCACCACAACCATTCACCATGCCACGCACACCAGAGCCCTGGAATGCATTCGCGAGGAGGAGGGCGGCTCCAGTCCCCCAAGAAACCCAACCAAGGGCAGGGCACCTGATTTGAAAAGAGACATCCAGCTAGTGGGCTCTCCACTGCGAAAGTATTCCGAGTCCATGAAAGATCTGTCGCTGGTTTCGACGCAAGCCAAGTTTGCCATCCAAGGCTCCATGCCGAATCTCAACGAGATGAAGATCCGGTCCATTGAACAGAATCGCTACTACCAGGAGCAGCAGGTTCAGATGGAGAAGGAGAATTGCCTGATCAGCTCCTCCAGCAGTGAGGCTAGTCTGGTGGGCCAGCAGGATGTGCTCTTCAACCAAAACGAGATCCTGGCCCAGAGTAGTCGCTTCAATCTTCACGAACTGGGACGCAAGTCGCGCAGGGGCAGTCCTGTGAAGCATGGAAATCCCCACAAGCGTCGCTCCCACGAGCTGAGCTTCTCCGATTCGCCCAGCAATGAATCTTTGCATCGCCAAGACACCATGCTCATCTCTCCGCCCAAGAAGCAGCGAGTGGAGGACACGAGCCTGCTGAGGAGCGCTGCCCCAGCCAATGCCTCTGCCCGCAGCTCTGGAGCTCATGCCTGGACACACACACAGCCCAAGAAGTTCAAGCTGGCCACCACCTTGGCCCTGATGAAGAAGACCACCACGCCGAGGAAGGTTAGGGAGACTAGCGGCGTCCAGGCTCCCGTAAAGCTCTACGACTCTGAGCTGTACATGCAGACGTACATCAACCCAGATCCTTTTGCGGCCACCACCACAGCGGATCCCTTTCTGGCCTCCACCATGTACCTGGACGAGCAGGCGGTGGAACGGCATCAAGCGGACTTCAAGAAGTGGCTGAATGCGCTGGTTTCCATACCCGCCGATCTCGATGCGGATTCCGACAGCAAGATAGACGTGGGCAGGCTTTTCAACGAGGTGCGCAACAAGGAGCTGGTGGTGGCGCCCACCAAGGAAGAGCAGTCCATGAACTATCTCACCAAATACCGCCTGGAAACTCTGCGCCGGGCAGCCGTGGATCTCTTCTTCAGCGAGCAAATGCGCCTGCCTTGCTCCAAGGTGGCCGTGTACGTGAACAAGCAGGCCCTGCGCATCCGCAGCGATCGGAATCTGCACCTGGATGTCGTGATGCAGCGCACTATATTGGAACTGCTGCTGTGCTTCAATCCACTTTGGCTGCGCCTCGGACTGGAGGTGGTCTTCGGAGAGAAGATCCAAATGCAGTCCAACAGGGATATTGTGGGCCTCAGCACCTTTATCCTCAATCGCTTGTTCCGGAATAAGTTCGAGGAGCAGAGGTACAGCAAGGCCTACACCCTCACCGAGGAGTATGCGGAGACCATCAAGAAGCACACTTTGCAGAAGATCCTCTTCCTGCTGCTCTTCCTCGACCAGGCCAAACAGAAGCGCATCGTCAAGCACAATCCCTGCCTGTTTGTGAAAAAGTCACCGCACAAGGAGACCCGGGACATCCTGCTGCGCTTCTCCTCGGAGCTGCTGGCCAACATCGGGGACATCACACGGGAGCTGCGTCGCCTGGGCTATGTGCTCCAGCACCGACAGACCTTCCTGGACGAGTTCGACTACGCTTTTAACAACCTAGCCGTGGATTTGAGGGATGGCGTGAGGTTGACCCGCGTCATGGAGGTCATTCTCCTGCGGGATGATCTAACTCGCCAGTTGAGAGTGCCCGCCATTTCGCGTCTCCAGCGCATCTTCAACGTCAAGCTAGCTCTGGGCGCCCTGGGTGAAGCCAATTTCGAGCTAGGCGGCGACATCAACGCCCCGGACATTGTGGACGGGCATCGCGAGAAGACGCTCTCCCTGCTTTGGCAGATTATCTACAAGTTCCGTTCGCCCAAGTTCCATGCCGCCGCCGCGGTGCTCCAGAAATGGTGGCGCCAACGCTGGCTGAGTGTGGTTATCCAGAGGCGCATACGCCACAAGGAACTGATGCGCCGACACCGGGCGGCCACTAAAATCCAGGCTGTTTTCCGCGGCCACCAGATGCGTAAATATGCCAAGTTATTCAAGGAGGAGCGCATTCAGGCAACCATTGTCCTTCAGAAGTACACGCGTCGCTTTCTGGCCCAGAAGCAGCTTTACCATACCTACCACAGCATCGTCTCTATCCAGCGCTGGTGGCGTGCCCAGCAGCTGGGCAGGCAGTGCCGTCAAAGGTTCTTGGAGCACCGGCAAGCCGCAATCTTTCTGCAGCATATCTGGCGGCGTCGTCTTTTTGCCGAGAAGCTACTGGCAGCTGCGGCCACAGCGCGTCTACAGCGTTCCCAGAAGCAACAGGCAGCTGCCAGTTTTATTCAGATGCAGTGGCGCAGCTTTAAGTTGGGTAAACTTCAGCGGCAGGAATACCTACGCCAGAGGGAGGTCATTGTCTTGGTTCAGCAGAGGATAAGGGCCAAGTGGAGCATGGAGAAGCAGCGAACAGAGTTCCTGCGACTCCGCAAATCGGTGGTCAACATGCAGCAGCGCTGGCGAGCCAAGCTACTGATGCGGCAGCAGAAAGCGTACTACCTATGCCTACGCTCCCATGTGGTCAAGATCCAGGCTTACAGAAGGGCCACCATCCAGATGAGAATAGAGTCGCATAAATACCAGACTATGAGGAAGAGTGCCATTTGGGTGCAGCAGCATCTGAGGGCCACCTGGAAAATGCGAGAGGAGAGAGCCAAGTATACAAATCTGCGTCAGGCTATAATCCTCATTCAGAGAAGGTTTCATTTACATCAAGCTATGATCAAGGATCGCTGTAATTACCTCAAAGAGCGTCAGTGCATCATCAATGTCCAGCAACGCTGGCGGGCCACCTTGCTGATGCGCTGCCAGAGGGATAGCTACAAAAGGCTTCAACTTTCCGCCAGATTCATTCAAAACCAATACAGAGCCAAGCTCCAAATGCAGAAGCAGCGCCAGGAGTATCTGCAACTAAGGAAAGCAGCTCTGGTGATTCAACAACGCTGGCGGGCCCTGCTCCAAATGCGACAGCAACGTCAGCAATACCTGCAACTGCGTGAGGTGACCATCAAGTTACAGCAACGATTCCGGGCCCATAAGGCCATGAGATTCCTGCGGGCCAAGTACCGAGGCACTCAGGCGGCCGTAAGCTGTATCCAAATGCACTGGCGGGGTCATCTGCTGAGAAAGCAGCAGCGAAACAGTTTTCTAGAGCTACGCCAGGCAGCTGTCATACTGCAGAGAAGATACCGAGCTCGTCTGGCCATGAAGAAGCAGTTGAGCAGCTACATTCAGCTTAAAAAAGCAGCTATTAATATACAGAATCGCTACCGGGCCAAGCTAGAGATGCGTAAGCAGCAGTCTCTTTACCAAAAGCAAAGAAACGCCCTCATCAAAATCCAGCAGAGATATCGCGGCAAGCTGGAGATGAAAAAGCAGATGAGAGAATATCAAAAGCAGCGTAAAGCTGTGATCCGCCTTCAACTTTGGTGGCGCAGTCTGCGGGACATGCGGAAACTGAAAGAAGGCTACCGGCGAGCGCGTACCAGCTCCCTAACCATCCAGCGCAAGTGGCGGGCCACTGTACAAGCTCGTCTTCAGAGGCAGATATTCCTGGACACCATACGCAAGGTTCGACTCCTGCAGCAGTTCATCCGAGCCACTCTTTTGATGCGACAGCAGCGCAGGGACTTTGAAATGAAGCGCAAGGCAGCTGTGGTTTTGCAAAGCCGTTTCCGTGCCCGTCAAGCCATGTTGAAGGCTCGCCAGGAATATCATTCATTAAGGTCTTCTGCTATCCTAGTGCAGCGCCGGTTCCGTGCCAATTGCAGCATGAAACGCCAACGCCAACAGTTTGTTCAGCTACGCCAGGTGACCATCCATTTGCAGCAGAAATTCCGCGGCAAGCGGTTAATGCATGAGCAGCGGGAGCATTTCCTTTTGCTAAGCAAGTCTCTGCCGGACTTCCAGGCCCATGTCCGAGGCTTTTTGGCCCGCAAACGTTTCCAGGCTTTGATGACGCCCGAGATGAAGGAACTGATACGCCAAAAGCGTGCTGCCAAGGTGATTCAACGCTATTGGCGTGGCTATCTTACCCGAAGGCGCCAGCGTAACCAGGAGCTGTTGGCCATCCGCAAACGCCTGGCCCAGCTAAGGCTGGAGGCCAAGACCACAAACTCGGTGCGCTGCAGGTTGCAGGAGGCGGTGAGATTCTTGCGCGGACGCTTTATAGCCTCAGATGCCTTGGCTGTGCTGAAAAGGCTGGGTGAGTCCGGATCCCTAATCCTTTCTGGGATTATCTAAGTCTACTTAATCTCTTTAACCTTTCCTTAATCCTCTTCAGATGAACTCTCCCGCACAGTGCCGCATCTGCTGATGGGTTGCTCCGAGTTTATGTCCACTTTCTGCTATGGAATCATGGCCCAGGCCATACGCTCGGAGGTGGATAAGCAGCTGATTGAGCGCTGCAGCCGCATTATCCTGAATCTGGCCCGCTATAACACTGCGAATACGTTCCAGGAAGGAGGCTTGGTGACCATAGCCCAGATGCTGTTGCGCTGGTGCGACAAGGACAGCGAAATCTTCAATACTTTGTGCACGCTCATCTGGGTGTTTGCCCACTGTCCCAAGAAAAGAAGGGTAAGCTAGAAGTTATTTTAAACTAATATTTTTAATGATTAAAAAATTAAACCCTGTAGATCATTCACAACTTTATGACCACCACGGAGGCCATTTACATGGTTCGCGAAACAAAGAAGCTGGTGGTTCGCAAGGAGAAGATGAAGCAGAATGCCCGCAAGCCTCTAGTTGTACCCATGGGACGCTATCAGACGAACAAGGCGCCTGTTTTCACCAAGAGCGCTTTGCCCAGCCTGGAGCCGGACTTTGGCATCATACGGTTCAGCCCCTACACCTTCGTCTCCTCGGTGTTTGCCTTCGACACCATACTATGCAAGCTGCAGGTGGACATGTTCTAGTTTTAAATGTTTCCCTGTTGTGTTTTGTCTCAAGATTAAGCAAAATTGTTACCCTCCGATTTAGTTTTAAGGAATCAACTGAAGATATATAAGTCAAGTTAGGAGGACCATCACGATAAAGGATATATAACTAAGTGGACTGTGTAACTGCTAGCCAAACTAAGTTTATTGTTTTTATGAAAAGATCACGAAATAAAGGCGAGAATTAAGAATCACAAGGTAGCGGCTAGTTTGCTTGCACAGTTTGGCTGTGCCTATGTTTATTCGGGTAAGGTATGCATCATGTATTCACAAAACAATTACATAGTCGCAATTACATATAGTTAAATTATTAATCACTTTGTTTAAACATCGATATTAGCATGCAGTTAGTTTACCCAATACTCATGCTCCTCCACAGCGAATGCCACTCGTGTCCGGTCCGTCGCTCCTTCTTCCTAGAGAGAGTGCCCCAAGTATACAGTATATACACTACTCGGCACAATTATTTTGACGAAACCTAGGTATGACTATTGAGCATAGCCCTGCTCAAAGTCTTCATATAACGGTGATAAAATTATTCGCAAAATTTAGAAGATATATTTAGCTCTATGCATGCCAAATTTTATGCATTTCACTGTTACCGTTCACTTTCTGCTGATTAAAATACATGCAGACATCGAATTTTAACGTGGCATAAGTATTTTGACAAACCTTTTGAGGACATTTTCTGAGGGAGTTGAGCGCGTGAACTCAAAGAAAGCTTTATTATTTAATAATTAAAATTATTAAAAATAAAAAAAACTAAAATTTATCTAAATTATGTGTAGAAAATGCGAAATTAATTTGTTTATTAAGTCTTTAATAGTAGTAAAGTTTAACGAAGAAATTTAAGTAGAAGAAATTGCAAATGAGTTCAATTTGTTGCGTCAAACTGTTGATTATCAGATTTACAAGTTCAAAAAACATAATGACATAAAGAACTTGAAAATAACAAGCCCTAAGCGCAAAACAACTCTCAATGAAGACAGAATTTCTCTATGGAAATTAAAGAAAAATATTTTTCTGAAGCCTAATTCCGATGCAAATCAGTGGAATTACACCGCATATGATCTTAAAAATGAGTGAAAAACAGTAAGTGGAACCAGAGTCCGTCGACGCATAAGGGAACAGGACCTTCAGATACTAAGAGCTAAGGATATGCCACATATTCCAAAGGCAAATAAGCTTAAAGGGTGGAAAAAGCAGAAAAAGTTCTGGAGAGATGATTTATAACAAAGTCTTTATATTTTAAAAGTACAGAGGCCAAAAAAGTGCCAAAAGTGACCAAAGGTGAGCCATGGAGACGGCTTTGTCACGCTGTAGATATGCGTTGCCTTTAGTGGGCATCTAGACTACTGGTTTTTGGTTCCCACTACCGTTTTGATGAACCAATGATAATATTTTGAGGCTCTGAATGCTTAAGGGGGGATATACATGTAAACCAACATTTTTTGGGCAAATTTTTTTTTTGGTTTAAAAAATAGTTTATTATTTAAAGAATATAGTGTGTAAGTTTCATTATCGAATTCCAATTCTAAGTGCCTCAAATCAAGTATGCACGCAAGGTTTACAAGTGTTAACGTGGGCGCATCAAAAACTTTAAACGTCTTTTTCTCAGCTTCTAATTTTTGCATTTCCACCTATGCTATGGACACGATTCACAAAAAACTATGTAACATATCGGAGTGAATCAAAAATTATTATGATCAGCATGAAATTATCTTCTATTTGAACCTACATGGTTGTTATAAAACTGAGTATTACTATTTTTTAAGAGGGTGGGAAGTGAAAACTGCTCACCTGAAAATGGCATTTTTTCCTTCAAATCAAAATTTATTTTTTTTGTCTTGATTTCATTTTGGTTTTTTAGGTTCAAATAGAAGATAAAGGTGTAATAAATACAAAAAAAATTAGTTTACGGATTTCGGACAGGAATTACGAGCTCTATCGTGTCCATAGCGCGGCAACTCAAAGCTCGAGGCGCTACGGCATATGTTCCACAAGTCCGCCATTTTGTAAAATATTGATTATAACTAATTTTTTTTATCATCTCTGATTCTACTTTTAACTATATCCAAAGTTTCACGACGATTGCTTGACTATTTCTTATAAAAAAAAATTCACGAAAAATTGCCAAATTTTGACCGCTTACATGTATATCCCCCCTTAAGCCTATGCTTTGATATCTCTGGAAGGAAAGGCTAAACAATTATCATCATTTATTCTGCAACAGGATAATGCACCATGCCACAAAACCCATATGGTTATCAGTTGTTTAAAGGATGATGGCGTTACCGTCTTGAACTGGCTGTTCCAAAGTCTAGACTTTAATATTATTAGGATCATCTGACCTCTTTTAAAACTCAAAATAAAGAATTCGTTGAAAAAACCCCAAAGGGAGACCACATCTGAGGTCATTTTCTTTCGGAAAGATATATCCTTAAAGATCCTTCAAAATTTGGTAAATCTGAGGCCGAGATGACTTAAAAAGTTGTCGAATGGAATGAAGAATACAAACTTTACCAATTACCTCATTATTACATTTTTTTCTTCTTAAACTTCTTTGCTTTTTAATTTCTAAGTATTTGTCAAAATACTTATGCCACGTTAAAATTCGATGTCTGCATGTATTTTAATCAGCAGTAAGTGAACGGTAACAGTAAAATGCATAAAATTTGGCATGCATAGAGCTAAATATATCTTCTAAATTTTGCGCATAATTTTATCACCGTTATATGAAGACTTTGAGCAGGGCTATGCTCAATAGTCATACCTAGGTTTCGTCAAAATAATTGTGCCGACTAGTGTATGTAGGTATATATATCCGTGTGTGTATATTAATTAATGCCCCTTTAAAATGTACATACATATATGTAGGTGGAGTACCGTAAATTGGTTTAAATATGCATAAGTTATATATTCGCGATATTCGCATAACATTTTATGTATTTCCTCCTCGTTCTGTCTTTAATTTCTTTTCAATTTTTGATCTATCTTCTTTTTTTTTGTATTTTTTGCAATCTTATATTGCGATTTAAACTAAAAGGTTGCTGCTTCGAGTTAAAAACTAAAAATAAATACATTTGGATCTAGCGATTTATTAATATTTTTATAAACATTTCGGGGGAAAAAGTGCGTGCAAAGAATTCAGTGGGCTTCAAGGACATCTAGATTGGCTTCTGAATGTGATTTAAGTATCGGGGAAGTTTAGCAAGGATCTGAGAGAGCTTTGCCGCAAGTACTTGTACGATAATTATTATGTGGGTAAGGTCACCTCCCTGCCGAGTGGCGCACGGCTGGATCTGGTTTAGTGCGCCTCCTCGAGGAGGCCTACCCGCCTGCTGGCCAACTTAACGTCGTCCCAGGCCAAAGTTGAAGGGCTGCGGACGCGTCGTTCGCTTGTTCTGCCGGCCAGGTCGCACTGTAAGCCCAAGATTAAGATACCTCCATATATAGCAATTTATACAGGCAACTCACCCCTGCTCTCGGCTCCCAAGTAGTTCGCTGGCGGCACCCTGTAGTCAATTTCGTTTTCCTGGTCGTAGTCATAGTCGCTGCGTTTGCCCAGACCAAAGGAGTAGGGACGGGACCGCTTGCCCAGTCCGAAGTTGTAGACTGGCAGCCGTTTCATCCCAGGTCCGCCGTTCGTGTACATATAGGCCCGGCGACCCAGGCCAAAGGCATATCGCTCCACACGCTTATCTATATTGTCGCCGCCATTGTCGGGCATCTCGTCGGCGGCCAACAGGACATCGGCATCGCTGTCGCCGGCGATCGGACTGCGCTGATCCTGGCCAATAACTGGGGAGCAGGCAATATAGCCCACACAGCACACGGCCAGCAGCAGGAGGTGGGCGTGTAGGGAGTTCATTGTGATGCTGGGCAAGGACTGTTGATGCTTCTGCTCCTGCTGCCGCTATTCCTGTAAAAGTAAGAGCAGACAAAGTGAGCGCAGGTGACGGCTAGAATTTTAAGCACTCGGTTTCCAATTCGCTGTGTGTCGAAAGCGTTGCATACTTTGCGGCATACGGTTGTTGCCCCTCGCAAAACCTGGATATGTTTTGTGTTATTAGGGTGGCACTTCTTTTGTTTCATACAAAAGTATTAATTAAATGAAATGAAATGAAATATTTTTTGCTAAAATATTACATTTATGTGAGTTATAAATAAAATTATAGTACCCTTCAAGAACACCGGAAATATTAGAAAAGTTTACTATAAAATACCTAAAAAACTAATACACTGCAAGGGTAAAATATGTTCTAAAATATATAATTAATTAATGAAGGCGACATTTCCGACCCTATAAACCATATATATTCTTGATCAGCATCAACAGGGGAATCTTTCTAGATATGTCCGGAAGTAATCGATTTTTTTGCCATTTTTGCAAAATTTTATAAGGGGTTACATCATTAAAATTTTTGATTTTGATAAAAAATTGAACTTTTAAAATTTTAAAATGAAGTATGCAGATTTATTAACTGTAGAAAATCTTGCACAGAACAGTTTTCCGATTTAAAATTAATGCTCTTTTGGCCGAGTTATGATATTTTTAATTTTTAAAAAATCAAGAAGTTTTTTAATATAAAAAATCAGATTTTATAATACAAAATAATATTTTTCTAAGTCAAGGAATCATTTCCGACCCCATAAACCATATATATTCTTGATCAGCATTAACATGCAAATCTTTCTAGACATGTCCGGAAGAAATCGATTTTTTGGCCATTTTTGAGAAATTTGATAAGGGGTTACATCATTCAAATTAGCAAAAATGACCAAAAATTTTGATTTCTTAAAATTTTAAATTTGGTATGCAGTTTTTTTAAATTAATAAAAACTAACACAAAACTGCTTTCCGAATCGAAATTAATGCATTTTTGGCTTAGTTATGATATATTTTAATTGCTACCTGCAAGGGTATACAAACTTTGGCCAAAGTTAGCTTTCTTTCTTGTTTAACCCTCAAATCAGTCCACCCTAATGCCACCCGTATACGTTGATGTGCCTTCGTTTAGGAATATTTATGCAAAGTAAAAGAAACAAACAATCGACCAGGAATTTGGCCCAAACATAAAATATGTCAACGGCAACAAATGTCGACGCGTTGACAGGTCTCGGCAAGGGGCAATATTGCAAACAGGCGGCTGGCTGGCAGAACAAACAAAACGAACGAATAAAAATTGCCACCAGAACGCCAAAAAATGTGGCCACAAAGTTTGGGGCAATGGCAGCCATGCGGAAGGTCTTTGGCCAACTGGAATTGCAGCAGACGACACTCTGCTCTGGCTTTTCTGCTGGCCTTGCAAGTGCTAGTGCGGCGGCTCGTAAAAGTTAAACGTTAACCCCGAAATGAAGTTCACCCCTCTTAGTGCTGAGTGGCTTAATACAACAATTAGCATGGTGACAATTACCCCAAACTTAAAGCCCAGTGCTCGCCTCCAGACGCTCGTAGCTCGTGGTCGTCCTGCTACGTGGATTCCATTAGCGGAATGGCTGTGTCAGTGGCAGCCATCAACGCTTTTGTGGTGCCTGTCAGGGCCATCAATTGAGAGTGCAGGCTGTGCTGGCTGGCTTTCTGGCGGAGATGCGACAGATGTTGGCGAGTATTTGCACTGCCGTGGTTGCACTTCCGCCGGAATTGAAGGCAAGACTTGGCAGGCAGAGCACGTAGACAGACTCCTTCAGACTCCAGACTCCTCTATTGTTTTCTTAGGCAAATTAAGTTTTCTGACAATTTTCCATTAAACCAACGGACTTTGACTTGATGCCGACACGGCTTAGTCGTCAGTGAAGGCTCGCTGTCGCCCATAATGATGTGCAAACAATCCAAATCAATTAAGCCAAGTCTACACTTTCCTTTTTCCCTCCTCCAAATTTCTAAATATTGCGCATACGCACCGTTGGTGTCATAAATTCGCTGGATGCATGTGCAATAGACCCACAAATCATGCAACAGGTTCAGCGGCATTTACCACAAAAGGCAAAGCGAAGGCCAGCCCCAACCACGGTGTTTGATTTACAATGGCAGCTACATGGCAGGCAGGCAGCTGTGCAGTTTCCACGCAGGACAATAAAAGCAATGACTCCACGGCCAAAGGCAATGGCTGCTACGGCCAGGCCGAGATAATAGGCGGAAAATCGTCACATTTGTTAGACTTTATCAACCGCAGCGCGGCGGCGAGCAAAACGAGCAGCTCCACAGCTCCGGACAGCCAACAACCAATCGTAAATCTGACGCGGGGGCAAAACAACTTTTGTGAAAAGTGTCAACACCTTTCGCTATTATTTCCATTCGTGCAATAAAATCTTGTTTGTCGCACGCTCAACGCTGCCCTTGGCCGTAAATGAGATTCTGGCATTATCTGCTTATGAATTTACGCTGGCGTCCATAACTCTTTTGGGCTCCTTGCTGCAGGGTCCTATCTTTTCTCATATCCGCAGCGGCGATTAGTTTTGACGGCCACACAAAAAATGCAACGGAAATTCAAAGGAGCAGCCAGGAGGCCAAGGCTTTTCTGGAAGCCGCCGTCTAATTGAGTTTGAGAACTTTCCCCGGCTGGCCGAGATGCGAAGCGAAGCGAGCACAATGGCCAAAGGATGTAAGCAAATTTTGCAGCTTTACGCAAAGCAATTTCAGCTGATGTAGCAAATTACGACAGACACATCCCGATCCCAATCCAGATCCCTCCTCAGGTGGAGCATGAAAATGAGCGAAAAATTAGCTGTGTGCAATTGAAACACGCGGGCAATTTCTTCGCAGATGCTTTTTTAAATTGAAGGCAGCGCCGGTGGGTAAACCACATTTTACCTTTACCTTTGCCACTAAGCAGCTTAATTAAGTTACGTTCGGGGTAATGAAGTGGCTAACTTCTTTGCACCAATTTATGGCGGTTAGGCGAGCGAGCAGCCAATAAAAAGCTAGCACCTCATGGCTCCCTTTTATCCTGTTGTTTCCTTTGTTTTTTCTTCTATTTTTTTTTTTTTTTTTTGAAGCTGGGTATGCTGCAAATGCGGCTGACCCTTGGTCCCTGTGTTATCCTGCCCGCTTCCTTGTTTTTCTTTAATTTGACATGTGTATCAATTCTGCAAGTAAACATTGCCGCCTTGACCCTGGGGCAACGAGGCAGCCCTCTGAGTTTGCTCCAAAACTTGCCCCAACATCAATCAAGCATTGTCCTCTGATTTGTTTATTTAATATTTTCGCCTTGGCTTTTGGTTTTTCTATCCCTCCCCCAGTGTGTGTGTGTGATCCTATTTTTTCTGTCTTTTTTGTTATTTATTTAATTACAATTTGATTGAGGCTTGTCTTTTGTCTTGTGGGAGCCTCTTTTCGATTCCCAGCGACTTGGCTGTTGACTCTGTTGCCATATGTCAATTGCTGCCCCCGGCATTCTATTGTATATAATCAAATTTGGGTTTGTCTTCACGCTAAGCGATTGAAAATGAATTGAATTCGAGGCTTTTCCTTAGATCAAACACCAGTACAAATTGCAGCTCACTTTTTTCAGCATACTTTTTGGGGCCAATGTGTGGGACTGAGTTTTAGGGGGTATATTTTATATAATGTCAGGGAATTTTCTGAGCAGGAGTATGAAAAAGGATGACTTAAAATTGTAGCAGTGGAAATAAAATACATATTTATTTTATATATATTTTCTAAAGAAACTAATTATATTCAAACCTGATATACGGCGGGAATGTAGTTTTTAGTCGGTCGAGTGGAAAAAAGGAGTTTATATATAAACTATTAAAAATACAAATGACTATCTGTATCTATTTGTATTCTACTTTTGCTTTTAATTTTAAGAAACTTAGATCCCCACATTTATTAAATTATTTGTTTAATTCTAAAAAAACTAAGCTCAGGACAGGATTCAGTAATTGCTAATGTTACATACATATAATAATAATAATATTTATAATTTGAAGGAGATGCCAAAAGGGCATTTGTTTTTTAACTATGTAATGGTTCTCTTAAAAGAAATTCGTTAAACAATGTTAAATTCAAACTTTGAGTTTCAAAGGCTAACCGAATATTTCTATGTTTTTATTAAAATTGAAGCTTTAATTTTCTAAATAAAAACAATATTTATATTACCAAATATTGGTTTAAAACTTCCAAAAATTCCATAATCTACGAGTTTTTAAAATAAGATAATTGTTTTAAAACATTTTTCAATATATACAGTTAAAATACTATAAATTAATCACAGTTAAATCCCAAGTGTATATTTGATTTAAAATTTTAATTTTACTTAATAATCTCTGAAGAAGCTAAGATTGATTTAAAAAGATTTTATTATAAAACACATTTCCAACAAATAAATTTTTTCCTTTTCCAATTTTTAAATACGGCGTCCAATATTTAACAATTTTAAAATAAACACTTAAATATTTTAAAAACCAACCCAAATGTTCAATTTCCTGCACAACTTACAGCGAATTCCCAAAGCCGCTGGAAAAACTCACACACGGAGAGCACTACAAATCGAGTTTTAAGCTTTACAGGATCGAATGGGAAACAGAACTCAGGTAGCAATGCACTTTTCGGGGTACAGGATACGCGGTGTAACTCTAATTTCTCAACGGTGCGCGGCAATTGGTAATTGGTTATTCAGTTTTTTTGGCTGCTGCTGCTACTCTGGCACGTTGACAGATCAAATGTCGGTTAAGTTTTGAATCGGTATCCGCTGGCGCTCGGCCTCTTATATGAGCGTCGGCCGCTCTTGTTCTTGTTCCTGTTGCTTTTGGCGCGCCCTTATCAACGAAACAACACCAACACGACCGCACGACCAGAGCACCCAGGAGTGACGACAATGTGTGGTGAGTTTTTCCCGAATTCCCAACACGAACGAATGCTGAGAGAAAATTGTGATGTTGGGTGGCTCGCGTTGCGGAGTCCTTGCGGCCAAGGATGTAACAAGTGGCCGTGGCCATGCGGCTTTTCTGCGGAAGCCACGAAGTTGCTCCTGAAGGATAGTGAAGTGAAAGCCGAGAAGTGAGCTTAAGATTTCGCGGAATGGTGCTGAGCAAGTGTGTTTGTTGTTCTGTAGAAATTTCGAGGGGTTTTTGGTGGAAAAATGTATAATAAATATAAAAATAAGACATATAATATATTTGATTGATTAATTTACTTAAATTTTACGATTTTTAGCATTAGATTCATATTTTTTATATTTTTACATTTTTGTATTTCCTTCTCGTAATAGAATGTCATCTCTGCTGCAAAAGGTGAAGAAAGCTGCAACAGGAGGCCCTTACACTGCGTAAATATGCAAAACAACAGTGCGTATGATGAATGTCGTGTTAGGGTTCATTAGGAGGAGCTTCTTGGCGCATCCCACGGCATTTCCTCCGCTCATGTGTGTCCGTCCAACTATTTCTCATTTCGAATGGAAAATTGTCAGCTGGCTTGTTGCGCATTAGTCAACTGCAGGAGCAGGACACTTGCCCGCCGGCGGCCTTTTCTATATATCCCGACTTTGTGGGAAAGTCGCCGCAGAACTTAGCTGACAACTCGAATGACATGCACACCGTCTCTCCCCCCTATGTGGCCTTCTATGGTCGCAACATTTCAAAGGGGAAACGCCAAAGAATTTTATGCGGAATGCCAGTATCTATTTCACAATGTCGCCATCGGGAGGGCCAGGATGCATAACATTTTAACATTTGTCCTGCTGCCACATTTGTCCTGCCCTGCTCGGCTTCGCGTTTCTTGGCGAATTATAAAAACGTCTGCGATTCGTCGCACTTTGTCAATGGGATTTCACTGGGAACATTCTTGAATTGAAGGTTTTGCGGAAAATTGAAGAGGGCCTCAGAAATATTCAAGGAGATTTCTTTTTTTATGCTTTAATATCTAGCGATTTCTTTTGCCCTTTTCCAAAAGTCATTTTCCTTAAGTTCTGTCCTTAATCTAAGCATTTAGGCATTACTTCCAATCAATCCTCTTACGTTATTCCCATACGTTGCAATGCATTCCGTGTAATTGCTCGGCTAGAGATGGTAGAAGGAGCTGTGGAAATGTAACCATTACCCAGGGAAATCCCGCTGTGGCGGTGCTTAGCTGTAAATACTTTAATTACGAATAAAAACAAAAATCGTTTGCTAATTGGAAAATATTGAGAAAATAAACACATTGATTGGCCCGTCGCCACCTCGCTCCACTCCTGACTAATTGCTCCTCCCGACGATGATGATGGCGCGGGAGCACGGGTCGTATACGCAATGCCAACATAAAGGAAGAGGGTGAGAAAACACAGCATGACATCGAGGGGATATACCAAAATTGCATTGAGATTTGTGGCGCAATTACAATTTGTCCCACGAGTTTATAAGTTTTTTATGGCTTTTCATGGAAAAGTGGCGACTAATTGTGACCATGACGTCAGGCACGGCTCAAAGTTCAGTTCCAGTTCCACGAAAGGCATTGGTATCAGTTCAAGCAGCTGCACCTGGGGGAAATGGCGGATTTGTATACTCCAGTGGGCGCGTGCTCTCCTTACTCACCACACCACACCACCACGAACAAGCAATCGATCATAAATCAGGCTGATAGCGGGGTTGTAAGACCAAAACATGGCCCAAGCGTGGCCGGCCTAATCTCGATGGGCTGACACTGGCGCGTCATCGCACCGGAACAGGTTAATAAATTTCCCAGAGGCCTAATCGTGGGGCCAGCAGCAGGAGCAGCAGCTCATTTGGGTATTTGGCATCTGGACAGCTGGACAGCTGGACAGCTGGACGACAGCTGTGCACATGGCCCAAAGGAGGATATACATGGGCTTGTGCCTTTGGCCATGGTGTGACTCGATCGGCCAGAAGTTGGAATGTCCGCTTCTCCAGAAGACAAGTTCAGCCATAAATCATCATCACCGGGCAGGCAAAGTGGACCGAAACCGAAACCAAAACAAAGACACCAAACCAAATCGAAACCTGCAGTTGCTGTTGCCGGAGCCGAAAAGACATCCAAAGGCAGGCAGCCAACCAGTTTGGCCCACACCTTCGTATAGGCACACACAGATGCTTGCGCGGTGCAAACTTCCCACCGAAAAAATGCATAGGCGAAATCATAAAAATAAAAATATCCAAAGAAAACATTTTTGTAGTTGTTAGACCGAACCGAGCGAAGAACGAAGAAAAAACAACAATACAAAATGGAAAATCACGATTTTTATGCAGGTTTTCGGAGATTTTTCCCACAACAAGTTTTCGTTTGGTTGGTGTATTTTTTTCATCTCTTTTAATTGATTTTGCTCATGAGAATAACGCAGTGCAGCTTGTGCACTTGAGATCCAGATGAACTTATGTGCCATCAGATATACCCAGCAGCAGAGTGGCGGCAACAAATAATTGTCATAGAAGAAGCCACTAACAGGCTGCATAAATATGCATTTATAATTAGTCGTAGTCGGAGCAGGGCACCCAGCAGAGCCGAAAGCCGATGAGATTTACGACCAAGACGGACGACAGCATCTTGGCCAAATGCGTCGTAGTGGAGAATCTGGATGCAAGCTCCCAACTGCATGATGCTCGGATTTCAAATGCAATTGTGGTGAAAATAATAGCTACTGAAAAGTAATTTTAATAAGATATAGTTAATAATTTCGTAACAATAAAAGAGATTTCCAAAATCAAAAGAACACTGCAGACTTTTAACTTTTGGCTTATAAATTCCCATAGAATTCGATTATACACAATTAATCATTAAATTGTAAGCTTTTATAAGAGTCGTTTATCATTTTCAAATCCATAATCAAATTAATCAATTTATTGTTTGCTTTTAAATTCTTGGGTTTTTTCCGCTTCCCCTCCCAAAAAATCTCTCCAAATGCTTTAGTGCTCTATTAATCTGACCATAACTGTTGGCACAAGCATACACCTCACACACACACACACACACACACACAAGTGTATGGTACCTGCAATACATACATAAGCAAGTACGCATGGAAGAGTCTGAAAGTCGGCAAAAGAATGTCGTTCGCTGCTTGTGCTCTCTTCTGGCTGTGCTTCTTCCACTGTCCAGCCACTACTCTCTATCTCTCTTTCCGTGTGTCTCTATCTTCTTTCTCGATGACACACTTTCCGATGTACTGGGGCCCAGAAGTAGGTGAGCAAACGATCGGTGGTGTGTGAGTGTGTTTGTTTTGTTTGCTGGTACTCCAAGCACAAACATACGTTCTCCATTCTACGCTTCGCTGCATTGAAATTTCTTTTTTCGCTTTCTTTTCGAACTCTCCAGCCCGGCTCTCGCTCTCACTCTGCTCTGGCGGATCGTTTGTTCTTGCCTCTCGCCACCCACTTGGGGCAGAGCCAGTGAGTGAGAGATCTCGCTCTACTGACGTCAGCAGCGATGGAGCTGTTATATGGGTCACGCTGTGCTTTTGGGTTCTTGGAGAAAACTGGTAGTGCGAGTATTCTGCTTCTTCCTCTGCTTCTGCTGTGGAGAGGAAAGTGATATGGCAATGGCCACTCGTCGAAAGCGAATGCGTTTGGCGCTGTCTCTGCCCCGGCCCCCTTCTTGGATCGGCACTCCAGCGCACTTGGAAATACCGTTCTTTCTCTTCACCCTTTCACGATTCGTTCTTTGTGGGTCAGGTTCAGAGGTTTAGAATGTGGCATTTCCGCTGCACCATTGCACTTTGCCTTCACCGCTCGCCGTCCGTCCATACAATTATGTAAAATAAAAACGAAAAGCCAAACAAACAAATAAACAACAGTAAAGTCTGCTCGGAAAGGTGAATGAAACTTAATGAATGCCAGCAACAACAATAACGGGCAGAGAAGAGCGGTGTGTGGAGAGCGAACAGGTGAGCCGCTGCGCTGCATTGCTTAGTGATTTTCACTTGCCGCTGCGAGCGTGCCTTTGGAATTCGCAAATTGTTATGAGAAAAGCAACAGGAACAACAACAGCAACGGCACTCGCCGCCCAAAGAGAAATAGGAAAACAACAAGAAGAAAAAAAGAAATACAAAAACCAAATCGGCGGCTGCCATACAAAGACGACGTAAAGATTACACAAGCGCAGCGTTGCCGATTATATACGTCAGAGGGGCATTAGAAACAACAACAACGACGGCGCTGCTGCAGTCAAGAAAGCTCTCCAAAGGCAGCGACGCCGGCTGCGACTGAGCGGAGAGCTGCGATCGCTGCAAAGTGTAGAGAAATTTATCATTTCACTGCAGCAACGTCAGCTTCGGCCGCAGCAGCGGCAACGATAGCTACAGCGCAGCACCAACAACATCATCAGCACCGTATACAGCTCCAAGCTCTCTCATCAGCTGCTTGCCGATCGAGCGCTCTCTCGCGGGGCTCCACTGGCGTCGCTGCCGCTGCTCAGTCGACTTGGGGCCTGGCCACAAAAACAACACCACAGTTTTTCAAAATTAGTTCTAGTGAGTCTGTGAAAGTGTGAGCGACTGCGACTATCGGACGACGCGCGATCAATTGGCAAACAACCGCAAGCGGATCCACTGGTCACTCGCCGCCGAGAACTTGCCGAATATAAATCGGAGCAGAGCAGATACCACCGATCCAGATCCCAATCCAGATCCAGATCCCAAGAGCATCCCCAAACTTTGCAACAACAACAGCAACATCACGTGCAACATGTCGCATCAGTGCAGCTGCGGTCGCGACCTCAACAACAACTACGTCTCCTACACGAACGCCTACGCCAACGCAAACACGGGCCTGGACAGGGAGGCGGCAGCCAACAGCGGCGGCGGTGGGAAGTCCGCTGGTCCACCCCGCACCCAGCTGACGGCCAAGGTGATGTTCGGCACGGTGGGCGCCATCAAGGAGCTGCGCGACAAGGAGCAGCAGCAGCAGAGGCACGCGGCAGCGGCGCGAGCAGGCGAGCGACGCAACTGATGACCACCACGGACGTTTCCTTCGGGGGAGGAGGGCGACGTGCGATGAGGAGTGAGAAGCGGGGGCGGGACGAACGGCCAATGGAGTCCGGTCGAGTGCTGTGCTGTGGGTTGTGTCGGGGGATCTCTGGCTGATCGGAAGGATCATCGAAGGATCATCATCATCGGAAGGATTCCAGTTGGGATAATTTGAATGTGTTTGAGCTTTGATCGGAAGGACTAAAGTGATTTGAAAGACCCGCTGGATTCGAAATTTGATAACTTCAATCCATCGAGAAAGTTAGTTAATTCGAATGGTCGATTATTCGAATGATTGAAAAAAAGTCAGTTGATTCGAAATTGGATTATTTGAGTGATTCAACTGAATCGTTTATTCGAATTTTAAGTGAAATTATTTGAGTAATTTGATTAATTCAGTTGATTTGGAATTGAATGATTTTAAATATTTGTTTTAAAATTTTGAACAATGTTTGAGTGATTTGATTTGTTTAGTGATTCAAATGATTCGAATCGATTTACTGAAGTAATTCGGATTAATCAAAAGATAAATTCAAATAGTATAGATAATTCAGGAACATTCAAGTGCAGTTAGTCGGATAATTCAAAGGATTCAGATGATTTTAGTGATTCAAACTCCATTCGAATCGAGTTAGCGTCGGTCCTGGTCCCTGGATCACTCGATCACTGGCTGCTGGGATCACGTTAGAGGCTTCAAAGTGTTTGCAGGGGGCAGGGCAATCTGAGTAATTTGGTGGCCAGCCATCAAGAACGACATTCCTTCTCAACAAACTATCCAAAAAAGAAAACATCACATATTTATAGAAACCCTTTTTTTATCTGCCACAACACTATATCTATGAAATCTGTCTATATATATTTTCCGTGCTCCTGTTCCTTCCTCAGCTTTTAATTTCTAATCTTTCGCGTAATTCGAATTATATTCGATGTAAATTGTTTATCACATACATATATTTATATATACTACATAGTGCAATACTTTAGCTATACAAAACACACTCAAACACACACCCAACACACGCCTAGCTTTAAGTTTGTTTTATTTTGTAAGCGCGCACACACACACATACTCATTTTACAATGTTGTTTAATTTTGTTTTGTTGTTTACGAGCTCTGGCATTTTGGGCTGCGAGTCTGGAGACTTCCAGGTGCTGCTGCAGCTCGGAATGCAAGGCACGTAACTTACACACACACACACACCAACCATATACATATAACTCTACACACATATGCGTAATCATTAAAACCTATACAAACTGTTATTATTTGTAATAATCATATTGTATATGCTGGATGAAAATATGAACAAAGCCAGAAACAGAAACGAAAAACAAAAACTAAAATTATTCCTCCAAATGGGATCTTGTTTGCTCAAGTGATTTTTTTTTGTACTAAAATGGTAGCGAAATGAACGCAAAAGGCGAAATTAAATTAAACAATAACGAAAATACATAAATTAAAGCTCAATCGGAGTCGGAGTTATCAGCGACGAGAGAGAAGCATCTACAATATATTTATTATATGTATGTACCTACTATAATATAATATTAAAGTGTAATACTTGTACGTGTCTATTTATAGAGCTAATCCCAACAAAGGCGAATAAAAATCCAACTTTTAATAAACACCAAAAACTGAAAACGAAAACTTTGCAATTGAGAGATTGTGCGATTGGCGATTTCAATTACTCCAACACAATGGGAGTGGAGTGGTGCTGGCAGTGGGAGGCAAACCCTTTTCTTTACCGGCCGCCGTGTCTGCGTGTGAAAGTAAGAAAGGAAAAAGTAAAGAAGTAATGAAAAAGAGCGGAGGGGAAAAAAAACATTCAAATAAATTATAAATTACAATGAAGCAAACACGGGGGAGAGGTAAGGTAAAATATGCGAAACGAAAGCGAAGTCTCCGGCCAGAAGCCAAAGGCAGCCTCGTGTATTATTATTCCAGCGATTCTTGGCTGTGTTTCGCTTTATTCTGTCGCCGTCTCGCACTCTTTATCGGCCTCTCTCTATATTCCTCCTCTCTGTCCCCCCAACTCTCTTCTAATCGCTTGGCTGTGTGCGTGAGTGTGACTGTGAGCGAGCGGAAAGACACTCGCTGGTTCTTACGCTCGTAACAGTGACCCAGTCTCCAATCGAAGAGTCGCTGGCTTTTCTGGCGTCATCCGAGTCCAAAACGTTCCATTTCGTTTCGACTTGGCGCCCATTCCCCAATCCAATCCACACAATTCCGCTTCCCCCCGCCATGTCCATTAGGAGGCCGCGTGGGACGTCGCTTAGTGGATCAAAGTCAGCGCTTGTTTTGGTTATTTTTCATATCAGTTTTATTTTTATTCCTTCCCCTCAGTTCAATTGAATCCAATTGACCAAGTGCGTGGCTCTTGTCAAGCAAATAAATTTGCTTACGTATACTTAATTTACGAGGCGTATACGTAATGCAACGCCCACCAATGATCAATGCCTGCATCTGCAGCCAAGTGGCTGATTAGCCAGCCAGCCCGGGGAATGCAAATTCAACCCATTTACTCTGGGTTCTCTTATTTTTTGTATTTCCATTACGAGCAGAGCAAGTGTACCTTTGACTTTGTCTCTTGGAAATTACCGCAGCAGCTGCTGCGCCACACACTTGGTGATGATCCAACTCTGTGGCTTAGCCCGCTTCTCGGGCGATTTCATCACGGATTGAGATTACGTTTCTGATTCCAATTCCCATTCCAATTTTGATCCGATAACACCATGTGCATTAAGTGCAGCTAAAAGCATTTGAGAGGCTGGGAGGCCTGATGCCTTAGTCCACGATTTGAGGGGAATTTCACACTTGTGAGTCAACAATTTCTGAAACTTTGGTCGAAGAATGTCAGGAGATGTTAGGAATTTATTATATTTAAAAGGGTATATTGAAAAGTATTTTATGGTGATGACTGACTGAAAAGTTTACCTTTACCTTTGGAATTGTTTAAGGCGTATTTTCTTGGCAATTTAATAACCTTTCAGAATATATTTTTGTATAATTATAAGTTAACTTAGATACTATAAAATAAATATACATATAATGGATTCTAAAGAATATTAGTGCAATAAATAATCTATTAATAGGAATTTTGTTTACACTTTTCTTTGAAAATATGGTAAGTTACTTTATATTTCTCTTGAAATGTATTTAAATATTCTTCTTCAATTAATAATCTATTTATTTTAATTGTGTTTACCCTTTTCTTTGAAAATATGGTAAGTTAGTTTATATTTTTCTCAAAATTTGTTTAAAGATTTTACTATATAAATAATCGTTTAATGTGAGTTTTGTTTACCCTTTTCTTTAAACATGTACTTCCCATACTTTATATTTTTATGGAAATTTATTTAAAGATGCTTAGTTAACTCTAATGTTTAACTATTCCCAAATATTTTATATTTCTATCTTATGGAAAATTTAATTAAGAATTCTGTCTCCCAGCGGAAATATCTTTTATCTTGAAAGAATCTGCATCTTTCTTAGATAATCTTATTCAATGTTAATTTTGGAATACATTCCAAAACATGAACCAATAAAATCTTTATTTCTCTTTAAGTATAAAATAAATATTTAAAGAAAACCACTCTCTGGATCTTTATTACCCAATCTTGTAATTTTGCATTTCGAATCCGCAATCTCACGCAGCCTTCTCCCGCACAGACAGACACTCTTTACTAGCGACACTCTATTTTCATTTCCATTTCCATTTCTATTTTAAGCCTTTTTTGCAGTGCTGATGTCATTTCTTGGTCATTTTCTATGCATATTCTGCTCTTTTTGGTTTTGCCCAGAGATCAGTTCAGTTTGCTTTAACTCGGTTTAGTTTCGCCCGATCTCAGTGAGCTGGGAGCGGGTGTTATTGTTGTTACCTCGCACAGGCCGTTTGGGGTGATACATCAACTTCTTAATTTATGAGGTGCAATTTTTATGGGCTTCACCCGCGGCTGCGACCCGGTACCCAGTGCCCGCCGGTAACAACATCTCTTTTTGTTGATTATTTTTATTTCTCTGTATTTTTTTCACTTTTTCCTGACTGCCTGCCGGCCTGCCGCTTGCCTTGCCTTGCCTGTGTGCTTGTGGCAAGAACTTTCTCTTCTAATTGAAAGCAGTTCGATGGCGGCGGGCGATAAGAGTGGGACTGGGCAATGGGAATGGGAAGCGGTCCGCTGAGCAAAGCATCCAGCTGGGCATCTTTTGATGAACCGGCTGCGGATGGATTGACGTGGTTGTGGAGCTGGTTGGATTGGACTGGATGGTATGCCTGAATGGTGGTCGGATGCTTGGAGTGGCCAGTGGAGCGGATGAATGGCGATCGGCGATGGTGAGACATTTCTTATGTTTCTGCTTTAATGGGAACTTTATGCAGCCGCAAGGCATTTTATCTCTCTCGATTCGATTTGAATACGGAAAAGGAGGGGCGGCGGCAGTAACGTCGGCGATAAGCGCCAACAAGTTGAAAATAAATAATAAATATTTAAAAGTAGAAGAGGGGTGTTGGACGAAAAAAAAAAAACTGCCAGTGAATGAAAGCCGGCGGAGAACTGGTCGCTCGCCTGGAAGTCTCTTGGTCTTGGGTGCTTTTTCATCTTTATTTTTTTCTCTGTGAGTTTGGCTTTTTCACTTTTTTTTAGATTTTTTTTTTTTTGTGAAGCTGTGGCATGTCTCGGCTTTGCGGCTCGGCGTCTGTGTTTCTTTTGGCTTCTAATGGCAGCCGTGAGGTGAGAATCGATTTAGTTCGGTTTACGACGATCCGAGATACAAACGCGAAAAAGTTTCTTTTCGGTGTGTGCCGTGCTGTGCGCCAGAGATCCGAGGAGTAACATATAGCCAAAGCCAGCGCCAGGAGCAGCTCCGGAATATAAGATATATATCAACTCCGACTCCGGCTAATTGCAGCAGGTGCTAATCACGGCAATTACGAACTACAAATTGCCTACACCGCTCTTAGGGGTAAATCAATTTCCGTTTTTGCGCAAAAGATCATCCAAAAAATTGATTATTATTAATGGCCCGAGTGCCACAGTTAACTAAGTGAGCGTGTCTGTAAAATTTCTCTAAGCCGGCGATTTCCTGGCGGCCACCTGGCAAGGTGAGGAGGTGGTGGTGCTCGGACCCTTGCTCGAGGAAGAGGAAAATGGTGCTTATGCAAGTCGGAGGGGGGCTCTAGAGCCTAATTGCATAATTTTTGGATGAAAAATTAAACACTCCATTTGCAGGCACGAAAAGGCTTAAAGTGGCCGTGGAAAAGGGGGTTTGCTTTTGTGAAAAAACTCTGCATAATATTAACCACAAAACAAAAGTACTCAACTCGGAAGTTAAATATTAAATGCTGGATATATTTTTGAAACGTAAATGGAAAAATATATAAAGTTTATATTACTATTTACATTTTAAACGCAAGTATTAGAAGCCTCTTGAACTTTACCCGGAAAAAACCCCTTAACTATTTTAAAATAAAATAGTACATTCAATAACGAAATATATTTTTATTTCATTTATATACTCATTTCCAAAAGTTCCTTAAAGTTAACTCGGTAAAAATAGTTTAATGAGCAACAATAAACCATCCTTTAAAACTATTTAAATATTTTAAAATAAAAAAGCAAATATAATATCTTTATAATTCCCAAAAATGTTTAAAAATTTTGATTTCTCAAAATTTTAAATTTGGTATGCAGATTTATTAGCCCAGAAATGAATTTTTAGACTTAATTTAATAGATTCAAAATTTGCTCTGATCCAATTGCTAACTGAAAAAGGTATACAGAGATCGGCGTTCTAACCTTAGCTTCCTTACTTGATTAGGTAGTTTTTTTACCATAAAAAATTATGTTTACATCGAACACCGCCACTCTGGATGCCTGTTATGCGGTCACTGGAGCAAATAAGGTACTCCTCTGGGTCCAAATAAGGAAACTATATAAGGTTCCACGAAAAAAGCAACGAAAAGAAAACAAATAGAGTGATTAACAAAATTCAGAGAATTCACATTTATTAAGTGCCTAATCGCCAGTGTGCGCCTTGAAAATGCAAAGAATGCATTTAAGAGCTAAGCTTATATTCTCTCATTATACAATGCCCAGGCACTTGATCAATGAATACATCAACTCTTTGCTAAAAAGCGTATTAAATTAACAATAACAATAATAACAAGCAAAGCTAAAGCTAAAATCACTGGGCCAAAGCCGCCACAAAATGAAATTAATAAAAATGCAGAAAAAGTGCCGAGTATAAAATCAACAAAAACAGAAAAAACAGTAAAGACAGGAAAAAAGAATAATGTGGTTGGTTAGGCGATAATAAGTTGCAGTTGAAGTTTTTTTTATTATTGTAATTAGCTGTGGGCAGCTTAAAAAAAGAAAAATACATTAAATAACAGCGCGATTTTGATGTTATAGTTGTTGCTGATGTAATCGCATCGTTCGAATCGCAAAGGAAGCCAAGTCAGCCATTATGCATCACTCTATAGGCGACCTAAAGCGACGTAACTTTATTGATAATTGCCATTAATTGGCCCCTTTATTGAGTCAACCTGATATTTTCGCCACCTTTTTACGCCCTCAAGGTGGATAAAGCGATTTATGAATTATAGCTAAGGCAGTAGCTAACCGTTTAAAAATGACTAATAAATATAATTTTAATATCTTAGATATATACCTCACTTTTTGCCCTTTTTCTTGAGAAATCCCTTGATTTACGGCCGCCACTTGTCACATTCTTGAACTTGACAGCGAATAAACCATTCCAGAAGCCGCCGGTGGAATGTTGCAGCCATCACAGCTGCTGCTGGTGGCCTGCCTGCTGCTTATGCTGTTGCACTTGGAAAATGCCACCGCCAAGCCGCCCACCAAGGAGCTGCCTCGCCCGCTGATTCTGCTGGAGGAGAAGGAGCCGGAGCAGGAGCAGGATTTCAAGATGACATTCCAGGGGCAGCGAAATGGACGCTCGCACCGTCCCACATTGATGGATGTGGCCCTGCAGCAAAGCGTGCGCCAGGGATTGGATGCCATGGCCGAGCTGTACGGTCGCATTCAGCCGGAGATGCTGCGCAATGGTGGGTACTAGTGTTTCCACTACCATAACCACAACTGAAATCCTCGAAAATCTCGAAAATACCACGCAAAAAAGGTCAAACCCTGCAGGACAATCATCCAGCCGCGATGCTTTCCCGCTTCAATGCCCCAACCACGGACTCGGAGCGCCGGGAGATGGCCGCCTATGCCACCATAGCAGCAGCCAAGGCCTTTCGGAAAAAGTAAGTTCGAGAAGGAGGGTGAGCTGGAGTGAATATGGGTGTGGGTGTGCATGGGGAATGCGGTGGGTCCTGAGTTCATCAGCCGCAAATATCTCTGTGGCTATGACATATGAAAAAAGTTATTGACCAAAGCGATGGGCATGATTAAAAATCAAAGTGGCTTGGAGGTGGGTCTGTAAAGTTCTGGGAAAGTGGGAAAAATACTTTACATCTATCAAGCTAGTCGAAAAAATACATGAAATAAACAACCGTACTCAAGCTTATCCTCCGTAATACGTTTTTTGTTGAGGATTCAGAGGCCTAAACCAGCTCTGAAAATCTATAAAAATCTAAGCAAATTTCTCTGTAAATGTTTGTTAAAGAATGTTATTCCTCACTCTTTGAGCCACCCTCGGTGAAGCACCCGCAACCACTTATAGGTTACTCTCGAGTTTCTGGCCGCTGGCAATCTAATGCAAAACGAACATACAACCCGGCTTCCAACGAAAAAAAAAACAATAATAATAATACTAAAGAAATAACTGATGGAAAAGACAAAGACAACAATGTAAGCAATATTATTGAGTGGAGGATGCTGTGGCCCCCGCCACCGCCTCCCCATGCGTTCCTGCCTTCTGCCAACAATTACCGCTGGCAACTTTCTCGCTTGATTAACGAGTTCTACGGCATCCATGGCAGCCAGCGGTGGCAGAGCTAATGAGTTGGAGCTGCGATTGGAATGGAACGAACTGGCCAGGCCGGGCCTCAAGTGGAAGTGAACCCTCCTCCCGCTCCGGGTTGTTGCAAAAATAATCTTAGCCAAAAAACGAGGGGCGTCCCACTGTGATTGTTCATGACTAAGAGTCAACTTTCACTTTGACATTGAAATGCCGGATAATTGGCAGACAAGCGAGGCCAAAACCATTTCCAGATCGGGCCAGGAATGCGCTGGGCGAAGGCGAATTAAAGCTGCCCGGGTTAAATGACCTCTTTGGCCGTGCTCAGCCGGAAATGGCAGACGCCAGCAACTTCCACTTCAGCTCCAACTCCAGCCATGCCATTTCCATTTCCATCTCCATTTGCAGTTTTTCCAGTTTTCCGCTGACAGAGTTTTCACTTTTCACAACGGGTTGTGCCTTTGTGGATTTTCCACACAAATAACAAAACGAAAAGCGCGTTAAAGCCGAGAACTTTCACCCGGCCAAAAAAGGCCATTTACTCAGGTGTGTGAGCTTCGTCTCTCAGGTGCAATGAGCTCTGACCGAGCCGAATGCAAAGCTGGGCAAGCAGCCCGAATCGCATTTACGTAATTTACGTACAATCAATGGGCCAAAACGCGGCGACATCGTCCCAATCAGACAATTGCCAGACAAAAGATGGCCATTAATGGGAAATGCTTTCGGCTGAGCAGCCGCCACAATCAAATTACGAAATGGCCAGCCAGCATGTTTGGTTTAATTAAATATCAACAGAAATGTCCAGAGCGTCAATCAGCGAGCGAAGAGTGGAGATGGAGCGGAGATGGAGCAGAGATGATGATCAGCTCGTTAATGGTGCCAAAAGCAGCATTTAGCCAAATTAGAAGCCAAAGAAAGCGACAGCGGCAGCGCTAGAAAAAATTATATATAAAGAAATACCCACGCCAGCTGGGGGGAAGCTTCAGCCTCAGCCTCAGATTGGCCATTCGCAATTTGATTACATCAAGAGACGACGACTACAACAAAAACAGCGAAAGGCAAAGCTTTTGCCGAGACTGCGACTCCGTCTGATATGCGAAGAAAGAAGCAGAAACCAAAGCTGAAACTGAAACACAAACATGGGGCGACTTTCGTTTTCTACCAGCCAAGTCAGGCCAAGCCAAGCCAGGCCAAACCAATTCGGCCTCAAGCTCCTCTCATTTCGTACGAAAGTTTTGTATTGTATTGTAATTTTTTGTTTCTGTTTCAAGCGAGGGCATTGAACCCTCTCGAACGCTCGGCTGCGGCCAACGCTGCGGCTGCGCTTTTTCCTTCATATTGCGTATACGCTGCGTGAACCCAAGGCAAAGGGCGCTCTCCTTTAAAAACAATGCTTAATAAATAAATAATAGGCACTCTGGGCAATGACAAGCCAAAGCCTGGGAAAATATACATTTCCACTTTCACCTGCAAGGAAAAACTGGAAAAACGTGCCGAAACAATTATACACTTTGCGCATCCCCTGGGGGCCATCGAAAATAGCCTTCAATCAAAGCTAATTTTCCAGCAGATGCGTGAGAGGAAAAGTGAAAACGCCTAGAAGATAGATGGATTGATTGGAAGATCGCAGGAAATTATAGGCCAGGCAGGAAGTTTGCTGAGACAAGAGAAAGCTGATGCAAAGATTGAGATTTTCCTATCTAGATTGGAATGTTTTGATTTTGTCTGTTGGGGGGAGTGAAGTTTTTATTTTGTATATGATTTTCTGTTGCTGAAAAATATAAAAACAAAAAAAATATATAACAAGTGCTATATATTTATGGTAATCATTGAATACTGTTGAGGAATGACTATCACATTTAAAAAAAAAAACTGTATTTTCAAGTTAACGTATTTTCTTTAAATAAATCGTTTGATTTTCCTTTTATAAAGTCACAGTTTGATTTATTTTCCAAAATTAAATTAATAATTAATTCATAATTTCAATAATTTAATCAATTATAAGTTACTTTAAACCTTTAAAATGTTATTTTCAAGTCTAAAATCTTCTCAAAAGTGACCCTATATCGCAGATTTCTGCTTACTCATAGAGAGACGCACTCCAGTCCCCCAAGCTTCTAGGCATGTTTCATGACCGAGTCATTATACCCCTCGGGATTAAAACGAAATGAAAATTGATGAAAAAATAAAAACTGAAAAAGAGTTGCTAATAAACGCGGCAAATGGAAAGCAAAAGCGGGGTGAATTAAAGCCAGCGGCGAGCTGTTCACTGCTAACTGCTCACTGCTCACTGATTTCTCATGCGTTTTCCCGCCACAATCTCACACCTGCAAGCGCACTCACACCAGGCCACCACTAACACCACCACCATCTGGTGGATCCCACTTGGAGCGAACTCGTTTCCACCAAACTCTGATTCCGTGTGGAGTCGCAAGCGTTTTATAAATAGAAGCCGGCGGCTCGAGCAGTCGGCACTCGAACTCGAAATTTGAGCGCAGCCATGTCACCAGCCACATCCAAGCCGCTGGATGCAGGCTGAGGGTTGTCCTGGCTCCGTCATGGTCCACCCTCTGCCTGCTATCCGGCCGCCTTGACCAGCATCTAACCCTGGTTATCGCAGCTTCCAGCACATCGATGAACTGGCCCGCCAGTCGCACGCGCAGCGCATCTCCCTGCGGCGCACCGCCTTGGAAGGACTGTGTCCGCCGCGGGATCCACCGCCCTGCATGCCCGCCTCGGAGCGGTATCGCACCCACGATGGCACCTGTAACAACAAACGCCGGCCTAGGTGGGGCGCCGCCCAGATGCCCTTCAATCGGTTCCTCCCGCCGGAGTATGGAGATGGCGTGGACACTGTGAGAAGTTCCGCCGATGGCAGCACCTTATCCTCGTCCAGATTTGTGAGTTTGCTGGTCCATGGAGCGAGGGAAGGCGAGGCACCGCTTACCCTGATGATAGCCCAGTGGGGGCAGCTGCTGGACCATGACATGACCTCAACGGCACAGCCACGGTGAGTAGCTGTTACTCAACCTAAATTTATACATTTTATTAATTCTTGATTTCTTAACTCTATATCCTGGTAGCTCCATCAATGGCTCCATTCCCAGTTGCTGTGGTGGCAAGGACTTTCATCCAGCCTGCTTCCCTATCAAAGTGCCCCTAGACGATCCCTGGCTGGCACCACTCAAAGTGCGCTGCCTGGAATTCCTGCGCTCGGCTCCGGCCCAGCGGCGGGATTGTGTGTTGTCCTGGCGGGAGCAAACCAACCAGGTTACCTCCTACATCGACGCCTCGCCCATTTACTCAAACAGTGCCAAGACCTCAGACAATGCGAGGGTTTTCCGTCATGGACTGCTCATCTATGGCCGTGGAGATCCCGCCGAAGATGTGTGCCAGCGGGGTGCCATAGCTACCAAGTGCATAAGGTCCGGAGATGGGCGAAGTGGAGAGCAGCCTGGTCTGCTGGCCATGCACCATGTCTGGGTGGGCGAACACAACCGCATAGCCCTTGAGCTGAGCGAGCTGAATCCGCACTGGAGCGATGAAAAGGTGTACCAGGAGACGCGTCGCATTGTGGGTGCCATGTTCCAGCACATAACCTTCCGCGAGTTCCTGCCCGTCATTCTGGGCCGGGAGGTGGCCAAGCTGTTCGACCTAGACCTGCTGCCGTCGGGCTACTACGAACGTTACAGTTCAAAGGTTAATCCCACGGTGGCCAATGCCTTTGCTGCGGCGGCCTTCCGCTTTGGCCACTCGCTGGTCCAGAATTCCTACACGAGATGCGATCGTCATCACAATGTGATCAACAACAGTAAGTTCAGAGACATCTTTGGTGTGTCCCTGAATATTATTTATTATTAATTTTCGTTCCAGATGTCAGCCTGCATGAGGAGTTCCAACGCGGCGACATTGGCTCGGCGGGCTCACTGCATCGTCTCTTGCGTGGCTTGGCCTCCCAGCGTGCTCTCAAAAGGGATGAGTTCATCACACCCGAGCTGACCAATCACCTCTTCCAGACACCGGGCTTTCCCTTTGGCTTGGACCTGGCTGCCATTAACATTCAGAGGGGACGGGATCATGGGATTGCCCCTTACAGCGCTTGGAGGGTGCCCTGTGGCCTCAGCCCCATCCACAGCTGGGATGACTTTGGTAAGGTCACGTTCAGGTGCTTTAATAGCCTCAACTTTCCTCACTTGATTAACGCATTAACATCAATTAAGTGATTACACACCTCAAGGGAAATCACTTTCTTTAGGAGATTTTTGTAAAAACAAAAATGTCTTTAATAATTATGAAGTTATATAATGATAGAAGCACGTTTGCTTGAAGAAAGTTTATTGATATTATCTCAGCATTGTTAAAGTTATAAACCCTTCCTTACCTTCTCTCTCCCCCAGCTAATGTGGTGGGTCCGGAGTCCGCCAAGCGCATAGGCCACGCCTATCGCAGCGTCCACGACATCGATCTCTTTGTAGGCGGCATCGCAGAGCGTCCTGTGGTGGGCGGCCTGGTGGGTCCCACCTTTGCCTGCATCATTGCCCAGCAGTTTAGCAATGCCCGGCGGGGAGATCGTTTCTGGTACGAGAACGGTGGCTTCGAGAGCTCCTTCACGCCCGCCCAGCTGCACTCCCTGCGTCGTGTGTCCCTGGCTCAGGTCCTCTGCCGTACAGTGGGCGGTGGCACGCTTCAGCCCCACATCTTCATCCCAGCCGAGTTCGAGGACAACGAGCGACAGAGCTGCGGCGTGGGTATCCTGGCGCCCATCGATCTGAGCCCTTGGCTGGAGCAAGATCCCTTCCACAATCAACAGGTGCCAGAGCAGGTGTTCAACATGGCTCAACCGGAACTGGGCTCAGTGCAGGTCCTCAAGGAGGACAAGGCGGGCTTCTCCAACCGAGTGAGACCGACCAAGCCTCAGGTGGAGCTCAACGCCAACTCAGCCACTGGTTTCCATCGACCCACCAATGGGAGTCCCTCCAAAGTTAGCGACAAACTTGACCTCAAACGCAAGACAGTGACGACAACCAACAAGAACAGTGACAGTAACAACCGACAGACCACTCGCAAACCCGTGACTGGTGTCAACAACAAACTCGACAAGTCCCCAAAGATCACCATAAACCTAAAGAGCGTGAATGTGCGCAGGCCAGGGGGATCAGGACAGAATTCCAAGAGACGTGTGGTCATTAACAATGTGCCCGTGGAGCTACGGAGCTCAGGGGGTAATGCTAGTGATGCAGCGACTGGGACAGGAACTTTGACTGATGGGGACGAGGACGAAGAGAATGAGTTTGAGGAGGACGACGTACAGGACATGGAGGAAGTGCCAGAGTTGAGGACTAGCCAGGAGACAACACAGACTGACCTAAACAAAACTGACGCAATTAAAAAAACAACTAAAGAGGAACAACCTCTTGTACAGAGTACAGAAAACCCCAAGACCGAGAGACGCGACTCCAGGAAACTGGATCCCCAACAGGAGACCAAGATCCTTGACAAATCACTGGACTCACGACTATTACACCTCCAACGCAATCGTACCAGCACTTTTTCGGATTCCCAGACCAGCTCCACAGCCAGTTTGGGACGATCCACGCGGCAAACCAAGGCGCCCAAGACCAACAAGCCCACTAAGCGGGGCGTCGAACTGAGACAGTACCAGAACAGACCGCTGTACGAGAGACCCCAGAAGGTGGTGGTCAACGGACCGAACGCCGACCAGTACGAGATCGAGATCAACATACGACAGACAAACAAGAGTCCCGTCTCGCGACCCTCGATGACCGACTATGCGGAGTACACGACTGCCCACAAACCGTACTACGAATCGAACTACGCACCGCACTACGTGGACTATGCGAGCACGACACCCGTTCCCTTGCCAAGCTACGGGTACCACCAGCCCCTGGCGGAGATTAGCACTCAGGGACAGAGAACAAAGCCACCGACTATTATCTATCTGAACGACAACGACGACAGACGGACTACGACCCGAGCACCGAACATCTTCCAGAACTTTTTGACCTTTGCCACGAACAGTTTTAATCCCCTGGGGAACCGACGACCGATGCCTACAACTCCTTCGCCCATCTCCCAGAGCCACAAGGAGCAGAGGCCCATTTTTGAAAACAATGTTGTACACAGTCCCATTAGCATTGGTGGGAACTCACACACACTGACCGGTTATCCCTCCTACTCCCCACGTCCGACTTCAGTGCACTCCTATCCGGTGTCCACCAGCTCCCAGATAGGAGCTAATCCTGGTTCCGGGTTTCTGCACGCCTCTAGCAGCGCCGTGAGCGCTGGCCACTTTGGCAGCATCTCCGGAGTGGCCAGTGCCAATGGTGCTGACAGCACCTTTAGCTTCAATATACGACCGCGACCTAGTCAGGAGCTGGGTCCGGCAGTGAGCTCTTATCCGCGACCGCAGCAGAGTCAGGGGGGAGGATCCTACGGCCTGGTTGGGCCACCTTCCTACAGACCAGACTATCCGCCAGCCCAGAGCGAACTATACTACGACAGGGAACTAAGTACTGACAGAAACACCAGTCCGTTCTCCGGCTCCAGCTCGAGTTCGGTGTACAGGCCACAGATACAACAGCAGACTTTCTACGGACGGACACCGGAACTCAAGGAGGCGGGCAACGCCAGCAACGAACTGACCCAGACAGAGCATAAACTCTACCTACAGGACTATGACTATGTGAGCAGGACTCTGTCCAACCTGACAAAGGACGAAAGCACTTTGACTCCAGACGATGATGACTACGTTTACGACGAAGACATGCCTAGCAACGACCTGGACAAGACAGAGACCCGTAAGGAGTCGGACCCAACGGACATGTCCACCAAAAAGTTTGACAAAGACGGCTACATGAGACCCCAACTGATGCGCGACTCGACGACCCACAACTCGACTGGAACGAACGTGACCTCCCTGGACGACAACTACGTAATGCCCATGCTGGCGAACAAGACGCAGACGAGCTACGTGACCGAGGTGCCCAAGCCCATGCTGTCCACCTCCAGCCGGACTGTGACGAACAGCAAGGTAACCGTCTTCCCCGACAGCCTGGGCAAGCAGCTGGGCAACGACATACTGGCGGACGAGGCGGAAGACTATGACGAACGGAACTCGGAGGCGCGCCAGAAGGCCCAGAAGCTCAAGCAACTGGCCAGTGTGGCATTCGCACCGATAACAGTACTGACCAAGCCGGACAGACCCGACAACTGGGTGATCTACAATAAGGCCAGTGAGGAGCCACCGCTGCCGCAGCCGCCTCTGATCAAATCAAATGATGTGGCACCCACCGGCGAGGTACCTACTCCTATCAAGAACTTTAATAATGCCTGGCGGAAGCAGGATCTGAAGGCGGCTCAGCCGGAGACGTCAGCCAAGCTAGAGGATGTGTCAATACCAACAACAACCACTGTGGCAGCAGCGGAGAGTAACTAGAAATGCCAAATTAGATAACTTATTTATTTTATTTATATAGTAAAATCACGAATTAAAGTCCAACTATCAATCATTACCCCAACTGTGGTTTTTAATAGGAACTCAACTAGGGTTTATAAAGCTGTAATTAAGGTTGGCATACAAACCAATCTCAAAGGATTTCAACTCGAACTAACTAGTTTCAGCACATTTAAACAAGGACACCATTTCTTGTAGAATCTCATGAAGATCCAGCAGATCATCCTCAGTTAGTTTTCATAGTTTCACTGTGCCAAAAATGTAACAATTCTTGGTTTGTACTTTATTACAATGCAGCCTAAAGCTAGGTTTATCCATTCAGAGAACACAGACACAGAATGCTTAACTAAGTATATTAGGGGGAACCCTGTTTCGATATTAATTTCTAATTCGGCATGTCCAGTTGCTGTGCTAATTATTAGTGTATAGTTAATGGGGTTACCAATATAAACAACAGTATTATCAACATCATCATCATCATCAATTACGTACTAATACAAGTACCATTATGTGTATAATAAATTATGCTTGTCACACCGATCGGCCTCTATGCGTGTAAGGTATAAAATGACTAAGTATAACAAAAATATTGTACACTTTAAGCTACAACACTTTGGTGTATTTGCAAATTGAACTCATTGCTGCGTTGCAAATTGAAACGTTCTGCTAAAGCTTCCGCTCTCCATGCCTCCATAATTCGCTATCGATGGTAATTCAACTAATTAACCTGTGCTCCTCCTCCTCCTTGTGTTATTTACAATCTTGGGCGAAACTCCTCCTTGTCTGGTGGTTCTCAGTACGTCGCTTAAATGCAGTTTTGAGTTGGTTTCAGTTTGGCTGGGGTATTGTGCGTATGCGCTCTTCACCAGCGGATCTGGTGCTTGTACTGCTCGTCCACGGCAATGCGCTTGATGGTCTCGTAGCCTAGGATAATGCTGAATGAGAAGGCCGCCGACTGCACCAGGCGGGCGGACAGGCCCTTGAAGAAGCAGTTCAGCTTCTCCTCCTGCCACAGTTCCCGGAAAGCGACGCTCATCGAGTCCAAACGATGGACCTGGGGGAAGACATGATAACATAGATTACGTACTGTGACTGACAAGCACATGGACTGTCTAAGATAAGAGCCCTCATAGCTCGAGTCTCTGAGAATTACGTATGATTTCAAAGTAGCAAATCACGATTTTGATGACAAATCAAATTCAATTTAAGATTGCAGTTTAGAAAACGAGCTATGAGGATCATTATTCCGCGTAACCTAAGCACAGACTTACCTGTAAACGGGCGCGAACTATATCTAATGGATTGGTTAATATTGTCGTTGTGAAGCCGCCCAGGCTGCCAGCCACGCACTGGATGAACAAATGAGAAACCCAAATGGGGCATATGCGGCACAGTTCGTCTGCGGAAAAAGCCAAAATTTAATTAATCTAATCACGGTAATTTAAGCCAAAACCTACCCTGATAGAGGTGATAGAAGGCCCACCACATGGCAGAGTTAGGTACGTAGGCCATTAGGCTGGCGGTGTAGCCTCGGTAGAAGCCCCGGAACCCGTCGCGTCGCATTATCTCCCTGCCAATATCCATGGAGATGTGCAGGCGACTCCGGCCGGGCCATGACTTTATACCCAACGGGTTGATATCGCCCTTGGAGCCGGCGTGCGCCGCCATTCCCAGCACCATGGCGTGCTGCGATATCACGTCGAAAGGAACTATGATGGTCTGGCCCACCAGTGAGGCGCAGCCGCCGCCGAGCAGCGCCTTCATTCGATGACCGGCACCCATATCGTTGAGTACGTGGCGCACGCCCTCATAGGTGCTGATGTAGAATACTCCTGAGACGATTTGTACCGAGGATATCCAGAAGCCACGATACAGGCCGGGCACACCTTCGGAGCGATAGATCTTCATGGCACAGTCCACCATGCCCTTGTAAACATCGCTCTTGTGCTGCACCTGCAGCTGCGTCTTGATCACCGTCAGCGGAAAGAGGCAGCAGCGCACCGAGAAGGAGCTTAGCATGGAGAGCGGGAAGAACTTGGTCTTGTTCATCATGTTCCACTCGATGGTGCGTATGTAGGGGGATCCGTCCACGCCGCTGCTAGTGCCGGCTGCACCGCCGGAGGCCACCGAGAGGCGGGCGCCGCTGGTTTCCGTCATCGCTAGCTGCTGTCGTCTGCGGTCGGATGATGAGTGCGTCCTCCGTAGAGGAGCGCTGGCATGCGTGGAACTAAAGTGATACTGGCTCCCTTCACAGCCTCCCGTTCGTCTGGCGCTGGCGCTGGCTCTGGAGGCATTCGACCTGCATGACTCGCCTCAAAGATCGCTTGCTCTGCCTTTGTGCTGCTCCGCTTTGTCGTGTCCGTTTGATCTATATCTGTGGGAAACAAAAACATATCATCAGAGGGCATTGACGCACGAAAATCATTGCGAAGGCCCCAAGGTCGTCGTCCAACTGCGGATGCGGAAAGCATCTACGCCTGGCCGCGACCTTTGGCCACCATCTGTCTGGGCCAGTCCGGAAGTCCGCCCGGCTGTCCAGCTATCTAATCTTGGCGCTTGGTCCGCCTGGGAGTTGTTATTATATAATGCGCAGACACCTGACTGAGTGGCCTCGGCCTCCACTCCCCGCGCCCAGTCAAAACACTCGTGGACGTAAACAAACTCTTTGTCAGGGAGTTCCACTTACTGGGATTCTCCCCTCTGCTGTGGATGTGTATTGCCTGGATTCCACGGAACACTTGGTAGTCGCGGGAGACACTCACCTACGCCAGTATGCTTGTTTTGATACTTGGTTTGTGCATATCACATAATAAAAATCTGCTGAAAATTGAGATTTCCTGAGGGCGGTGTGACCGTTTGCGTGAGTGCAGCAAAATAACGCACCAAGGGCTACCACATAAAGTTGAGCTTTTAGTGCTGCCAGATGGCGAGATTAAGACGATTGTAATATCGATTGTTAATCGAATTTGAATGTGAACGGAAGCTTAATTGTATAAAATAAAATTGTTTTAACCTTTTTAAACGTTTTTATACAAGATTTCAACTAAATTCTTATAATAATAGCTTTAAAACTCTTTATACACATTAATTTCCATGTTTGTAACATTATTTATAAAAAGTAAATATAAAATAAAGAATTTTAACATAATATACAAAGATATAAGATTTAAGATATACAAAATACAATGACATTATATTCCTGGTTTAAAAATGATTCCTTAACGTGTTTTTCATCAATGTTATATAAAAAACCCTACTATTTACTAATACATTTAAATATACTCCTTAATTCAGTTACAGGAATTCAAAATTTTACCTGGTAATTCCTCACCCAAAAAACACATTTAAAATTCCCTTTTCAAAGAGCTGTCAAATTTAATGACATTTCAGCCTGATTGACGCCCACGCCAACAATCCATTGGTCATCCCCGTCAAGAGCCGCCCAACCAATCAGCGTCCTTGGGGGGCGGGACGCGTCTGCGCCATGGCTGTCTTACAGCATCAGCATCATCCAACAGCAGCAACCCCCAACGAAACCAGGACGCATCCTGGTCAGTCACCACGGATACTCGAACCCAACTGCACGACAGCAACGGAATGCGCGCTGATCGACGACAAGTGAAAGCAAAGCCATCGAGCGCTGAATAATTGAGAACTATTGATGGCCAGCAGCCAGGTGAAATCCTATTAGTGAATATAGCAGGCAGCACCCGCCACCACCAAGTTCAAGATCGAGCCGATGGATACCGCCAAGTTGGTAAGATTAAAGCTTTTATTGCTGCTGCATCGTCAGACATAAATAGGGCTTAAAGTAGAGTCGGAGTCGAAGAGCAGGCGAAGAGTCCGTCAGCCATAGCTCAGGGTGTAGCCCATATTCTCCATCAGGGTCTCCTTGATGGCCGGCTGCAGGGCGCGCTGCATGTAGGTGGTTAGCAGGCCCCGCACGCCCATCGAGAAGAGCTTCTCCAGCTCGTGGGACATGGCCTCGCCTACGAGCTCCTCGCGATCTGCTCCAGAGGAACTCGTCTCGGCCCCGCTCCCTGCGCTGAAGATGTCCGCAAAGGCCCGGGCATCCGGCTCCACCAGCTGCTGCAGCTGCTCGTCCTCAAAGTGCAGCACATCCTCGCTGAAGTTCATCTGGTCCTCGAAATTATCCTGGGCATAGCGCCGTCGGCGCCTTCGCCGCTTGCCAAACTGCCGCCGGTAAAAGTTGTCGCCGTTGACATCGACAAACTCCCCGGAATCGCTGCCCAGCTCTAGGCTCTGGTCCCGCTTCGAATTCTGGCTCAGCCGGATGTCGTAGCTTGAAGGCTGCTGCGGCTCCTGCTGGTGGTGGTATTTGCCCCATCTCTGGCCCTGCGGTCGATTGTTGGTGCCTAGAATCACATGGGGCTCGCCCAGCTCCACCTCGGGAGCATGTCCGAATCTCCGCTTGGAGTTCTGGCGAAGGCGAATGCCACTGGGTCCCTGGCAGCCGTGGGCAAAGACCGATATGAAACCGGGTTCCGCAAAGTGGGAGTCTGTTCTTACAGAGGCTCCTCCCAATCTTCGCGACTGTTCGTATCCAGTGGATTGTCCCGTACCGTGGTCGTACCCCAGCGGCACCGTCCGGAACTCAATGCCCGCGTGTCGCAGCCGCAGGATCATGTGGCACTTGCCGCCCATTGGTTGCATAACAACCTTTCCGCTGAGCGTGAGATCCGGAAAGATTAACCTGGTGTCCAGCGTGGAGTTCTCCGTGCTGAACTTGCACTTGTCGATCTCCACCCAGCGATTGGCCGACTTTGCCGGCGGCACGCGCACCTTAAGATCCTCCACATCCACCCGGGAAATGGCCAGCTTGTGGGGTTGTCTGTGCTGATACTGCTGTTGCTGGTGTGTCTCCTGGTTCACAGCCAGCAAGTCCTCCAGCTCCAGAGCACTGCTGGGGTCTGAGAAAGGGTAAGGTCTGCCGCTCCGGTGCAGGAGCTTGGCATGGTAGCCGCGTCCTGAGTTGTAGGCGCCGCCACCCACATTGTAGAAGTCATCCTCCGGCTCGCTGTGCTGCCCATAGAAACTGTGGTAAAGTTGGTAGGGACTCTGCGGCGGTGGCTCCCACATGGCCCGTGATCCGCGATTGCGATCCGTGGAGGAGCTCTTGGTCTGGATACTACGGCGTCGCATGTGCTCTAGAGCGTTTTCAAGACGATTTGAGCAGCGATGGGGCAATTGATACGGTTGGCAGAGGGTTACTAAGGAGGAGGAGGATCATTTGTAGTTTTTAAGAGTGATTTGTGGTGATTTGGTGGTCACTTACACTGCAGCAGAGCCCACAGGGACAGCAGGAAATTCAGCCAGTTAAGATCTCGCGTCACGTGTCCTGCCATGGCGTTGCAGTAATCATGGAGCGGGGTTAATTTTTAAAGGGATTTAGTAGCTATAGCGCTACTCTTATTTAAGCAACGAATTTTCACAATTTATTTTTAAGTTAGGATTTTTAAATATTTTTAGTTAATTTAATTTATTAAATTAATTTTTAAGTAAGGTATCGCCCAAAAATATTGTTGTTTATTCACTGCACCGGAAGCTTAGAATCTCTCCGAGAAATTAAGTTCTTATTTCAATTTTTATAGCATTTAGTTAATACTTTGCTTATTCCTTGAGTTAACTTTTTTTCTTTTCTTTTAATTGTAACTTAAATCACTTTTTTTTAATAGTTTAACAGCCCGAAGCTGGAAGGTTAATATTTTGGTTATGTTAATAACTTCCTGCTTTTCAAAAAAAAACTTTTTTAAATTGGAATTCTCATTAAGATAATCCCTTGGATAGATAAAACACAACCGATCCTCTCAAGTAAACGAAATTCTTGTGCAAGAGTCCGCCTTAATCAATTTTGTAACCGAAATCCTTTCTACTTTCTTGGCTAAGTAATTCCCAGTATGTAGAAAGAATCCTTTATTCGTTGGCTAGAAACACCTCCGAACTCGCCCGTAGCTTAACCGAAAATGCGACTCCCAAGCCTAGCAACTGAGTAACTGGCTCGGTCGCGCTTCCATTGCCACAGTACATCACTGGCAAAGAGGCACAGCACCCACAAGAAGACGGAGCCGCGATGGTGACGACCGTGTCACTGCCTCATCATGGGCAGTGAAAGTGTTTTCCACGACGAGCACGAAAAAGCGACTCAGCCAAGCCAAGCCACACAACGCACCTCAGCGTGGAAACGAACGAAAAACAAAAGGCAAAAAAAAAACCCAAACTATAACAATTTGAAAAAAGAAAAGCATTGTCTTTGTCAGCCTCAAGCTGCCCTCTCGTTGGGCTGCTGCTGCAAAGTAGATCAGCATATATACTCATACCATGTATATATATTTACCCGTATATAGTAGTAGTTACCTGAAAAGTAAACACGAGCACAGTTTCGTAATGTCAGTTGCGGGCGCGCATGCGTCGTAATCTCCGCCAGCTTCGGCTCTGGGAGCCTATTGTTCGCCAGAGTTCAAAGTTGATCAATCCGTCGGATGAGTCAGTCACCCACACACATAGACACAGTTGCCACAGTTTGTTTTCCCAATTGCACTTGTAATTGGCATCAATTGGCCATGCAAATTAGAGCCTAATAGGGCCCAAAGTTCATCATGTACTGAAGGGTATTTACCCTGCAAATATCGTTGAGGAAAGGATTTCAATTAATTTGAAGAAGAGCATTTGATAAAGTATTCAAAAATTGTTTATTTTAAAGCAAGCAAGCTTGGCATAATGAATGTGACCCATAAGAGCCATTTAAGGAGAAGGGATCAAGAATTTAGGAGGTAATTAAAGCTCTAGTTAATTGTAAATAATTTACCCCAAGGGGTATTGTCTAGTCGGTTAAAATGTATCAAGCATGTATATGTATTACCCCTGCTGCACCTGCGCACGTGCGGCAGGTGACAACGCTTGGCTGGCTGCCTCTACATGCTGCCTGCCGCTGTATTTTTTAGCCGCTCGCACATGACAGTTACACTAAATAATTGCGGTAATTTGATTTGACAAATTGTTTGCTTGCACTTAGCGAACGCAATCCGGCGACATATTTTGCAATTTGGCCAAAATTTGTGCTTGCCAAAAGAGCGGAAGAGGAGTTTGCCATGGATTGTAAAATAATATAATAGATACATCCATGAAGTTGAATGTACCATATCGGATAAGATTTACATAACCACCTACAAAAGTTTATTTCATAGGGGAGAAAGCATTTCTTCTGCCCAAAATTATGGTAGAAAGGGACGGTGCCGCTTTCTGCGTTTCTACCCGATGGAACTGGAAGTGGAACCCGAGCAGATTGGAGCCAGCGATGCCTCCGCTGCGCCGATAGAGCCGAACCGAACCGGCAGCGATTACGGGCCTGTAATTAAGGGTAACTATCGTACAAATGGTTCTCGGATGCGACGGTGCACATCGCACTGCATCGTTTGGTGCTCCAGTTTCCCCAAATGTCAAGCGGGGGTCTTGAAATGGGAGCAGTGCCTGGGATGCACTTTGGTGCTGGAGATGGTGATGAAGATGGAGACCTTAAAAAGTAGGTTCCGAAAATAAACAAACAACCTGTCACCTGTCGTCGCTGCAAATCTGTTTTAAAGGGAACTTTGTATAAATACTATAGCATTGTTTTTAGTCTTTGGATTGCTGTTAGTTTACTTTAGAAATTTGAAGGAAGTCATTAGAAATTGACCTATATGTTAAGTTTCTTTTCTTGTAAGGAGTATATAAGTTGACCCTGTAAATTTTTAATGGTAACATGACACCACATAACACAGGAACACCTTTTTGGATCTCGGAAAGACAGCAACTATTTATGCTACTATTATTTATTATGGATTAATGTTAAAGTATAAGTACTTTAAGTATATAAACTTAAAGAAAACCAGAAAACCTTATTATCACCGAATTTCCCCCATGAAAAATAAAAGTGAAATCCCTGCTTGGAGAAGCTACTCCACGGAGTTGGCGACCCGGAGAGAGTGAGAGTGTGCGGTGGCCATAAACAAAAGTTAACCTCAGAGCCCCGCTCATTAAGTGTACAAGTGTCAATAAACCGCAGTTGGAGTCGTCGGCAGATACAACAGATATAACCCCATATCACACTTACACCATGTCCACACGTGAGGGTCCAGTGCCAGTTCTAGTTCCAGTTTGAGTTGGAGTCCGTTGCTGCCGCTGACAATGGCTCATTACTTAATGGCCAAGAACAACAGAACGCGGCCAATTGACACCCGGGAAAAGAAGCCGCAGCAGAAGCTGTTAAGCTAATTGCCACGCCTTGCACCCACCACTTGACTATGTCAATGTGAAGCCACATAGCTCCGTGGCCAGTCCCAGTCCGTTCCATTGTCTCCGCAACCTGTTAGCAGCGGGTGTCAGCCCAGCAGGTGGCCTTAAAGTGCGGCCTGCTTTAAGCCCTCACCGATCCGGGGATTTCCCTCACAGATATTTTTGCGGAAAACAAATCGAAGACTAATTTGGCCAAAAGAAACCCCCACAATCCCTTCCAAGTTATAAGACCCAGACTCATGACAATTTCCTGCCGCGTCTAGTCTCATTTCCTTATTCCGCAGAGCGACTACAGCGAGGCCAAGACGCACTTGGAGCAGCTGCAGCAGACGCTCACGCACCTGGATCACTCCCACTCGCATCCGCATCCGCATCATCATCATCCCCACCACCACGCCCACTTGGGACTGTACCATGGGGCGCCCAACACATCGACGATAACCACCGACTCGGTGGTTTCCTGTGTCAGTTCCACTCTGCCGGCGGTGGCCAAGGCCATTTCCTCTTCCTGCGCCAACCTGGAGACGGAACGCAAGAAGCCATGTCATGCCAGCGACCTGGATGCAGCCGGGCATGGTCTCATGGAGGCCATTTGCATTGGCCAGAAGGCATCGCCGGTGCCGGTGGCGCCGCCGCCTCCTTGCTGTTTGACTCTGAGCGGAAGCTCCACGCCTCCGGCTCCCATAGCCACAGCGGCGCTGATGAATGCTTCTTCTGGATCCTCCAGCTCAAGCGGAGCAAGTGCCTCACTTTGCAATGGTCTGTATTTTTGTAATATATCATAAACTTAATACATTTTAGCTTGTCCGTTTTTTAACAGATCTCACTAGGGAATCCTCCTGGTATGCCCATCATCATCATCACCACCATCACCATCATCACCAGCAGTTGGCCGATGAGCTGGTTATGTATGCCACGCCCACTCCCGCTCCGTCAATCGGGAAGTTCGGCCTGGACACTTCCACCGAGGGTTACTTGAACGCAAGGTACAATGGTAAGCGTCCTCGTCCACATCCACTGTTGTCGTCATCATGTCCGGATGCAGCCTCCACCTCCATGTTCTTCTCCTCCTTCTCCTCCTCCTCCTCTACCGCCCTCCTTACTCTTCCCTTTTCTCTGGCCGACCCCGCAGTATCTACTTTTTGTTTGCTTTCGCTATTTACACGTTTGCTTGTTTATTAATTTTCCATTATGAGTTCAGAGAAGTGGGTGGGGTTTTGGTATCATCAAGCCAGGACTTGGTTTGGGTTTCGGGTTGGCCCTGCACTGCTTGCCCCTTGCAGCCTAGAGGCTTTGTTTTGGAGCTTGTTTTTTTAAGAGTTTTATTAAGAAAATATGACTAAAGTTGGCGCGTGTCGGGGCCCAAGGAGAATAAATAAAAATAGTTTATAAAATATCTTTTAATCGAAAAAGCTTAGTTAATTGAATAAATATTGTTTTTTAAAATGTAGCAAAAGGATTTAAAGATTAGATATATGTAATAGATCATTTTAAAGTTAAGACACACTATTACAAAATTTTGCTAGCATTTGTTTCTTAAACTTACTTTCTTGTGAGTGATTTTAATTTTAAATCTCAGTTTTTATGGCTTATAAATTTAATCTTTGTTTAGTTAAAGAGTCCTTAATCTTTAGTCCTTGGACCTTTGTGGTTATCTAGTCTTTAATGTTATCCTGTGGCATTCGATTATGGCCAAGTCAAGTGCATGTGACAAGTTCGATTTGTGCTCTCAAAGGCGGCGTCCTGGCGCGAGCGTTAATATAAAATATTATCTAACAAAAGTCGAGAGAGATTTCTGTGGTCGTGTGAGGAAGGGAACTAAAAGAAGTAACCTGGACTTTTTCTACGCTTTTTCATCTCTGCAGTGAATGTCAAAGGCGTGCGCCACGAGAGAACATCTACTTTCTTCGACATACCCGCTGTGACGCACCCACACTCGCATCCCCATCCGCATCCGTATTGCTACAGGTAAGGATACTCCGGGATGAGGGGGCTGAGAGCTAGGCCAGGAGCTGACAAGACAAGTCAACTTTAAGTCAATCAGCCTAGACTGGCGGCCCTCCTCTTTGATTTACGTTATGTGGTTTCAATATTTTGTGATTTATGCTCCAACCAGATTCCCATCATCGCCACCCGCGGGCATTCTGAAAAAGAGCGACGAAGGTGAGTCCTTACTTCTTAAGAAAAATGAAAAGTAAATTATTAAAGCCCGAGCCTTGTTCATCATTTATTCAAATTATGGCCCGCTATCAGCGGCAGTAACTCAATTTTGATGGTGCCTTCTTCTTGGCAATATTTTTTCAAATAAAATGCAAGAAAGTGCGCGCATAATTTACAATAACAATATCGCCGGTGTTAGTAACCGCTAATCCAATTGGCGGCACGAGCGTGGAATTCAATTTGGCGGCCCAGATCCGCGGGCTCTGTTAGCTGCCTGCCGGCCTCCGGTGGGAGGAATCCGGAATCCCGTTCGTCGAACAAGCAGCTCAATCACGATACCACCGGGGCTGAGTGGCTTGTGTTAGCTATACCCAGCCACCCCCCAGTAAGGGCTGCCCAACCCCATCCCTTCCTGCTGAGCATGATGCACTCCCACACACCCTCACCCTCACCCTCCCTTACTCCCACTGGGCAGGGCCAACAGGTCTTCGCTTTTCCATCATTGTTGTTATCGGGAATGATGTTTTTACTTGTCGACACTTGCTCATGGATTATGCAAAGGTATCTCCTGAATTTTTAATGCGCCCAGCGTCGAGTCGCGATGAGGGCTTCAGAGGAGTAGGAGGAGTAGCAACCTAATGAAAAGGACCAACTCCAGGGCTGGTGCCAAGGGGATGGTGCCGTTAAATTGCAGCATATTGAGCATTTTGCAGCCGGAGTGGCTGGGGTGGCAGGAGTGGGCGAGCGGGTTGCTTCAATAATTAATTGCTGCTAAATACCTTGGCCATTTAGCAAGGCAAGAACGGCACAAACAAAGCAAAACAAAGGAAAATAAAAGGTCTAAGGACATGAACGAAGCAAGAAATACCCTTAACATGGAGAAGAGATATTTAAGGAGAATTTAAGTAAATAGAAAGAATATAACAAACTTAAGCAAAATGAGTCAATACTTTTTCTAGACTTTCTAGGATATGTCTAGTTATTAAAAGGGTTCCTTAATTGTTATATAATTTAAATCTGTAGGTGAGATATAAAAATAGATTATAATACAATTAACAATTAAGTTATATCCTTGTAGCAACATACATAGGTTTAGCAACAAATTCTTATGCATTCCGCCATGTTAGATATAGGTTTTTCCATAAATCAGAGTATAATTCCGTTTTTTTAGGGAAATTCTTAAATAATTAATCAACTAGACAAAACCAAAAGCCACTTCGTACCCATACAACCCTCTCTCTAGCCAAAGGGTAACCAAAATACCCATGTAATTAGCGCCCATTCCCTCGATGACGGGACATTGCTCAAACGTGCATGAAAGCGGCTTTCACTTAGCTCCTGGCTGGCTCCTGCTGACTCCTGCTGACTCCTTTATCGCATCCTCCCTTTTTCCAGAGACGGCCACCGCAGCAGCTGCTGCTGCCGCCGCCGCCGCTGCTGCTGCAGCCGCAGCTGCCTACTGCAGTGATGTCTCCTCCGGCCAGCACTTTCCACACCACACGAAGATCGAGCATGCGGACTCCACCACAACGGCCGCCCAGCAGCAGCAACAGCAGCAGCAGCAACAACAGCAGCAGCAACAGCAACAACAGCAGCAACAGCATCATCATCACCAGCAACATCAGCAGCTTCAACAGCAGCAACTGCAACACGCCGCTGCCTTGCATCCGCATCACCATCACCATCCCGGACACCACCACCAGCAGGCAGCAGCTGAGCAGCACTTGACCCACCTGACACCCTTACATGCCGCCTCCGCCTTTAAGTTTAGCCACACAGCGGTCATATCCAGCTCGGCGGTATACGCCACGCCCTCGCACTACGCCCACCAACAACAGACGCAGACGCAGTCCGTCTACCGGGAGCTCTCACCCAGCTCTGTGGCAGCGGCAGTGAGCGATGCAGATTTAAAGTACGATAGCAGTCCTTACAACGCTACCATTTCGTCCACCTATCCCACGGCCCTGCGACCCAATGTAGTGGACTCAACCACTTCCAGCGATGCGGAGCTGCGCCTGGATCAGTTCTATGCCAGCAACGGTATTTCCACCAGCAGCAATGGCCAGACGATCAGCCAGCGGCGAGGGTCACTGCAGCTATGGCAGTTTCTGGTGGCCCTACTGGATGAGCCCACAACCAGGTGAGTTCCCCGACTTAGGCATCCTTAGACCCCTTCTTAATTAAGTATTTTCCTTCACCAGTGCCAGCTGCATTGCCTGGACTGGGCGTGGCATGGAGTTCAAGCTAATCGAACCGGAGGAAGTGGCCCGGCGTTGGGGTCTCCAGAAGAACCGGCCGGCCATGAACTACGACAAGCTGTCCCGCAGTCTCCGCTACTACTACGAGAAGGGCATTATGCAGAAGGTGAACGGTGAGAGGTATGTGTACCGATTCGTCTGCGATCCGGATGCCTTGTTCAACATGGCCTATGGCCACCTGACCACTGGATCCACCGGTGGCAAGGGTGACCAGCATCAGCACCAGCAGTTGACGCTATCGTTGGCCAAGACGCCACCAACTTCGAGTGACTCGCAAACGCATTCGCCGCGTGTGGCCAAGTCGGATTATTACGATACCGCCGGATTGCATAAATATTAGCCATAGTTGTCATATATGTGGGCGGAGCGTGGAAATGCGGCCGAGTGGGCGTGGCCGGGTCCCCTGTACATTGTGTAATCTAGTTGCGTGTGTGTTTGAATTTGTAACAAAGGTTTCGCCACGATGAGCTGCGTGAGGAGCCTAAATATTTATTGATTCCAAAGGTCGTCGCCGCTGGGCTCATCAAAGCGAAATATATACATACACGAATGGTACTGTAAGATATTACATATATATAGCACGCCTACATAACATATATAAATCTGTGTATATATACAACTTAAAAAGGGGGTTGTCCGCGAAATTGCTAAGGGATTTGAAATCAATGCAAAAAGGTGTTCAAAAATAATCAAGATTTGATTTTGTCACAATTTTTCACATACTTTCAGGCACCTTTCAAGGTGATTTCAACTCCCTAGAAATTTCCCTGGCCATCCCTGATAGAGGAGAACATTAACAGGGTGTCTCCCACTAATCGTAGTCTGCGTTGAGGTTGAGTTACTTAAAAAATAAACTATTAAGCCCCGCTTCCGTTTTCAAAACCAATTGAAAAACCTTTAGAGAGTTTAGATTGGTTTCGGAAACGAGAACAGGGTCATATGAAACGTTTCTGTTCGTTAAACTGGCAGCTGTGTGTGTTTCACTCCTCCTTCTTCTTCTTCTTCTTGGGCTTGTCATCCTGGTCGGAGTCCTGGCTGCTGCTGTTGCTCGAGTCATTGGCACTGCTGCTGCTGCTCTCCTGCTTTCGCTTCTCGGGCGTCTTCTTGGCCAGCTTCTCGACGTACTGCTTTAACTTGTCCGGCTGTGGGCTGTAGGCCCAGTGGATGAGCTGCAGATGCAGATCAGTGGGTGCCCCGGTCTCCGCATCGAAAAGCTTGGCCTCCTCGCTCTTGATCTGCTCCAGCAGCTTGGCCAGCTGACGATTGCGGACAATGTCCCAGCTGGTGCTCTCGTTCTCCTTGGGGAACATGGTGCGCAGGTGCTTATAGTTGCCCTTGGCCTTTGAGCCGCCATAGGCTTCAAGGAACTCCTTAACCAGTGAATCGTCCTTGGGCTCTGGCAGCTTTGTAATGACTGTCACGGGCAAGTAGGCGCGATTGTCCTTGATTCGGTTTTCCGCCTCAAACTTCTCTAGGAAATCCTCCAGCAACTGAACGGCCTCCTTGATGGCATTGATCTTGTCCTCATTCTTGGTGCCGGACAGGACTCGTTTGGAGCTGCCAATTAGACCCTTAATGGCCAGCCTCTGGTAGTCCGGATCGCGTTCTGCCAAGATGCTGCAAATGCGACACGATGCATATATGTATATAAATATTTTGGATACATGCCGGCTGAGGAATGTGCGGATGATATAAACAAGTATGTAAATATTAGGGTGGACCACTGAGTGATGAATATGTAATGATAACTTAAGAAAACTATTCGGGAAATATGGATAGAATCTAAAACGAACCCGAGATATTTTAATATTTTAATTGTATTACTCAAATCTAATCATTTTCTTTGAATAGAAGAAAATAGAAAAAATCGTAAATTGAATTGAATTGAATTGAATAAATGTCTTTAGCTAAAGATATATCAAGCTATTTTTTGTGGTTTACTTTTAAATATTTTTGCTAATTCCCAAACATTAAGACATTATTAAGTTAAAGAGTGCTTAATGTTTAAGAAGATCGTTTAAGGTATTTAGCATCTCTTTATAGTTAATATCAATACATGACGTAGTCCACCAAAGGTGATTAAATTTTAGGCATTATAATAAACCGATCCACCCTAGTATACTTCCATATACACTCGTTCACAAACAGAACATTCAAAGAGCACGACGCTCGCTCTATCAACTAATGAGACTTCCGAGTTCGGCATTCTAAAACTGTTCCATGACATCATTTGACGCCGTCGCTGGCCGCCTGGTCTGAAGGTCTCCCTCCGGCCCATTAGCATGCCCGCTAGGATGACCTGGTCTCGCTTACCTCAGCGTCGCCTCCGCAGCCGCCTTGTCTTTGAAGCCCAAACCGGGCACCGTCTCCACCTTGTCCTCGCTGTCGGTCTTGGCATTCTTATTGGAAGCTCCGCCGCCGTTTTCCTCCAGCCATTTTTCAAAGACACCAATGGCCTCGTTGATGTTCTTCAGCTTCTCCTCCGCCTTGGTCACTACAAAGGAATATTCAGGATAATATATATCTAAGATCTTGGCCAGAATTCCTTACTCGATAGCACCCTCTTGGCCCTGCCCAGCAGGCCGCGAACTGTAAGCTTGCGATATTGCATGTCATGGCTCTCCAGCAGCTTCAGCGTCTCCAGCGCCTTCTCCATATCCTTGAAACCGAACTTGGACTCGCCCTCCGACATGATGGTTCCTTTGGTTGATTTAATACTTGGTTATCTTCCACTAATAGATAATAAGCGTCCGCTGTGTGCGAGCGCCAGACTACGACTGAATTTCGGTAGTCGGATTCGCGGTCTCAATGGCGGACCAGAGTCGCCTTCGCTAGAGGGAACTCAGAAAAGAGCACCGCTGAGCGGCACTGAGCACCACTGAGCAGGCCCAATTAGATAAGCAACACAAAATAACTGGGTGACGACGACGACTCTATGGGGGGGAACCGGTTTGTTGTCGTAGCTGCAGAGCAAAACAAAACCGACGAAAAATAATTTTGAATCCGAAACCGACCTAGCGTTGCCATGCCGTCATCGCGAGCGTGATAACAAACAACATATTGGGACACAGGGGCGGATGAGCGATATTCAAGGGTGAGAAATGATTTCAGATTTAATCAAAAAAGTTTTTTACGTATGTAAACTCATGGAAAAGTTAAGTTTAACATTTTTTAGATAAAAAAGATTCACTAAAAATCGATTTATTGCCACTTCTACTTTATCTAATATCGATACACCTTCAATATGTTCCACCTTTCCTCCTCCCAATCCCATATATTCAGGACTCACAATGTTTTTAGTTTGGTTTTTGTTTATATTTTAACATCGAACTCTGAACGCTTTGGGCTTATAAGAGGATTACGATTGGCTAGTTGCAGCTGCGGCGTATTTGCAGCACATCGTCAAGCATGAAGTTGCGTAGGTGGCACAGGGCCTGCACCACATTCTCCTGGTCGCGTAGATTAGGTCCCAGCCAGTGCTCGGGCAGCGGCGCCTTGGCTACCACTTGCGCCGGCGTGACATGGGTCATGGCCCGGCGCCAGTTGTTCTGACAGGTGGCCACATTGAGGTGGCTGCCCGTCTGCAGGCTCTCGATGTACTTGATGTACGCCTCCGAGTGGATGACGCGAGTGGTGCGCGGTGGCACGGTGACGAACAGGGGCTCTGGGGGCGGTCCCAAAACGATTGTCTGTTGCTGCGGATGCTGGTGCATGAGCTGCTGCTGTTGCTGATGATGGTGTTGCTGCTGGTGCTGGAGATGCATGGATGCCTCGTGGTTGTTCGGTCCACGAGGAGATTGCGAGTTGCTAGAGGGAATGGGCACTGTGGTGGCCAGTGTGGCATTTTTGTGCCGGCGTGAAACAAAGTTCTTGCTGCGCTCGCCGGCAGACAACTGCTTGCCGCACTTGCTCAGGTGCACCTCGCGCACATGCTTGACGAGCCGCAGGACATTGGGGAAGGCCTGGGTGGACTTTTTGATCCTTGGACAATTGCGCCACAGGCACACGTACTCCATCTCCACGCCTGCCTGCGGATGACGCTGTATATGCCCACTGGCATCCGACATGCAGTGCTCGGTGCAATCCCCTAGCTCCTCGAACTGATAGTCACACTTGTCCCACTGACACTCAAAGATCAGACCCTGTCCATCCTGCGAGACCTGAGGGGAGGGACTGGCGCTGTTCTGGGCATCGTCCAGCTCGCGGCGCATGGCCGCCGTCTCCTCGTTCTGCCTGCTGGCGCGATCCTCCCAGCTCTGCTTGGCGCTGGAGGGGAGATTCTTCCATTCGGTGCCCACCATCCGAGATATGTCTCCAAAGGTGGCGTCCGGATTGCTCTGGCAAATGCCTGAAATAAAGGGATTTCAATAAGGATATACCTTGGGGGTTTTTAGATTACAAATAATTACTTTTTCGGACTTCACTCGAGTAGAGTATGTAGCCGGTGAGGCATTTCTTGGCCGACTTGGCCGCCTTGATCTTGGAGGTTAGTGGCGTTGAGTTCACCGAAGGAGCCGGCGAGGACATGGCCGCAATGTCCGAGCTCAGCGATGGCGTGTCCCCGTCCATGGAGTCCTCCAGCATGCCCAGCTCATTAATCTCGTTCTTCACATCCTTGGCTGGTTTAATGGGCGTCTTGAAATAGAAGATCTCATCTTCGGTGACGGCAGGACTGTGCTGGAACTTGCGCATGTTGCCGGCCACTAGCTTGCGCAGAGCCTTCTTCAGCTCATCGTAGACAGACTCGCAGATGTAGACATCACTCTCGGATATCTCAGTGGGCCGGGAGTTGATAAATTCAGCATACTCGAGGACGGCACAGCGCCCTACGATGCCCACCACAGGACTGACCTCCTCTACTGTGCTCAAAAGCAGTTCCTGACGGAAGAACTGCTTGCCCAGGCCGGGCGTGGTCTCGCTGGGAGGTAATAGCCAGGGGCCCTTGAAGTAGGACTTGCCATTCTGCTCCCATATCTGCTGCACCTGGGCCACCGACTGCTTACCGGTTTGGGTGGCCACGTACACAAAGTCGCCCGTTTTGATGGCTCCACTGCAGACGGTGTTGTACTGCTGATAGTAGACGCTGCTGTCCTCGGCATTCGGCGGCGGATCGCACGAGACATTGGGCTTCTCCTTCTCCACCAGCGTTTCCTGCAGTTTGAGCTCCTCCAGCTCGCCCTTGTGCTTCTCCAGGCGCTCCTTGAACACGGACATCACGCGCTTCAGCTCTAGAGGCTGCTCGCGCGGCACAAATTTAATGGAGCTGCCCTCGCGCATCGGCGGCCAACTCTTGAGCTTCTTGAAGCAGCGAGCCTGGATGTTGTAGCGCGACTCGCAGACAAACACATCCTTCTCGGGCAACCTCTCCGGACGCATCTTGATATAGTCCTTGATGTTCATCACATAGCACATGCCCAGGACCTTGTCCATGGAGATAGTCTGCGAGATGCTGCTCTTGAAGACCTCCTTTTCGAGGAACTTGCGGGTGGTCACGTGGTAGGTCTCGTGCGGCCTTACAAAGATCGAGGCCTGCATTAGCTTCTCGTTGGTGGGCGATGTCCAGAGGCGCTCTATGCTGGCTATGGAGGGGATCTTGTTCTCCGGCATCTGCACGTAGACGTAGTCACCGGGGGAGTAAACCTGCTGGTTGATTGTCATGCTTTCGCCCTTGGCCCCGTTGAACTCATCCTTCTCCTTGTCCTGCTCCTGATCCTGCTCCTCCTGCTGGGCCTTTTGCTGGCGACTTACCTCCACATCCGCCAGCAGGCGTTCCAGAGTGAAGCTGAGAGCCGGAGAGCTGAGGGTATCCTTGCAAATCTCGTCTCTTTTGCGGATAAAATAAGTTTGCAGCTCAATGGAGTCCTGGAAAATGTCTGAATCTGTGCGGGATAGTTTTCTTGCTCTCTCCAGGCAAGCAAATATATCCTCCTGATAGATATCCAGTCGCTTATAGGCACCCTTGTCCAGCCTACGCTTGATCAGATCCAGGGAGATGCCACGCACTTTGTGCCCCTCACCCAGTTCATCGTACTCGGGCAGCTCGGCTAGGGAATCGGAGTAGCAGCGTCCCTCCTCATCCTGGTGATTGTACAAGGTGGTGAACAGGGTCAGGAATAGCTCTTGAACAGCCAGAGGAACATCGGGTAGCGAGTCTCTTTCAATGCGCAGCTGCTGTTTTAGCTGCAGCGTCAACTGCTGCAAAACCAGCGCATCCTTGTAGATTTGCGAATCGGGCTCGTTGTACTTGCAGGCATTCTCCAGCATTAGCAGGAAGTCGGCCGCCAACTCATCCAGACTCTCGTAAGCTCCTTGCTTTAGCTTCTGGGCAATGCGTTCCATGTCTATGGGCTCCTTGATGATGTCGTAGTAATCCGGGTACTCGTTCTTTGAAGGCAGCTTTGTGAAGATCAGCGACAGCTGCCTTTTGCCCTTGGGTTCCTGGTACTCCCTTACTGTTTCGTAGAACTGCCACAGTCGATCCGAGATTACAGCTATCTTTGGCTTCCTGCCCACCTTACTGTACTTTTGCAGGGGCTTCTTCACCTCCACCAAGCCAGGGAACTCTTTCAGCTTCTCGTTTAGAGCCCTCTCCAGGGTATTGGCATCCTCATAGATGTTGGAACCCTCCTCATTGTACTGCCGGCAGTTTGAGAACATGAGCCGGTAGTCAGACACCACATCCTCCACGGTGGCATAGCGATCTGTGCGTATGTTGTGCTCAATGGTGTTCATGTCAATGGGATTCTGAATAATGTCATAGTAATCCGGGTACACCTTCCGTGGCGGCTTCTCCATAAACATCTCAATGGGCCGACGATTGCCCACCGAGTAGTCCACCAGATATTTTTGTATGCTCAGGATCTTCTTCTTGATCGCCGCATTGATGGCAATGCGATTGGATTTGGGGGAATTCGAGTTATTCGGCGTGTGAGAGGCATTCGAGTTGGAGTTGGAGTTGACGCGCGGTCTCCCCGGCTTGCGACGTTCCGGCTGCGTGCTGACCGCAAATACCTCAGAGTCCACATCGTCCGCCTCATCCTCCTCCAAGTCACTGGTCTCCTCTAGGGATTCCTCTACCAGTTTGGCATTCATCAGCCGCAGCATCTTGAGGGCATCCTTGTGGGTGCGGTGGCTGGCAGGGAACGCCTTCTTGGCGTTGTCCAGCATGAGATACAGATCGGCGGTGAGATCACTGATGTTGGCATAGTCGCCCTTCTTCAACTTGGTGTGGATCTGGCTCATGGATATGGGTCGCTTGATGAGTTCAAAGTACTCGGGATGGAAGCGACGCACTGGCAGCTTCCAGAGGGAGTTGCCGAGAGGAGGGCCAGTCACACCCGGATGCTCAGAGGTGCCTGGTGCGTTGTACAGATGATCGAAGAGTGCCCACATGGGACCTTCACCCTTTTTGCTCGTCTCCTCGTCGTCCGTACTGTCTACTTCTTCTTTAAGAGCTGAAAAAACGGAAAGAGGAGATAGTTTCAAGTATGTTAAGGGACCATCCAAGATGGGATCCTTACCTGCTATAGCCGCACTGGACAGACTCTTGACCCTCTTGGCCAGCTTGCCCTTGCCCGTCTCCATCTCGATACGCCTCTGCGTAAAGATGCGTTTCAGGGCCTTGGCATCCTTGTAGATCTGCGACCCGGGCTCATTGAACAAACATGCGTTCTTGGTCATCTGCAGCAGATCCCGTTCCATCTCCAACAGCGACGAGTAGGCGTTCATCTGTATCTTGGTGGCAATCAGGCGCAGGTCAATGGGATGCTCAATCACATCATAGTAGTCGGGGTAAATCTTCTTCGAGGGCAGCAGCTGGAACATGCGATGCATAGCCCTGTCGTTCACCGGATCGGTGGCGGTCATAATGGTGGCAAAGAGCTCCTCGTACTGATTGTACTCGTCATCCGTCGCCGTAGTGTCGTTGCCAGGCTCCATGCTGCTGGTCATGCGACGCACCTGCCGCGACATGCGCCTGGCGCGCGGCTCCTCCTCCGCCAGGCCATTGGCCTCCAGAATACGCTGCCTTTGCGTCTGGATGTGCTGCCACAGAGAGACGGCGTCCTGGTACTCGCAGCTGTCCGGCTTGTAGAAGGCCTTGGCATTGCCAATGAGCAGCTCCAGGTCCGCCATCAGGTCATCCAAATCGTCGTAAGAGTCCGTCTTTAGCTTCTGCTGTACCTTGAGCAGATCTATGGGATTCACCACCACGTCATAGTAGGAGGGCTCCTGGCGGCGCTTGGGCGCCCGGATAAACGTGTCGCACAGCATGGAGCCATCCTCCTTCTTAATATTCCGAATCGAGTCGTACAACTGCTGGCACAGCTCCGAGGGATCCAAGCGGCGCTTTTTTCGCGCCGATTGTGTAGTCGTCTGCTGCACCGGCGACTGTTCCGGCGTCGAGTCGTCCAGCTGCAGCGGATCCTCGTCCTGGCGGCTGGATATGCTGCTCGCCCGGCGCTTCCGGCTCAACATCGTGCAATTGCTTTGTTTAGGCCAATTAAGAACGTAAAAAGTTGACAATTAGACGCCACCGCACAAAAAATTAGAGCTGCAAAAACATGGATTTCAAGCGATACTATCGGTGTTTTAGAAAATGGCGATATATCGATTTTAATTCATATCACGGGCGTTGCCAGACTTTGGAATACGGGAACTGAAAATATCGATGGTGCCATCGATATCATTGTGACAGTGGGCAAAGTACATATAATTTTGAGTGATTAAATTTTTTTTATTAAATTTTTAACAGGGTAATAATCAAAGGTTTTGTTTTAAATGATTACTCATTAATTTTAAATTATTAAGAATTTTTGAATTTTATTTTTAAGAATTTTTATTAAATTAAATCACAGCAATGTCATAGGAAACTCCCCCTAGTGCCGCTTGACAGCACTTCACCTCGGCGGAGACAATCAAGCCAATAGGAACAGCGAAGTAAGCCTGAAATGAAAGTTAAAAAATAATCCCCTTTTTAAAACATAACTTCCAACTCAAAAAGCGCAATCAAAAAGCCATGAGACATGCCGATTAAATTAGTAAAATGTTTCGTTTATTATTAATATTTATCACATACGTTGTAGACGCTTGTAAGTGTGTGATTGGGTGAATATTGGTTACAGAGCCGAGTATGCGGTAATATGAAATGAAGGCGCCTCCTCAGTCTGAGCGCACTGCTTAAGGAACATTGTTAGAGTCTTAAATAAATAAAATAACTCACAGATACACGGATGTATATATAAATAGCGAAAGACACATGTACGAAATGGAATAAAACACTTGACTCTGTGACCGACAAGATGATTCGAAATACACGCGATAATATGTCCTACATCTACACTGCGAACGCTTGGACTGCGGCTACTACAAGTTGCACTATTAAATTCTCAATTTTCGTTTTAGTTCGTTTGCGAGATTGATCTGTGAATACATATCCTGGTAAAGTACAACGGTTAAGCCCAACAGCAAGGAACGCACAATTTAAATATCAAATATCAGTATCAGTTCTGCACAACTACACGTGATCATATAACATATGTAAAGGTATATTATATAGTTCCAGCTGCCTCGCCTACTCCTACTCAACAGTTCATTTCGTTTGCCTTGCGACTAGCGGTGGTATTGCGACTGCGCTTACGACTAAGATTACTATAATTAGCATAGAAACTAATTAGGCTCTTCAGCGGCGACTCGACAAGGCGCCTCATGAGGTGACGGGCGTACGGAGACGCATTGTCGTGTCGCTTGCGCCAATATCAGTTGATGAAGCTCATGTAGTTAGTAAAGAGCAAATAGTTCTCCACTAACCGCGCTCGCAGCTCCCGGCGCACCGTTGCCGTGAACTTGTTGGCCAGGCACAGAGCCGTGGTGGTGCCAAAGACGAGATTGTAGAGCAGCACAATCTGGAAGTTGCCCAGCCACTCGATGGCCCCAAAGTCGCCCAGCAGGTCAAAGTTGGTGATGCCTTAAAGAAACATATAGTTAATAATTAATTTATTTATCCTTCAATAAAAATAGGTAATGACTTACCTATAATCCTGCTGAGCAGTGGCAGCGCCGAGGACAGAACCAGCATGAAGCCACAGTTAAGCATCAGTTGGGGAAGCGACGTTTGGCGCCGCTTGGGGCGGACGTTTCGCATAAAGGGCATGCTGTAAAAGCCCACCACGGAGGTGGCGCCCAGGTAGAAGATGAGACACACCTCGAGGCCGGCACCAAAAGGTCCCAGCTTCGACAGCGATGAAATGCCCAGCGTGAATTGCTATTAATTAAGTAAATTTAAATTAAAGAAGTTAAATAAGCAAGCATAACATACCCTCGTGCTCAGCGGCAGCGCTTTAATGCCTATGAGTAGCTCTAGCGTATTTTGCACCACAAGCAGAATGGTAACGCCCGTGCAGAATAGCAGCAGCAGCATGGCCAGCGGGTAAACAAAGGTTCGCTGAAAGGTGCTCGACTTTCGCAACTTATCCAACTCCTTCCGCTCGGAGTCCAGTTCTCTCAGTCTTTCGTTGAGCAGGTGCTGCTGCTCGCCCGCATCGCTGACCATAGCCTTGCGCTGGTAGAGATGGGCCAGCGACTGCTGCAACAGTGGCTGATGGGCAAAGGAGCGCGTTAGCCCGTTGCCCAAGCGACCACCATTGGCCGTAGCATCTGAGATGCTCACATTTTGCAGCTCAATGTGAGCCAGCTTCCTTTTAACGCTAGCCTCCTCCATGTAGAAGGCGCTGAACTCCTCGTTGACGTCGCGTAGCAGCATGGGTCGCACCAGGACATTGTTAACAACGCCAAACAGACGCACAAAGCCATAGGGGGTGCAAACTGTAAGTAAAAGAAAAAAGATTGTCATGGTTACTAAACTGGGAAACCTTTGTTATTTATTTAGTTATATATTTTTTCCTTTAAAAATGCTTTTCTCTTTGTGTCATTACCAAGTTGGTCTCTATTCCAGCAAACCTACGATTCATTCCCCTTTCTGCTCTGTACAATTAAAACCTTTTTGACATTCAAAAAACTTCTATATATATTAAAAAAAAAAACCCATTAAATGGCGGCCGAGGAAGATCAAAGCATTGCCAAACTGAAGGCCACTATGGCCAACTGCAATTTGGACACCAAAAACGCTGATGATTTTGCTGAATTCGAGGCCACTCTCGCCAAGATCGATGATATATTGAATAATGGTGCAAGCCACGATGATGAGCCAGAGGCAGATGATGGGAAGGTAAAGGAAAAGATCGACTTTGACACTATTGATGTGGACAAGGTGCGGGTCAAGGTGCGCGAGAATCGCACTGTGATTAATAGGAAAAGCATTCAGGAGGACCAAGACAAGCAGGCCAAGACAATGGACCAGCAGACATTCATGGAGCAGGTGGAGCGGGATGCCAATGAGCGTGCAGAGGCGCGGGCCAAGAACGAATACGATGCTGAGCTACAGAGAAGGTGAGATGGGGAGTCCCTTATGCTTAAAAAATAATAATATATATATTTTTTTAGCCAGGGAAATGAAGCCTTTCGCAACCAGAAATACGAGAAAGCCATTTTGCACTATGGCAAGGCCATTGAAAAGATCAAGGACAGTGCCATTACCTACAATAATCGCGCCTTGTGCTATATCAAGTAAGTTGTTAAACGAAATAACAATTAACTGCGGTTTAAAATAAAAATTAACATACTCCTTCAGGCTTCGCAACTACAAACGCGCTCTGCAGGACTGCCAGCATATCCTGGAGAAGCTACATGAGACTAATTTGCGCGCCTGGCTCTACCGTGCCACTGTCTACAAGCGCTTAAATGACACCGAAAACTTCGAGGAGAGCGTGGCCAAGGCCCGCGAGCATAATCCCAAACAGCTGGCCTACATCGACAAATACATCAAGCAGATGGAAGCCGAAGAGTAATTCAATCAATCTCTCTCCAATTAATTTAATCTATTATTTGTTAGTAATACTCACTCAGCATAAGCATCACGCCCAGAAACGAGACACACGAATAAAGAAACGGCAGGTGAACACTGCCCAAATCTGTGAAGCGTGAAGAAACGGAAATTAGCAATGCATTTAGTCGGCGACTGGAACCGTTCCCATTACTGGGGATGGGTTGGGCTGGGATGGGCATATCACGGTCACGGAAAAGTGCATCACAATTGGCATTGGGATTGATCTCTTCCGTTCCGTTCTTCCATTGGCCCAATACTCACTTAGAAACCAAAAGAATTGAAACTTTTCAATGCCAAAGACTGCGCTTAAAACGGCAGTAAGTACCAGGACAATAACGGCCATCAGCATGAATACTGTAAAGGTCTCGTAGACGCGCGGCAGGATGCCCTTCCTGTGGCCCACAAATCCCGTGGATTCGGAGAACAGATATACAAACGGTAGGAAGATGAACAGAGACAGATTGGAGAACAGAAAGACATGATTCCAAAGACCTGCAAATAGACAAATCAATATAAGTTAAGTTACTAAAGATACCCTCTGTTTACCACTCACCCTGTATGAGGGAGCTGTTGAGCCACTTCACGTAGTAGCTGTTTGGGTAGAGTAGCAGCACCTCATTGCTGGCTATCGACACGGGCAGCAGCATGGCGGCACCTTCGGCCACAGCCAGGGTAAAGGTGCAGAGCCAAAAGCTGGTGGGGGAAAAAAAAAACAGAGGAAAAACAATTCATTAGTGACATGAACGAATGCGAATGCGAAACCGCATGCAACTCAAATGAGTTGGCAATTAGTGGGGCAGGCAGGTTGTTGACTCTGCTTTTGACCACCTGGATAGATGCCTTACCTTATGCGATAGACCAGCACCTCGTCCTCGTCGTTTGAATAGAGATCATCACGATCGCGCCGCCGAAAACGTGAGACAACGACATACGAGCTAAAGTACAGCAAGATGACTAGTAGCAGGAATATCTAAAAAATAAAAGATAGAACAACTTAACTAAGAAATAATATTTAATTTAAAAGAGTGGTTTTTTCTAGAAGTTATTTTCGAGTGAGCACCTGCACTTCAAACTTTATTCCCAATAATATTCAAGTCTATTAACACCTGACTTTTAGACACTATATCATCTATTTTGATCAAATTACACCCCCCTTTACTTATAGCTGCCTTAAGCTAATGACGTTGAAGCATAAGTAAATATAGAAGTCGACGTATTTCTTTTGTTCTCTTAATTTATTTATTCATGTTTTTTTTTATTCCCAAGATGTTTGTCTTTGCACCTGCAAGACATTTTATTTTATTTATTTTTTTTTTTTCGTTTCATAACACATTTCCCCACACATTTACTTATTTATAAACAAAAGTTCTAAAGTAAACACAGACACCCACGCAATTCTTTCGTGTTTTCTTGTTTTTAATACATATTAAATGTTGTCATTTGGTTTTCCGCCCCAAAAACATTTGCTAGCGAGTAAATATACGTCTGGGGGAAATCTATATTCATGTACACAAGTGAATAGATTAATTGTAGATTCCGAATAGATCTTTATAAATTTGTGTGAATCAGTAAGACGATGTCAAAGTCTGAGGTTGAAGGATTTCAAGTGCTTCCAAGGTCTTATCTGTGAATATATGTATGTTGGCACAATGAGTTGAAATTTTGGTACTTGAACTAAATAAGTATTCAATTTCCGGTTGAATGACGTTTAGAATTGGTTGGTAGGAAAGCGTTCTTAGCCTAGTCAGAATACAAATTAGGTCTGGGTTACAAGCCCCATATCAACCATAAACAAACCAGCAATTGATGATTAATTATGACCGCCAATTAATCCATTTATGTAGTTACGTTTTCGGCTACGTGCAAAGGTCAGAAAGCAAGCTTATCAGTGGCCGACAACAGAAGTGGCCACATTTGATAACAACTAGACCGATTACGGTCGTATAAAACCCCATGAATGTCAGCACTTCAAACATTATGTGATTATCCCCGACTTTTCTTTTGGTTAAATATTGTCTGAAATCCGAATCTAAAGCTGGCATCAGCGATTTTCCAAACCACAGAGTCGGCGGGCATAATTTGTTTATGTTTTTATGGCCACGAAATAGATGCCAATCCTTTGCTTTTGGCACACGTCATATTTGCGCTATTGTGGGCTCTGATGAGAAGCGAAAACAAAACAAAATATGGTAGATGGTCGCCAGTCAAATGCCTAGGCACGTAAATAAATCATTAACAAAGATACTTTTCATGTTCGCCTCTCTGGCTAGAAAATTTCGACGAGTGAGAGCAAAAAACAATTAATTTATACTCGCATTGTTTAGTGGGTTCTTTGTTTGTTATTCGAGACATTCGCACTGGTATCGGTGAGATACTTACGATGTATTTGTGCCAATGCGTTATACAATAGCGAATTCCAATTAACTTTTGATGGCCCAACGAAAGCTACGTTCTGTCTGATCAATTAAATCAAATTATCTTCAATTATTCGCGTCATTTCTTTTATTTATTGCGACCGAAATCTATCATCCCACTGTATATAGAGTGTGGAGTGGCCTTCTGAAAGCTCCAGATATTCGTACAAATATTTGAACAGTTTTCTTTACCCTCCATAAATGTATTTCAACCAAAAATGTGGTCAAATATTAAAAATTAAATAAAGAGACGCAAATCGCTTGCTATCAACAGTTTGCGTTGTTTATTTATAGAACCCAAGTGTAGATCATGGAAAAATGTCGATACTGTACGGGTCGAAACTATAAGGCAAGCTATATTTAATGATTGTTCCTAGAAGAATCTTAAAAAAAGAAAGGAAATTCCGGAAGCCTAAATTTACCATGGGGTCATGGCATCGAATCAAAAATGGACTAAAAATGCATTAATTTCAGTTCGGAAAGCTTTTCAATGTTAGTTTTTTCTAGGCTAATAAATCTGCATACTAAATTTTAAATTTTAAGAAATCAAAATTTTTGTCAATTTTTGAGAGTTTTAATGATGTAACCCCTTATCAAATGTCGAAAAAAATTTCAAAAATTGTTTTTCTTCCGAACATGTCTAGAAAGATTTGCCTGTTAATGCTGATCAAGAAAATATATGATTTATGAGGGTCGGAAATGACTTCTTCACTGTGTAGCAAACTTCCAACTAAAATTATAATACCGTCCTATGTGGACACTTACAAAAAAAGTGGTTAAAAAAAGTTTAAGTAACATCCTTTAAATAGTATATGTATATTGCATAGCTAGGAACTTATCAAGTAGGACAAGAAATTAGGAATTATGAACAATCTTTTATTAACTGAAACTACTTTTTGATAAGCATAATTAGAACCTCAACTATTTTTCATTTACGAAACGCACTGTTTTCCTAGGCGTGACCTGTTAAACGTGGAACACGTAGGCGACATATGCCGAGTGATACGCGCGTCGTTACTACAATTGAAATTCCCGTACATGAGCAGAGGCATTCCCCTGAATGAAACCCAATTGAGCCAGATCTTAAGCTTAGTTTGCAGCTTATCAGCCAGAGCAACGTGCAATAGCCAGTGTCAGCACTGTGAAACAAACCGCGTTTATCACGCTCCAAGAGATTCGTTTTTGGCCAAACGCAACGTTTGCCTAGTCTCCAAATGGGCTGCATTGCGCCGCTGATCGTAGGCGAGCTGCGAGTCAATGACTTGACATGAACTCGAGGGGGAATCGGCAAACACATTAAAATGTGGGCACGCCGCCTTGGGTAAAAATAGCAGCTACGCCCAAACTGCAGCCAGACGCAGGCGACATCTTGGCTAAAAGGAGGCGGAGACGTTTGGAGGTAGTAGGACCAGCGCCGGTTATTGATAGCCAGACGGGTTTTTCGCCTCGTCTCGCTGACAATTTAGCCGGTGAATGGGCTACAAAATATGTATACTCTTTCTATACCCATAAGTTGTAGCTGACAGGGGTATATTGTACATGCTGCAGCCTAACTTATTGATGAAGCCATCGATTTGACCTATAAATACGGAGGGAAAACTGTCAAAGTTGCTTTTGAAAGTCTTCAATAAGTTAGGTTCTTTGTTTTGTGCCTCAGGTTAAAGATTCTTTTTGTTTTAAAATGAAATTTCATTAAAAAGCAGGTCAGCAAACTTAATTAAAAACGCTGATGTATATCTAACTACCCCAAAATATAGGTCCAGACTATGAAAAATGTAAATTTATCTTTAAAACAACTTCCAGAACTTTAGACTTTATAACTCCTTGCCTCAATAAACCTTGTTTTCATGTCCACATGTGTGCTAAGTTCCAGACACTAGTGGTCCCCATTGGCTTAATTACCCTAAGTGAAATGTGTTTTCTAAAGAGGGCGTTGGCAAATGGGCAGACTCTGCTTTCACAGTATCGTATAACATTGCTTGCACTTTATTCTGTTTATGAAACGCATTCCCAGAAGCTGTATATTCTTTGAATATTTACAACAAGTCATCAGAGATTTGCCTTATCAAAGTAAGTAACTACAGTAGCTGCAAAATTACTAAGAAAGAACATAATAATGTTACCCAACTAGTTCCCATTTGAGTCGTTCTCTTTGAAGCCGGAATCTCGCACCGCAGGAATTAGTGCTTTTAATTCGGATTTTGGCTTTAGATTCCTGCATTATTTATGAGCACTTTGGCATGTTTACATTTATTTGAAGCCCCACGTCACGTACGCGCGGAGGCCTGACCTAGACATATACGCCGCCGCGCCACGCCGCCGCCGCCGCCGATTTTTGCCTTATTTGACGCGCCGCCGCCAAATTATGAAAATAACGGCGCGCCGCGGCGCGCCGCTGGTGCGGCATCGGCGCAGCTTCAGCGCGGCCTTCAGTGTCATTGTTCTTTATAAAACTTAAAAAAAATAAATAACTCATTAAAATGGCCTTTTTGCCTTATTTGACGCGCCGCCGCCGCCGGTTCTTTCTGACTACTACGCCGCCGCCGCCGAGTCATTTTGACCTCTACGCCGCCGCCGATGCCTTTAACCATCGGCGTAAACCTCTAGCCTGACCCACATTCGTTGGGAATTATTTAATTTTCGGCTATGGGCGATGCAACCAGAAGCGCTGACAAAACCGGTTTCCGTTTCCTGGAGCAGCCAGAACCAGCTCAACAATTCTAACAACCCATGGCAGGGTTTATAAATACACAGATATGTGTATTTTTAAAAGAAATACTCATAAGCAAAGCTGCATTCGTATTTAAACATATTCATGTTTATTTAAACTGTTTCAAATGTATTTATCGCCTCGTCTGCCATTGTTTAAACAAAGTCCAACAGCTGGTCACGACGGCAGACACTTTCAAAAACACACATCATCCCAGACGGACGACAGCAAGAAAACCGTGACCACTATAGCCCTGCACTTGAAATCTGGTCGGTCTGCAAGTGTTTGTGGGTATTTTTCGACATTTTCACAAAAGGAAATTAATGCTTTGCGCAATCCAATAAACTCGTGTATATATATGGTATATATTGTTGTTTACATAAATCTCTGGTTTCTGTTATTACACGCCCAAAAAATTTTCTATAAATAGTAGCTCGACTGAAACACTTTCACTTGTTGCTGGTGCCGTTGCCGCACTTGCTTTTGTTTTAAGCGTTTAAATTTCAATTTGTATTGCAAGTTCTGACAATTTTCGGTTCGGTTTTAGGTGTATATAATTACTCTGTTGGTTTAATAAAACCTCCATTATATTGGTATCAATTAAATGGTGTTGTATTTCATCGATTTCTTTGAATTATTGGAGCTTTTTTTTTTCTAAGAATAAATGTACATATACTTTGCCAAGAATCGTAAAGGGTAGTTGACATTGGAATCGATGACCTATCAACGTATTTGCTTTTGTACTTTACTGATTTAAACCGTTTAGTTTGTGTTTAATGCGTAAAAATATTATAAATACATTACTAGAGCTACCAGAAACTTCATTTTGATTAGTCAGGTTATACCCGCCAGCAACAAATAAGCAAATTATATCAACCTTAGGAAATCCGAAATTATTATCGAAAATGCTGTGGTAATTTAACATAAACAAATCAAACTAAAAAAATACATTTAAATATATTCATATATAATTACTCAAATCTTTATGTCTCCTCCTTTTACTAAAATATATTTCTCCCAAATTCTAGTAAATTTAAAATTTAAATAAGACTCTTAATAGCTTCAAAGTGTAATCTCATGCTGGGAGCATCCCATCACTACCCAGTATCTGAAAGTCGAATCTTCGATTATCGCTTAACTTTCTGATTAACAACAGGTGCTTGTGTGTGTGTGTTTCGACGTTTTCGTGTGTGCGTGATAATTTTTGCAGCCCAAATAGAAAGTGCAAGAGAGTGGCCGTCGGCCATCGGCACCTCCCACCGCCAACTTCCTTCCCTCCCCGATAGCCGGCGGACCATAAAACACCAAGAACCGAAAAGTGCTGACCAGTGTAGTCCACGCCTGATAACCGACCATAAACAAATAAATTTATGTGTACACTGAACGGCCAACTGATTTCTGTTTATCAAAAGGCAAAAGTGTGTAATTCAAGGCGTCGCACACACGGACACCCCCCGCCTGTTCTTGTGTACAGTTAGAAGCGGGCGAGAGAGACGCACTGAGCAGCTGCTCCCGATTTTGTTGTTTTGGTTTTCGGGTGGAAGGGGGATGAACGCATATCTGCGACTTACAATGTGCTCGCGTACTGTATTGTGGAACAATTGCAGCTTCAAATCTGTCACCTCCTCCTCCTCCTCGTCCATGCTCACGAAGAACGAGGACACTTTATCGCTGGTTTTCGCCAGTTTTCTTGGTTTTTTAGTTAATGCACGCGCACACTTCAAAATCTGGCATTAACCAGAGGCTTTGCCAGGATATCGGGGAATTCCAATGGGCAGAACGCTGCACAGTGGAAGTCGTGGTCTTCTGGTTCTGAATTAAAATCTTGCTGGCCCACGCGGAGGCGTCACTCGGCCGGATCGCACGCGGTGGAAATTAATTTAGAAGCTATTTTGCTGGATCATTTTGTCCAGATTTGCACTAGTATCCGCTTTTTTTTTTGTTCGTGCGTCCGAAACGTTAAAAGAATTTTATAAACTCAGCGTCAGTGGGACCGTGGCAGGTCAAGGCAAATTTACCAAACTCTACGCGGCGGAAAATACCGAAGCGCGTTTTTAACGCGCATTAACCTTGTAAATATTTCTTGATATTTTGAATTAAAAAGCCATTTTGTTATAAAATATTTAAATTTGCAGTTTTTATTCATATTAATTCTGCCAATGAAAACAGTGTTGCAATACACTAAACTATTTACCGTAATTTGTTGATATTTACTGGATTTGGTCACACTACGGCAACAGAATGTCCAACTTGCGGCGCCAGGTAAATTTTTTTTAGCAAAATAACATAAATAAACCCTTTAATATATGACTTGTAGGTGCTCAGTGCCTTCAAAAAGCTCCATCGGACGCGGCAGTACGTCTTCGAAGGCGATGTCCAGGCTCTAACGGCAGGACGGGCTAAGATTAACGAATCGTTCTTGCAGAATCGAAACGAAACCAACGAGGATGAGATCCAGAAGGTTTGCACAGATTCTACACATTTATAAGATACATCTTACAAATCTTTAACCAATAGATGATTAAACTGGCCCAGGACGTGGATCACGAGCTGCGTACGAATGTGATTCAAGCCAAGAAAAAGGAGGAGGGTGTCTACGGTGAGTATGACATTATATAAACAAGATTTTCATTTGTTGAATCTCGGGAATCTTCTATTGACAGAACTGCGCATCACCCCGGAGACGACGCGGCTGGACAATGTGGTCTTCAATCCCGACGCAGTCATCGAGAAACCTAGGCGGCGACGCGGCGAAAAGAGCACGGAAGGCTGCTGTGGAGGAGCTGCAATGGCTGCTCTGGAGGCGGAGGTCGCGGCCCGCAAGAAGTAGTCTTACATAAATTTTTAGCTCTAGTCAAAATCCTTGGTTCCAATTAAAAACGTCGTTTATTGTTATTTCCTATGGTGTTTCTTTTTCGACTTGTGGCTGCTCTTGGAACTGGCGGCTTTTTGCTTGGTCTTCTTGCTCTTTTTGCGCTTGCTGCGCTCGTCCGAGGAGGAGGAGGAGGAACTACTAGAACTATCCGAGGATGAGCTGTCATCTTCACTTTCGGATTCCGAGGAACTCTCGCTGGACTCTGAACTGCTGCTTGCTGCCCGCTTCGATTTTTTCTTGGCTTGTTTCTTAGTCTTCTTTTCTGAAGACGCTGAAAGTTTTCGTTTTCTTTCGGGACTCTGCTTTCGGCTTGAATTTCTTGGCTCCTCACGATCCCGAGAAGCCTTTCTGTTAGCTTGGGGTCTGCAAAATAAGATGGTGTTAAAGGTTTACCGAAATAAAAGGACCTTATAATATATACCTTCGCTCTGCGGATCTATCTCGGTTTCTGACGGCTTCTTTGCTTCTACCGCTTCCATTTTCGTTACGCCTTCTGTCCTGCGGAGATCTGTCTCGCATGCTGTCGTTGCGATCCCTGGATGGGGACCTCCTCCGTTCTGTGCGATCCCTGGAACGTCTTCTTTGTGTTAGATCTCTTGTCCTGGAGGGTCTTCTTTGAGCCTGATCTCTTGAACGGGATCCTTTTCTCTGTGACATATCTCTGGAACGGGAACGTCTTCTATCATTACGACTCCTTGAGACCGATCTCCGTCGATCCCTCTGGTCGCGCTCATTGAAACGCTTTTGATCGTTGTAGTTCCTGCCCGGTCTGTCGCTTCGGTTTCGTGAGTTTGAACGCCGCCTTTCCTTTTGCTCTCTGGACCCCGAACGCCTGCGCACATTCTTTCGGTCATCTCGTTCCTTTTGCTCATTGTGGCGCTGCTCCCTTGCCTTTCTCCGTTCGGCGGAGCTCATTCTGCTTCTGGGATCCTCGGATCTTTTGCTATCCCGGTGATTATCGGCCCTGCCACGTCCTTGTGTGGGCTTCCTATGATCTTTGTTATCTCGCAAGTTGTCAAAGTCTAGCCTTTCATCGTCACCCACCACGCCGCGTCCTTTGCCTCGCCAGGTAATCTTGGATACGGATTGCGAGAAGTCGACGTGAATGCGACGATCGTCAATTAGGACATTATCCATCTTGAAGTAAGCAGCCTCGCAGGACTTTTGGTCTTCGAACTCCACGAAGGCGTACTGCAGGGAGTCTCCAGTCTTGCGGTCGCGTATCACTTCGCATCCCTTGACCACGCCGAACCGGCTAAAGATTATCTCTAGATCATCGTCGGTGGTCACTGGATTCAGTTTGCACACGAAGAGAACGTTTTCCGGCGGGGCCATGTCCGCATCCGGCAGATCACCGACTATCTCGAGGATAGTGGCACGCGCCTTGGCCTCCCGATCGGCCAGCATCTCCTGCATCTCCTCCATGGTCATGCCGTCGGTGTCGTCGATATCCTCGTCGGCAGCGATCCTGCCGTTTTTGAGGCGCTCGGCACTTGGCGAGGGCGAGCGACTGGGTGCCTGAAGCCCGCGCGGATTCGGAAATGGGTCCTCTAGCACCACCGTATGCGTGATGCGGATGTCCTGGTAGGGACGAAAACCATCATCCACTATGGCATCGTTCAGCTTACGCAGCACGTCGTGTCCCTCCACCACCTCCCCGATTACGCAGTGGGTGCCATCCAGCGAGGTCAAGCTGTCGCCCAGCGTGAAGAAGAACTGGGAGCCCACCAGGTTCTTGCCGGCGCTCACCAGCGACAGCATGCCGGCGCTAGAGTGGTGGATGCGGGGCAGGTACTCAGCCTCGAAGAAGCGCTTCTGCAAGCCTTCGACTACGCCCCAGACGGAGGAGCCGCCATCCCCGGCGCCGGTGGGATCGCCGGTCTGCGCTATAAACCCCTGCTGCACCGTGTGAAACAGATTGAAGTTGTAGTACTTGAGCTGGCAGAGCTTCAGGAAATTTAGGCAGGCGATGGGGCGTTCGTTGGTGAACAGGTCGACTGTCAGGTCACCTAGCGTGGTTTCTATAACCACAGACATGGCGAAGATTCACTTTTATGCCGACTTAATTGAAGATAAACAGAAATATCCGCGAAAACTAACTATTGGCTTTAGAGATGACACAAAATGAGTTTCTGTGAAAGGAAAACTATCGTTGACTCCGGATACCAGCGATATTTTTTAGTTGAGAATATTCTGAAGTTTTTAAAATGGATATATATAGTAAAACACAAATTGTAGTTTAAGAAAATAATTTAAGATAGTAAAAATATCAATTATTAATATTATGGCGTAAATTTTCGGTACTTGAAAATATTGCAAATATACCGATAGATATCATTCAGCTCAAGCCGATATGTATCGATAGTATCGATGTTCTTGCAGCTCTAATTTGTGTGTATCACTAGATTCGGTTTGACAGAAGATTTTTCACACGTTTCGAGTCGAGGAAAAGAAATTGTAATTTTAACTTCACCGATTTCCGAGTGTCCCAGTTGTAATTTAAATAAGATTAGTGACCCAGTGACCGAGCACAAGTGAAAATGCCCGAGCAAGGCAAGAAAATCTCCGAGCTGCGCGTATGCGACCTGAAAGAAGCGCTGGAACAGCGCAAGCTGGAGACCGTAGGCCCGAAGGTGGTGCTAATCGAACGTCTGGAAAAGGTGAGAGCACACGTCGAACGGCGCGGTCCACTGAGTGGCAATCCGGGTGGGAGACAGTTAGAAAGCGCAGCCAGTTGTGCAACTGCTACGTTCGCATACATATAAACTGTGCGTTTGCTTGTGTGCGTGTATATTTTCCAGGCTCTTAAGGAGGAGGGACTAGACCCCGCCACCCAATTGATTGTGCCGGGTGCCAAGCCCAAGAAACCCATACCTATGCCCATTAAGGAGGCCCAAAACGAGGTGATCATTAAAGAGGAGCCCATTGATTTAGATGACGAGCCACAGGGCCAGGATTCCGAGAACGGCAATGACTTCTCCCATCATGAGGACGATGATGGGCATGAGATTGATCAGGTGGGGGATGTAGACGATGAATGCGTGATCCTCGATGACGATGACGAGGAGGATGATCAGTACGACGATGACCAACAGAATGGTGACGACGATGGGGAGGCCGAGGGCGATCATCTGGATGGGGCCGAGAACAATGGCAATGAAGCCGAGGCCGGCAATCAAATCCAGGGCGAGGAGGAGAACACCGGCGACACCGTCAACATGGACAACGACGAGTCCATTAATCTCACAATTGGAGAGGATGAGCAGAAGCTGCTGCACGATGAGGTAAATATTCATCTCGAAAATTAGACTGCTCTATTCTAATTCAATTTGCTTTCTGTTTAGGCTCCCGATGACAAGTCTATTAAGTCGGGTGAGTTATTGGGATCCCAGATGTGCTGATATAGATGCTTGAAAAATTCTATAGCCGGGGAATAGGAACAGAATGAATGTATATGTGAATAGTCCGCCCCTTCCGGTGTTTTCAAAAGACAGACGTATTCGTTGCCCAACCAACGAATACATTACCATTTCTGCTCTCCTTAATCATTTGAATTTTTTGGTTTTATAAAAAGGTTTTTGAATTGAAATTGAATTAATGTATTGTTGGCTTAGTTATGATCGATTTTCGTTTCGTCTACCCGAAGTTAAACTTCTTTCTCGTTTCTAACTTACTTTGACCAATCTACAGTAAAACCGGCCAACAAATCCGATAAATCCAACTCGGGTGCCGACAAGAAGAGTGACGAGAGCGCACGCTCCAAGAAGAAGGATGACAAATTATCTGACAAAAAAGACGCCAGGTTAGTAGCCTCCCGGTCTCTTTTTTTAAACCGCCAACTAACTATCTTATGTCTTCATTTTTTCTATTTTAAAAAGCGATCAAAAGTCGTCTGGAAAATCAGTTAACCAAAAGGATGATAAAGGTAATTTAAGCTAAAGTTCTAGCATGGCTAAGTTCGGTGTGTATGTTCGGAAGGTATTGCGTTGGGATTGTTCGGGCCAAGCATGAATGCCCAGTTAAGGTCGATAAACTCAACAAAAGTTGACCATGTGTTCTAAAGATTGTGCAAGAGAGTGTGAATTTGGTTAGGCCATTTGGACTTGAAAAATGGATAGAAAAGGACGTGGATAACAGCAGGGATGTGAAGCAGCGGCGTTGGACCAGCAACTACGGCGATTGCAGCTAATCTAACAGTATTTTGTTCCAGTTGCATTGACGGAATACTTCTTAACTTCGATCCTGAAATTCTCCAGCGAGAAAAAGGGCAGTATGATGCCATAGCTCAGCTCTTTAAGAACCTAGACAAGAACCCAAACAGTTCAACAGATGGAAATCGAGCTGAGACTAAAACTGGAAGGAATCATTTCTTTGCTGAAGCTGGGAGTAGCAGTAAATGAATCCTCTGGACAAAGATCTTCTGCTTCAGGATTATTTTCCTCTTCACAGCGGTAGCAGATCAACTAAGAGGGCTCCGGATCGACGGGAGCGAGTCCTCGATCAAGGATGACGTGCGGACTGTGGAACACACATCCCTCCTCTTTCTCCTCTCTTTATCCTGGACCCATTTCCCGCCCCCCCCGAAGGAGGACCATTTGCAGCGATCGACCACCACCAACCTGATCAAATTCACACTCTCTTCGCTCCGTTAGGTGACGTGTTTGCGCTCTAAACTCCAACATCAGCAGCAGCTACAAATTCTGTGCGTTCACAACATGCTTCCCTTAAAGATCATAAACCAAAAAAACAGTTAACCAGTTACAGCCACTCAAAGCTTTGACCATAACTCTCTCTTCCAATATTATTATTTACATGGAACTTGCAGAGAAATCATCGACAGCAGCAGCATCTGGTGCCGCATCCTCCGCAGCATCAAGTGCCGCCGGCAACAAGTCCGGTTCGGGATCGGGCGCTGGCAATGGTGCCAACGGTGCCAACTCCTCGAACAGCAAGCAGGCGACGCTGTCTCGCAATCTCTGGGTCTCTGGCCTTTCCACTCTGACCCGTGCCAGCGATCTCAAGGCGATCTTTTCCAAGTTTGGCAAGGTGATCGGTGCCAAGGTGGTGACCAACACGCGTACGCCCGGCACTCGTTGCTACGGCTACGTGACCATGTCCTCGTCCGGGGACGCATCGAGGTGCATCGAGAATCTCCACCGCACCGAACTGCATGGACGCATCATTTCGGTGGAACGCACCAAGAACGAGATTGGCGGCAGCTCCAACTCCAAGGAGGGTAAGGGCAAGGGCGACGCTTCCAACAGCAACAAGAAGAAGGAGGATGACGGCGGCAAGAAGTCTGGAAATGGGAAGAGCTCCAGCAGCAACGGTGGCGACGACAAGAAGGGCGGCGGCGATGGAACCGGCGACAGCAAGTCCAACATCGGCGAGTCCAAGCGCGAAGGCAAGGAGGGCGGCAATAGGGAGCGCAATCAGCGCCGCAACGATGACAGGGGCAAGTCGGCCGCCAGCCAGGATAGGCGTCACGATCGTGAGCGGTCCGGTACTGGAGGCCACAAGGGGCAAGGCAGCCAGGATCATCGTTCCGGCCGCAATCCTCGTGATGTCGATCGCGAGATCTCGCAGCGTCAACGGGAACGCGAGCGTCGCCAACGTGAAATGCTGTCCTACCAGAAGATACGCGAGGAGCGCGAGCGTCAGCGCCTCCGTGAGCGGGAGCGTGAGCTGCGCGAGGAGGAGCGCCGTCGACGGGAGGCCCGCGAGCGTCAGCGCATCGAGGAGGAGCGCCTGGCCGAGGAGCGGCGCAAACTGGCTGTCGAGCGGGAGCGCCTTGAGCGCGAGAAGGCCGAGCTGCTGCGCATGGAGCGGGAGCGCCAGAAGCTGGAGCGCGAGAAAATCGAGCTGGAACGCCTTGAGCTGAAGCGACAACAGATGAAGTATGCTAACAAAAACAAAAACCAAAACAAAAATCGTACCGCGTTGCACTCGTGCCAGCGGAGAGACAACAACACAGATATATCTCTATATATTTATTTAGTACTCTCTTTCGGAAGGCATTTGTCCTTCTGATTAGTGCGTTGACTTAAGTTGCAGCCAGCAGCCTCCTCCACGTTGTTTCTTCGACTGTTGAACTGCTTCAAAACGGTTTATAGGCCAATGATGCATTCTAGTCTAAAGCTCGAGAGCTCCACTTGTCTCCCACCTCATCACCCGACCAGCCACTGCTGCTAGCCTCATTAACCGAACTTTTCTTGTCTCTTCCATCTCTCTTCCTCTCTCGCTCTTGTCGATTCACCTGCACAGGATTATGGAGTCTCGCGATGATCCTGTCAAGCGCGTAGTAAGCAAGCGCACCGATGACCGCTACGGAGAAGTTTCCGATCGCAAGCGCACTGCTATCTTTGATGCCCCACCACCACCGCGATTTGATACGAATCTAGTCAGCTCTCGCAGGTAAAGAAAAAGTCCATTTGATATTAAGTCGGATTTTTGTTTTGTTTTAATTGTTTAATGCTAAAAATAGTAGTAGTAATATTTGCCTCCCTTTAATGTTTCCCAATTCCACAACTGAAAACCTAATAATTTATCTTCCTCCCACAGCACCTATGACAAGAAACATGATGACTATGGCTCCTCGTCGAGCACTAAACGCGTTCTGGATGACTATTCCAGCTCCAACAAACGCATGGACTACAACAAGCGCAATGACTATGTCCCCTCGACCGGATCCAAACGTAACGCTGTCGACGACTACTCTTCGTCCTTGCCTAGCAAGCGCTCGAGTGGCAACGACTATAATGTTTCCAGCTCCAAGCATGATTACTCTTCGTCTAGCAAGCGCGACGATTACAAGCGTGACGTGGAGGTGCGTCACTTGCCGCTAGGCGGCGCCGTTGGAGGCTCCAGCAGCTCGTATTTGCACAAAAACAACACTGGCACTGGCTCCTATGTCAACAAGAACAACTCGAGCAGCGGTGGACGCTATAACGATTCGGATCGCAACAACACCTCGAACTACAGACGCGACGATTCGCAGAGCCTGTAAGTTGAAAGCAAATAATCGACTTTTGGCATTCATTATCCACATCCTGAATTTTATTTGTTGAAATGTCGTATGTGGTTTTAAGTTATACTAACTAGAATAATAAAAGCAATGTGCATTTATTAGAACATTTTATTTTTTATGGTTCTGTATTTTAAGCCTGTTTATTTTCCCTTTTTATATTTCTTGATAGTTTTATATTTATATTTATATTTCTCCATCATTTCAGAGGCAACAAACGCTATGACAACTCCAACTCCGGAGGCTATGGCAGCAGCTCGAACAACGTCAACATCTGGGCCCCCTCATCCGGTGGCGGAAGCTCCCACCTGGGCGGCAGCGGTGGTGGCGGTAATCAAATGAAGTCCTACAGCAACAATGGCATGTCCTCGAATATGCATAGCAACAATTCGTGGCCAAAGTCTACACCCGTGGAGGATAACACCTGGCGTCAGGGACCAGTTCAGGGTCGCTTCGATCGCGGCTACAACGATCGTTCCACCGGCTATCAGGGCAACAGCAGCGGCGGAGGCGGAGGAGGTGCGGGCGGTGGCATGTATGGTGCCAGCCGTCCCGCTCAGGATCGCTATAGCGGACAAGTGTCGCGCTATTAGGCGAACGGGCAACGTGCATTTTACAAGAGGCAACCAACCAACGAACCAACCAATCAAGCATCCCAGCATACCCATATAATGACCCTTCCCACAGCGCCAATGGAGCGTTGCTTCTATTTTAGTTCGCTTTAGTTGTAGTCTAAGCTTCTACACTTACATTTGGATAAATAAATGTATTATCAATAAAAAAGCATGACAAATATGCAAATAATCACAACTAATTAGTGTTATTTATATGTATTTATTTTATTTATATTTATTAAGTCTACATTTGGGGATAGTCACCCTCGTAGGAGGAGATGAGCGGGGTGGTTGTGTCGACTAACACCAGTACACTGTGGGCCAGGGGGTAGACATCGTGAACCTGCACGTAATAGCCACGATCGCACTGCTCTTTGGAGGAGAATAGTCTGTAGAAGATAATATTTTTATTTTATTCTCTATTTCATTTTGGTTAAGGGGGACATCCTATGTCGCTGTTTTATTTCAGAGCTTCATTTTCAGCGCTATAACTTTCTAACGTCATAGCACATAGAGAAATCCTTTAAAAAAATCCTATAAAAGTTATAGATATTTTTTACATTCACATGGGATGACCCCCTTAATACTCTTCTCACGCCAATATATCCACCGGTTCCAGTATCAACTCGGACTTGTAAACCGATGCCAGAAAGTTGGTGAACGCCGCTGTGTTGTTGCCCAGCTCCAGCTCTGTGTTGGGCGTGCAAATCTCCATACCCAAACCACTGCTGCTGGAGCCAAGTCCTGGCAGGCCGTTGCGAGTGCCCCAAACCGTGATGATGTTATCCTCGGAGGCCACTATAGTACACTGATCACTGCAGTTGGCCTTCTGTGAATGGTCAACTTAGGAAGGAGTCTCTGTACTAAATGAGAGGACTACAAACCACAATATAGCGAGATTTGACAGCATCCACCAGGGTAGGATGATCTACGGAGTTGCAGTGCCTTATACCACGCTGACCCTCAGCATTTCGACCCACAGTGTAGACATAGCCTCCTTCCACTAGGAACACCGAGTGGGTGGACGAGAAGCAGGCCTGGATTACCTTGTGCGGCAGTTGGACTTTTTTCTAAAGACGAGAGTTGACCTTAAAGATTACATATAAGATGAAGCAGTTACTTACAAAAGCAGTGATCTTTCCTGGTCTCTGGAATCCCAGCTTGTTGTAATCATTGCTGCCGCAGACATGGAGCTCTCCATTGGCAAACAGCACGGCGGAGGTATCAGGACCACAGTAGATCTTAGTGGGTTTAGTCTTCACATGGGACAAGAGAATCTTCTGTGGGAATTTCCTGGAACAAAAAGGATATGTTCATGGTAAAAGATTTTTATAAATAAAGATCCTCCAAGTACTCACTGCTGATGCTGGTAGTTACCCAGACCTAGGGCTCCGCAGGCACTGGTGCCCCACACATAGACCGCTCCCTCCCGGCTCAATGCCAGGACATGGTGCAGTCCGGCGGCCACTTGCTCCACCCGGACATCAGCCAGACGGGCCACCAGCTTGGGCGTATGGTAGTTCCTTTGCTCATCCTGCCCCAGAGCCAGATTAGCGTTGCTCCCACAGCTAAGCAAGCTGCCAGCTTGGGTGACTAGGATAGTGAAGCCATCGCCGGCACAGGCACCAATCACATGGTAGTTGCGCACGCTCTCCATGCGGCTGGGATAGTGCTTCCAGGCCTCCAGCGCTGTGAGTCCCAGCTGGCCATGGGTGCCCTCGCCCCAGGCATATGCCGATCCATCCTCGTTGACCACCACAAAGTGTGAGTCCGACATGGCTACGCTGACGATGACGGCCTTGGGCGGCAGCTGGATCGGAGCCATGCTGAAGCAGGTGCCAAAGGCCTTAAGTTGATATAAAACGGATCTAAGGGTGGGCAACTGGGTTAGAGAGTTGAATGCAGGATCAACTAATTACCTTTTCTCCAGGATCTCATGCGGCGCCGCCGTCTCCGCGCTCATCAGCTGTTTGGTCTCCGTCTGAGCGGTGGGCAGCTCCAGTTCCATGGTCACGTTGCTGTGACCGGCGGTAGGAACAACAGCCGCCAGGTGTTGGCCACTGGGACCACCCACATCATCCTCATAGGAGTAGCTTTAAGAGAGACGGGAGCTTACAAGAGTGGAGGAATAGAAGGTCCCAACTCACCCCTTGTTCTTTCCCAGACTCCGAAATATGAGCGGAATCCAATAAACCAGAACCTCAGAGGCCGTGGGCCGCCGGGCGGCCTCCACCTGCAGCAGATTGGACATGAGGCTTTGCAATCCCGACGTATAACCCGAGGGAACTGGGGTGTAGTTGCCAGCCATGATCTTGGTGACCAGCTCGGAGAGATTAGAGGCGGCAAACGTCTTCTTGAGGCAGCACATTTCGCCCAGAATGCAGCCCAGAGCCCATATATCGCTCTTGTTATCGTACTCCTTACCCTCGCACTGAAGAACATAATAGAGAAACTAACTAATGAAGGGCTAAGCCGGACAGGATCACTTACCATCTCCGGACTGAAGTAGTAGGGTGTTCCCAACACCGTCTGGGCATGAATCTTGGTGTTCATAATCTTGGAAATGCCAAAGTCGCCTATTTTGACTATACCTCGTCGATTGAGGAAGACATTGGCTGTCTTGAGATCCCTGCAGACATAAAAAACATTCTCAATAATACCCTAAAAGTAATCCACAACCCTTCTCACCGATGCAGTATATTTTCCGAGTGCATGTAGTTAATGGCGCTGGAAATTTGCTCAAATACCGCGATTATGTAGCGTTCCGGAAAGTGCAGCTTGCCCTGACGCTCGGCAATAATGTGGGCCAGGGTACCTCCATCCGCGTACTCCATCTCTATGAGCAGCGTGTTGTCTTTGATGAAGCTTCCCAGGTAGCTGACAATGTTGGGATGATGCAGCTTCGAGAACACATCCACCTCGTTCATGGCCAGATCCCGACCCGGCGGCGTCAATTCACTTAGATTGATCTGTTTAAAGACAATCTGATGTCCATCGGATTTACGTCGGTAGAGAATGGCGATGCCGAAGGAGCCCTGCCCCACCACTCGCACCTTCTCGTAGTTGGCCAGTTCCGGACCTGCCACCACCAATGCCGTCGCCGCTGCTGCCTCCCTAGGAACGCTGAGCTGTAGTAGATGTTCTTGTCGGGCAGCAGGTCCCTGAGCTTTGCTGCTGGACATGGCCTCCGCTAGCGATGTACTGGCCGCTCCGGTAGTACCGTCCGTGATGGTAAAAACCGTGGGTAGGACCCGACAGCAGGTGGATTTCTTCCTCGCTGGCACCTGTCCCAATGGCAACTGCAGCGAGCTGGTGGTCAGAGTGGTGGCGTCCGTTATCCGACCGTTGAAAATGGGCAGGGAACTAGCCTTGGCGCGGAACTTCTTCATCTCCTTCGAGAGTGGCGGGCACAAGCAACCACAAGTCGCTCCGAGTCGTGTCTGTTGGATAATAGTTTCTATTGGCATGTGTCCATCGAGTTGGAGTTGTGGTCAAAGCCCGGTTGCCAGGCGACCACGCCTGGGAATGGGCTTGTGGACATGTCCGAGTAAATGTTATCAGTAGGTCTGCGCTAATTGGCCAGTCCGGGTCCGGGGCGGGGGACATTATCATAAGCAATTGGATTGGAAATGGGAACGATATTTGCAGAGCCACTATTAGGAATAATCGATGTTAATTTCGGGAATGGAGTGCATGGGGGTATTGCTAAATAAGTCATTTGACAAACCTTCTAACGGAAATGCTTCCGGGGTATTTATTTTTTAAATTTTTGAATATTTAAGTTAATAATAATTTAAATTTTTAGTAAAAATTGGGGATTTTGATTCTGTGGACAAACCAACTTTTTTGGAGGTCTTTTGCGAGTTTCGTTATAGCTCCTATACCGCTAAATATTTTTCAATAAAAAATTTTACACATAATTGTTTAAATGTTGTGTTATTTTATGGTATATAATTTAAAAAGCTAACTTTAGCCTTTTCGCCACAAGAATTTTTTGAAAAGGGGCTTGTTTGGCACCGAAGTAACCTTAATCCCCACTCAAAAACCTTAATAAAAAGCGCAATTTAGTTTCTTATGAGTATAAATGTATTTAGCATTAGATTATAATTATTGGAATCGAGACAATATGCATGTATAATCGACCGTTATGTATTCGCAGGAATATGCTAAAATATTTATGCTATCTTCTCTTGGACTATGTGTACCTTAAAATGCACAATCTGAACGCATCACGTAGAATGCAATACGCCGCAGTGCCCCACTATCCCCACACTCTGGGTGGCGGTGGCGGCCTATGCACGAACTTGGCTACAATGCTACACAACGCTCAATAGCTTTGGACAACTTGTTCTCAGGTTTTGCGGTATGCGGCTTTGCGGTTTTGCGATCGCATCGTATTCCATCGATGAGTATTTAGCAGGTGCAGCGATTCTCGCCGGAAAGACTGCCGAGACTAAAGGTGCCGAGGCCATTTGAGCCGGGTGATTTCTTGTCTTTGCTCTCGTCGTTGTCAAAGTTGTCGCCCTAGCAATAAATTAAGTATAAGATATCATATTCTATATCTTTCTTGTTCAGTTCATAATGTAAGTTACTCACCCGACGCTCTCTTTGTTCGCGAATTTTGCGAGCCAGCGACAGAAACGCATCCTCAATATTTATGTTCGACTTGCACGACACCTCGAAGAAGGGCATGTCAAAGTTCTCGGCAATCTGGAAATTATCGAAAGTGTCAATATGGCATATATCCATTATCCAATCCTTCTTGGGAACCCACCTTCTCGCCTCTCTCCTTGTCCACCATACGCTGGGTGGCCGAGCATTCGCATTTGTTGCCCGCCAGCACCTTGACCACATCTGGTGAGGCGTTCTCCTGGATGTTGCGCAACCAGTAGGACAAGTTGTTGTAGCTCTCTAGATTGGTCACATCGTACATGAGCAGGATGCCCATGGCACCGCGATAGTATGCCGTGGTCAGTGTTCGGAATCGCTCCTGCCCGGCCGTGTCCCAGATTTGTAGTTTTATGGGCACGCCATCGAGGTTAATCAGCTTTTGCTTGAAGTCTATACCTGGGAGGGAAGATGAGATGGGATAAAAGGATGATAGTGTGTACACTGTACATATGTGTGCTTACAGCTAAGGTTAAACTAATAGAACTTTCTGTGATATTTTTATAAGACATTAAATAAATTTTAATGGTTTATTCTGTGTGAATTATAATTTTGAAAAATTCCGTAGTAAGAAAAATTGCAATTTCTAATCAAAAATCCTTTTGACCCTGGCTTTTCCTAGTAATCCTACTTTAGTTACCCCATAAGTTATACTTTTTCGGCTGCTGTTGCCTTCAGATTGAGGCTGGGGGCAACTTACCTATGGTGGAGATGTATGTGTCGTAGTACTTCTCATCGCAATATCTGTGCACGATGCAGGTCTTGCCCACATTGGAGTCGCCCAGCACCAGGACTTTATATGTGGCCACAAAGTCCAGTGCCATATTGCCGGAGCCCGTGGATCTTGATAGTTGATATAAATATTAAATCCAGCAGAGAGGAGCGACGACGACGGAGGTTTTGTTGTTTGGTTGGTGGTGATGGGTACAAGTGGTGGTGGTTTGGCTTTGGCTCCGAGGGGTTGCAGCGGGCTGTGTGTGTAGCTTGTTTATGTATCCGCTGGCTTGCGCTCGGCCTGGTGGTTTGTTGTTGCTCGTTCGCAGCTGTTCCTCCTAGAGTTGCAACGGCGTCATACAGATTTCTGGTGTAATTTTTCACAATTTCCCCCGAGGGAAGGGGGCGCCGCGCGCTCTCAACAATAACAACAGCCGTCCGGTGGCGAAAAGCTGGGATTTTCACGTTAATTGACAACTGACTACCGTTAACTGGTCTCTCGTATGATTTAACCTTTATTTGTATCTTTATTTTAATGTAATATAAGTGTAAGTGGTGTTAGGTGTGCATAGTGTGCCACTTGAGAGATGGAAGGGTCGAATTACGCCGTTCGCGTGAATCAACCTCGACGCACTGACTGCTCTGCCCAATCCGTGGAGGCGGAGTCGACTAATCAATAGACCTGCGCATGCGCAGCAGCAGTTTCAACTGCCGATGTATCGAAATCGGAATTTAAATCGAGGGCGTTCGCGGGCGCTCCAAGTCGCTTATTAATAGTAATAATAATATTAGACATCATTCTGTAGTTACATGTTCAAAAATAGAGTTATTTCTTGCTTAACTTAGTGCTGATGGGTTGGGGGAGGAAGAGAGGAGGGCCGATCGCCCGCCGCTTACATCACAAAGACCTTTTCGATCTTGGGGTTGGAGAACTTGGTATTGGTCACCGGACAGGTCACGGTGCCGTCGTCTTTGGTGATGTCTGGCAGAGCCATCTGGCCGAAGATCTGTCCGTTGGGCAGCATCATCGGCTGGTTGTGCTCGTTGAGCGGCAGCCCCGTCACACGGCAGATTAGGCGGCTCTGGACACAGTGCGAGTATGGCAACTTGAGGGCGATGCGGTTGAGATCCTCCTGGCAGACGGGGCAGTTGAGGTTGCGGCAGGTCTGCGCGTAGCAGTGGGGCGTCTTCAGCGCCGACAGACCCGCCTGCACAGCCGCCGAGAACACGGATGTGCTGGACAGCTGGAAGAGGCGGTAGTTCTCGTGGCGGAAGTCAAGCACCAGCTGTTGCCAGCGTTGCGGATCCATGTACTTGCGATAGTGCTCCGCCTCGGCATCGGACGGATAGGCCAGCAGGGCCATCACGTGGCAAATCTCGTTCAGCTGAGTCTTCTCGTAGGCGGGGAAGTAGCGGCGCGAGTGCTTCACCGCCTCGAAGCGCTGGTTCTGACGCACCAGCTCGATGAACTCCTGCACCCGCAGGCTGAACTCAATTGTGGAGTTGATTTTGCGCAGCTTGGACTTGTTGTCGATGCACCAGAGCACGCACTTGGTGGTGCTGTGGCTGGCCAGGTCGTCCTCCACCTCGCGCGATGTCTGAAATATGTCCAGGTTGGTCAGGTGGCGCACATCCGACCTGGCGGCCAGCTCCTCGGCAGTCTCGTAGTAGCCCATGCGCAGCAGATGCTCGATGACCAGTCGGTCCAGCCGGATGCGCTTCCACTGGTCCACCGATCCTTGCCACAAGTCGCCAGTCACACTGTTCGGCGGTGTGATGCCCTTGAGGTGCTCCAGCTTGCGCTTGCAAATCTGGGTGACGCTCAGCTCGTCGTTGATGCTCTCCTCGGCCTTGCGTTTGAGCACCTGCAGCTTCTGGGCCACATTGCCCATCAGCTTGGTCACGTCCGACAGGATGGGGCCCTCGCACTCCAAGGCCTTCTCCACCTGACGCGAAACGTTGGTCACCTGGTCCACCTCACGGTCGATGATCTTCTGCGCGGAGCGGAAGCGCTTGTTCAGCATCTCGTATGGCACCTTTAGAGTGGCGTGCTCCAACGCCTTAATCTCCGACATTTTCGCACAAATTCCTTTTATTCTCGTTCTCCTGTGAGACGCAATTTACGTTGTCTTTTTTCCTTGCCTTCGTTTGTTTTTCTTTTGTGGGCAGCGAGTTGCCAGATCGACGGCGACAGCTCATAGAGCTGCTAGCTTTTTTCCCACTAAAAAAACCATTATTATTATCAGTTCTTATAATAAATATTTATTTTAATAATATAATTAGAATATTTTATTGATTTAGCATTGCTTATTCAAGTATTTATTCATTTATTATTTATTTAACTTGCTAATTTTAAAATATTAGCTTTGACAGCCTTTCCCGCTAGAAATGGCTATTTTCTTTGGAAAATATTGCCATCACTGCCTATGGCCGCACATAAGGAAAGGGATGGGTTCTGATGGCGTCCAACAGCTGATTGATGTTTTACTGCTACAAAAACAAATGGCTGCTCAGATGCCGTTACTTTAAAGCATATGCATGTGTGTATGGTATATTTGTGTATGTATGTATGTCAATGAAGAAATAATGAGTTTGCAATTTTCTTGGAGGAGATTTATTTATTTTTTTAATGGTTTATTTCAGATTTTCCAAAAGTTGGCATATTTTGTACATTGCATTTGTATGTACATATGTGTATTTCGAAATACATATGTATGTATTTTTGCATGCTTCAGTTTACATATGTATGTGTGCTGGAAATCGTTGAAAGTTTCTCCTCCTTACCCCAAATTCTGGTTAGGGGGAGATACCTCGTAATACTCAGTAATATTCATATTCAGTAATATTTTATTTCAGGTGATAAATCTTTTGTAAAAATCTAAAGTAGGTTAAGCGTTGCAACGTTGAATGTAAACCAGGCATTTTAGACTGCAACATTGCTCGGCCATCGTGCATCTGCGTCTAAACGGCACACATTTTTCGGCCAAACTCAGACGATTTAGCTGGTGATTACATTTATTTTTAAACATTTAGCAATAAATATTATAATCAATAAATACTTACCTGAGTTAAATTTTTAGATAATGGCATTTCCAATGATAAGTTTTGACCATTAAAGGGTCCAAATTCCGCCATTCCATAAGGTATCTTTTGATATTTGGGTTGAATTTTGGCAGCCATTGCACCAACCAAAAATACAAGGACCAATGTAAGACCTGTTGTAGTAATCTTCATTGTTGATTTCTAACTAAGGCCTCTATGCATCTCCTTTATATACCCTTCATGGGTGTGGACAAATCGAAAGAAAACAGAGTTTTATGTTTTATCATTGTATTTACAGGCTGGTTGTTGAAAAACAGATGTGTCAAATCGGATATGAATAATTTCTAGGTGGCAAAGAGTCGGTGACTAAAGTCAACCACCGGCGGACTCTGCCAAACACTTTGCACAGAATCGGCGGCTACCAGATTTCTGTAGTCCGCAACGCCCCGGAATAGGCTAAGGAACATATTGGTGAACAGAGTGACTTCATCAGGATTCAGAGGATTCAGCTGCTGCTGCGTGGGAGGCTTCGATATCCCAGGCAATTTGGCATCCTTTGAAGCAGAATCAATTCCGGCGGGCAGAGCTTGTACTTGAGCCTATTACAAATAAAATAATAATTAATTTACAAGATATATATAAAGGTAAGTATTAAAAATGAAATACGTCCAATAACTATACCGTTTTTTGTACAACATTTTACTTACAGCCACGACTAGCACAACAAATGCGAGGACCAACATAGTGATTTCAGATCGCTGTCTAACGCGCATTTAACTGAGTACCAACTCAGGTCCCAACTTGGCTTTTAAACCCCGCCATTATTGACTCTCTGACCCAGTGGCATTAATTAATTGCAACACCTTTGGCTTGTTGGACATGCTTTCCTTGCTTGTTGAAGTCAAGAATCGGTTTACATTTGTGTCAAGAAGCCCGAGATAATTGGAAATTCCCACTGTCAATATTTAATGCCAATGCCTCAGATACGATAATGGTTGCAGATATCGAAACTGAAAGCGGGAACGTGTAATATTTGAACAATCAGCGTTTAAAGGCTTCTGGGTGAGGCCTCTTGATTTTAATGGGTCAAGGTCAGTACTTTTATGAGCCGTCGTTTCTTGGAAACTTTCTGGCAGGGGCACTCCCAAAATTTTTTTTATTAGCTTTCTAAAGAACTAAAGAAGAAATATGCATGTTTGGGAATCAACTCAAAGTTTAATTATATTTTTTAAGAAATTTATATTTTTAAAAAGGGACTTTCCCAACATTTTATTAATTTCTTAAAAAAAAAATTGTTTCAACTTTGACAAATTCTAAAAGTTTGAGTCATTGAAGATATATTGACCATTGACATTTTTCTAAAAAAATTGTATAAATAAGTGCCTAATATATTTCAGATGAAGAAAGACATAATAAATAAGGGGGGTTAACTAATATGATGATTAAAAATGCTTTGGTCAAGTTTGTTTTATTTTCAAATTATAAGCATTTTGTACAAATTTGAACAAAGTTGTGTAAATAAAGCTGAACATTATTTAATTTTTTAATAGAAAGAATAAGAATCAAAGGTATTTTCAAAGTTTTATGATACAAATTTAAAAAATAATTTCTAAAATTACCACGAGTCATCGACCCGATTAGCTGGAACTGCATAGTAAGGGGGATATCCAAAGTTATTCATTTTCCGGGCACACATATTGAGGTACGTCATACACTTTCCTGAGCAGCAATCCCAATGGGTTTGACACTAGCGGTTAAAAGATGACTTCAAAAAAATCTAAGAAAAAATATCCCATCTTACGTATCCTCCATTATGGGAACAGGCTGTCGAGTATCCAAGGAAACAAAGGAAAAGTAACAGTTTCTTAATAATATGCATTATTGACATTTTTACGATGGGACACCAGAGCTTTAACTGAGGCGATCGTGGGTGAAGATCGCTTCTTATATATGATTTGCGTTTTAAAAATGCTTTATGATTTGATTTATGAATTTATAATTTATATATTAATACTTTCAATTTTAATTCTATTCATGTCCATATATATAACAGCTTTCATTTTTATGATAATTAATTTCTGTATTTAAATTTGTAATATATAAAATCGCCCTAAACCCCTAGGCTTTTCCTTTTTATCGTACCATAAAAAAATATATATATACATATATATAAGATATGACAAATACAGTATACAACAAACTTATCAGGTCAAGCACATGCTGGGTTTTTTATACATTTTGCTCAGTTTAATGCATATCACTTTGAGGTTGTCGCAGAAAGCCCGCATTTGCTTTATCAATTTTATTACTTACAGTGTCAGTTAAAGGGTTTGACAACAAATACATACATATTTAATATATAAATAATTTATATAAAATATATATAGTTCAAGCAAAATGAATTTTAGGGTTTGAATCCTCATATTTTGGTTCGTAACATTAATTTAAATGTAAGTAAAATTCGTAAATATAACAACCTTAGATCAAATAAACACAATAATCAATAACATTTTTAAATAACAACAATATATTTAATTTTCTAAATAATTAAATTTGTAACAGTAATAATTTGTAATTTGGTAATAAGCTGGTTTGTCACATTTCCTTATTGTCCCCTAAAATCGCTCAGGTGACACACCTGTGCATGTAGAAGTGACAGCGCAAATTACAGCAGTCCGTGCTGGTGTTACACTGAAAAATAAAAAGAAAAGAGTTAAAATAGTTCATGTTTATTATATTTTAAGGGAAATCCTTACCGGTCCTCCGACATTCTGGCATTGTGGTGCTGCCTGCGAGACAATATTATAAACTTCCTTTGAAGGATTTGGCAGATCAGAAAGTCCAACGACTTGCACATGATCAACCGGTGCCTTGATTCCAGTATCAAAGATTCCATTGAAGCCGGGCGTGTGGGGAATGGGAATGCGATCATCTATTTTCTTGGCACAGGTACTGAGGTAGGTCATGCACTTGTGTGAACAGCACTCCGCGTGGGTCTGGCACTGCCAATTTAAAAAAAGCTTAGCAAAGGCATATACGATCTATTAACTATGTTTTTTACGCGTTCTCCAATTTCCTGACAGCTGCGACGCCCCACATCCTGACGAGCTGACACAACACCCAGGACACACAGCAAGAGACCCAATTGCACGATTGCAGGCATTATAGACATCTTGACGCTGGCAAAGTAAAGACCGAACTGAAGCATTCGGATTCTGGATTGCGACTTATAAGCGATCTCTGTTATGAGAACCACCTAAAGAGAGCGAAAACAAGATGACTAATAGCTCTGCGGTATCATTTCGACTATCTGCTACCGCCTAATTAGGCCTATTCATTCCTGTTCACGTATATTTCTTAGGAATCAATATGTCTAATATATGCGTAAGCACGTAGTCGAAAATAATATCAATATTTGCTGAAAGAAGTGCTTACTAGAATTGGAGCAGCTATTCTTATTTTCAAAAGAAACAATACATTTCTTTGTACAACTTTTATTAATATAGAAACAACTTTCTGATAAAGTTATTTTAGTTAAAGAACTTTTAGTTTGTTAATTAACTTGCTTTGTCAGTTTTCCTTAGGTGACACACTTCCGGGAGATAAAGTGACATCGACCTGTGCAGCAATCACTTATTTTGAAACACTGGAAAATATTTGGGAGAGTAGAAGATTGTCTTACTTATAAATTAAATTATAAACATTAAAAGAGACCTTACCCGCTCTCCTAGATTTTTGCATTTTTTCCCCTCTGGTCGGCTGGTAACTCCCTGTTGACCACAAGTCTCATTTGTTTGTTTTCCGACAACAGAGAGTCCTAGATCTCGTGCCTGATCCGCAGTATCCAAGACTGTATCAAGGGGACTGTTATCATTAGGAAAAGCTGCTGCCAGACCCAGGATACACAGAATTTGGCCCAGTAGGGCGATTGTTGGAAGTTTAGACATTTTCAGGCTGGCCAAAAACACTATTAACTGAAGCGTTCGGACGGAACAAGGCTTATAAGCATTGATTTAATAAGCCTGGATTATTCCTAGCCACGGGTGTTTTTTATAGATTTTAAAATTTAAAAAATGCAGCAACACATCCTTAATTTATATAAATATTTATTTATTTATATGAGCCAACTATTCCATAGTTACAAAAACAGGTTTACGATCGGGAAAAGGGTATACTTATCCCATGTTTTAGGGGTTGTTATTATTCCTGTTCGAAGAGTACTAGTGCTGGCATACCCCTAGAGATTGAGGCACCTGCTACCACTCAAAAAGAGTGCGTTTTTTCTGGGGCGGGTGGATGAATAGCCAGCCCGCATGGCAGGGCGAGTCGTTAGTGTGCCAAGGACCGCACCGTGACCTGCTCAACGCCACTGCCTCGAGTGTCGTTGTCGTCATCGAATGAGTACGAGTGGGAGCCAATGAGTACTCGTGTTTGCAGGGCACTCTTATACTCGATCCGCTCGAGACATTCTCATCGATCAGCTCAGCGAGCCCCGCGGCTTATCTTATCGGGACAGGCGGGCTTTAGCTACAGATATAGCCGTGTGGCCACTCGTCGGCGACGCTCAGTCGAGTTGCGGTTGCCAGGGCGCGAGCAGATACTGCCTTCGATCCGAAACGTATTCCGTATCACCATGATCACGCCGGCAGCGTTTTCGTGTGCTTTTCTCTTCTTACTGGCCCCGATGGTCAGGGGATCCCTGCCAGGTCGGGATCGCCCATCTCTGCGACTGCCCAACGAGACCTATCCGCTGCTCTACCGCTTGCACATCTCCAGCGACATCCACCAGGGCACTCTCTTATTCAGCGGAAATGCCACCATTGACGTAGCCATACGGCAGTCGACGAACGAGATAGTGCTGCACGCCAAGAACCTGACCGACATCCAGATTACGGTGCGCCAGCTGACCGGCAACGAAGTCGAAGGGGGCTGGGAGATCGTGGACGATCTGACCCACACTGTGAACCAGGACGCGGCCTTCCTTATTATCCATCCGAGGGAGAACTACCAGGCCTTTGAGGCTGGCCAGCGTTACCGCCTCGAGATACTGTACACAGCTATTATGAAGTCAAAGCCCATGGGGCTCTACTATATGGATTACAAAGATGAGCAGAGTAATCGGACTGTGTAAGTATTACGTCTATCGATGGAGGGAGATAAGGCGAGAGCCTAGGGAATCCGGGAGAGATTTAGGTTTGTTTTTTAATGGGTTTATGATTTATAGATTTTATTTATGTCCAAAGCTAAACTATAATTAACTAAATCAGTTACTTAATAGCTTTAGAAATAAATAAAGAATTTAATTAGCATTTTGAAAGATAGGCCGCATAATTAATTAAATAAGAGGCACCTTTCCTGATTGATGGGTTAATCCAAGACAGGCACGCGCTATACGAGTTAGTACTCTGTTACATAACCGAGAGAGATACTCGTAAAATCAGTTCACTTTGCCTCTCACTTTTATTTTGTTATTTAATTTTTTACTTTCTGTTATTATTCCCATTTGTTTGGCTTTACTTTTTAATTACTTTGCTGCCGTAGACAGAGCCCTCGGTCTTTATCGCTATCAGGCGGCGGCATAGTATACTCTTGCATATATTATATATGTAGACCCATGCCATATGGCATAGGGAGCGCGTCACCGGGGTGACGATGTAAACAATGCGACATAGTGAGAGTTCTGAATGGGGGGATTCTTTATAAACGGGGCATGACTGTGTGACCACGAACAATCTGGGAGCCACGGCTTATCACTTCCTCCGGTGTGTTTACTTAGTGTTTTTATTTTACTTCGGGCGTAACCGAGACCCCGGGTTTGTTTTCATTCCCATTACCCATTATTTTTGGGCAAATATACATACGCAATAATAAGCTCGGATCTGGGAGAGAGGCAGAGCTGGTTCTCGCCGTGATTGATCATTCCGGCAGCCGCAGGCTGCAACTGGTTTTTCTTAATTTTTTTTTCTTGTTTAGCGTTCAACGATCTGGGAATTGGGACTTTGGGATTTTTGGCCTGAAATGACTTTGTTTAATTATATATATATTTTTCATAGGCAGACGTCGAGTACACTTGGCAACAAGTAATTATCTGTGAATATTCATAAATTTGATAAGTCTGTCTGATTAGGAATACTAGCAACTGTGGGTAGTATTCGATTTCATTCATTAAATTATACAGAGAAACTTGGCATTTAATAAGTAAATAGTTCTTTTTTGGGGGGAAGATATATTAATTCCTAGAATTTATTAAAGGAAAAACAAATAAAAATATAAAAATTGCATTAAAATATACTGAGAAACTTGGCATTTAATAAATAAACATTTATTTTTTAGGAAGAAAATACATCAAATCAAAGAACACAAATAAAATATAAAAGATTCTCTATCTAAAAATCGCCTTAAAAATTATTAAATTATTTATTGCGCCGAATTTATAAATTTTTTTTTTATTTTCTAGGAAAAAAATATTTTGAAAAGCATTTTTACTAAGAAAAGCTTATCAGAATTGCAAATAAATAATTCCGGCTTTGCTTAACCTTTCACTTCTAAGTAGGACTTTGTAAGTTCTTAAGTAAATCAAATAATACGGATGTAAATAAAATATAATTACAGAAATAGACTCATTATAGAATCCATAATCCCTCTTAGGGGCTTTAAATATTTATTTTAACAATTTTTGTAAATTCTAAACAAATTTATAAATCTAAATCTCGCAGATATGTAGCTGCCACCCAATCGGAGCCCACCTATGCCCGCCTAATCTTTCCCTGTTATGATGAGCCTGGATTCAAGTCCAACTTCAGCATAAAACTCACACATGGCAGCAGTCACTCGGCCATATCCAATATGCCAGTCAAGGAAGTCGTGACTCACGGGTAATTTATTCAATTTACATGTTAAATTAAAATATTATAAACATAAGCTCCTTTAATATTTTCTTTTATTTTATGGCAGCGACTTGACAACGACATTGTTTTATCCCACCCCACCCATGTCCACCTATTTGGTGGCCTTTGTCATCTCCAATTTCGATAGTATTTCGGAGACCTTTAGAGGAGTCACTCAGAGCATTTATTCCTCGCCGAGCACCAAGGAGAAGGGCCAGAGTGCTTTGAAGAATGCTGTGAGAACAGTGGCTGCCTTCGAGGATTACTTTGGCGTATCCTATCCGCTCCAGAAGCTGGATCATGTGGCACTGAAGAAGAACTATGGGGCGGCCATGGAGAACTGGGGACTGATCACCTTCAAGGAGGCGAATCTGCTGCAGCAGGACTCAGAGGATTTGCACAAGCGGGTGATGGATAAGATTACACAGAACCATGAGATTGCCCATCAGTGGTTCGGGAACTTGGTATCACCCGAGTGGTGGACCTATGCCTGGATGAACGAGGGATTTGCCACGTACTTTAGCTATGTGATTACTGATTTGGTAAGGGAAAAGGAGGGTTGAGAAATAATTAATAACTCAACTCTGAAATGTATTAAATGTTGCATATTTTGTGGCTGAATAGATTAAATTTAACTTCAAACTTCTTCCTCAGCTCTATCCCGAGGACAAGGTGATGGACATATTCGTGGCCGATGAGGCCGATCGTGCCTACAGCTACAACAGCTTCTTCGATGTCCGTCCCATGTCCTCGTACGTGGAGAAGGAGAAGGACATCATGGCGGCCTTCGACATCATCACCTACAAACGCGCAGCCTGCGTCATCAAGATGTTTCACCACGCCTTCCGTCAGAAGATATTTGTCCGCGCCATCAGCCGCTTCCTGGAGAAATAGTAAGTAATGGTCAACCATCCCACGAACTGGCCAATTGGAACTCATGAGCCAAAGTCCTTCGCTCTTCCCTCTCTCCCTTGGCTAGTCGTTACACGGTGGCCAACGAGCTGGATCTCTTTGATGCACTGCAGGCGGAACTGCAGGAGGACGAGTACTTCTCCCATCAGGTGTGGGCATCAAAGATAAGAGACATAATGCTGTCCTGGACGCACAGCGAGTGGATGCCCATAGTAGTGGTCACAAGGAACTTTGAGAATAACTCCATTACCTTTAGCCAAAGATCGATACACTCCAAGGACGAGCTGTGGTGGATTCCCCTCAACTTTGCGACGGCCCAGGCGCCCAGCTTTGAGGACACCCAGGTGGATTTCTTTATGCCACCGCAGTCGCAGTATTCGGTGACGCTGGAGGATCTTAAAATGCAGCTCGGAGGCCGGGACTGGATCATAGTGAACAAGCAGCAGACGGGCTTCTACCATGTCCACTATGACACGGACAATCTTAGGGCCATTGCCCGCCAGCTGCAGACGAACCACACGCTTATCCACCCAGTAAATAGGGCCGCCCTCTTCCGGGACTTGAAGCCCCTTATCGAGCACAACGAGATTGAGCAGGTGGACGTGCTCTTTGAGATGCTCAAATACCTGGAGTTCGAAGAGGATATGCTGCCGTGGAACCAGGTGGCCGACACCATTGAATTCTTGCGGCGCAACCTGTTCGGCACCGCCTCGGAGAAACTGTTTAATGAGTTTGTGCGCCGCCTGGTCAATCCCATCTTCCGGCGCCTGTATCTAGATCCGGCAACGGAGCATGTCTCGAATAGCGCCCTGGACGCCGGCCAGGTGATTGTGCAGATGGCCTGTCTGGCCGATTCCCAGGAATGCCTGGAGTACACCCGCCGGCTGACCAAGGAGTACATCTTTAAGAAGATCAACTTGACCAACGACTGGGACTACTATGCCACGTACGACACGGTTCTGTGCATGGGCGTTAGGTACCTGAGCGACCGGGACTTTTATGCGGTCATCGACATGATGCAGGCCGCCGACAGGAACACGGTGTACTATGATGACATGATCTACTCCCTGCGCTGCACCCAGAGCCATCGTCACCTGCTGTACTACCTGGAGGTGCTGCTGGGCGAGAACTCCACGCATTGGATCCTCAGTGATCCCGAGGCCATGATGTATCTGTCTTATGTTTACAAATCCAATCTGGCGGCTAGGCCGGTCATCTGGCAGTACATCGATCGCAACTACAAGCTGCTCTGCCGGTCGCCCAACTTTGTGGAGATCTTCAATCAGATTGCAGAGTTTGTGCCCAGGCAACAGAGGCCTCAGGTGAGTGGAAGTTTAATATAAAAATGATATATTATATTTATGATAAATTCCTTCCAGTTTGAGCGACTGCGCCAGGCCATTGCCAGCCACATGGACTTGGAGTCGCCTAGCACCAGCAAGCAGCTCATCGAGTCCAACTCCCCGCTGGTGGGCAAGAAGGGAAAGATTGCGGAAAACTTCCTGGACAAGTTCCAGCAGCAGATTTACAGCTGGCTGATAAGCGAGGTCCCTCCAGAGACCGCCAAAAGCGATGCTATACTGGCTGCATCGCTAAGCGTGGCCAATGGCTCCAGCCGGCCGCAAGGAATCCTCAAGGATGCCACTCGAGTAGTGCGGAGTGCGTTGCGGTCAATAGATTCATCGTTCTACAGATGATTAGTTTACTCTTAGGGACTACTTAAGTACAAGCTCAATTCTAAATAAATTAATTCCCCTAGAACAAGACAACATTCCAGACATGTTATCACTGGATGTAGGGGAAAGGAGCTTTTCCCCACGACTCCTCGAATGGACGATAAGGGAAATCAATTGGACCTAGTCTAGGGGGAATGGATAAGCATGTCCCTGAACTAAAAGTCATTGGCAGTAAACAGTCATCTGATCTGTGAAATATTTTATGGCCATTAAGATATAGTAGAGGGTATACTTGAGGGGTTTTGGGACTTTCTATCAAGGTTAATAATTAATTTCTTTAGTTTTCTTCAATTAAAATGACAATATTTAATTAAATACTTGTCAAATACATATTCATTTATAATCAAACTACTCATATGTTAAGGCGTCATGCCCAGCCTTTTATAAGTGAATTTATAGCTGTTGTGTATTTTCCTAGTTTATGGCCTCAACAACTTGCAGTTTTCCAGTGCCGTCTCAGACACACCGATAACTTAATAATTTACGGCGTAATTAAGTTTAGACCTATTAGTCAATATTAATAGAACTTCAATAGTAGTCCTTAACCTGCTAACGATAAGGATCTGGCTACTGAATCATTTGAATAGTGACTCCCCTTCTAAAGCCATTTAAGATCTGCAAAAGAACTTGGTCTATTTGAGACTCTTAACTTGAGAGGACCTCAAAGCCGACCGATAAATATACGTTTTACTGCCTAATTAATCGTTTTGTTTGGCTTGGCCCAGTGCACTCTTTGGTCAATAACGAGCGTTGTGCCTGTTTTATCGAGTGTTGCGCAACAATCTTTATGGCGATCGTCGTTCAGGATTAGATATGGTTTAGTCCATAAATAAGCCGGCGGACTGCGGCGGCCGTTCAATACGAAAAAAGCCAAACAGCCAACATGGCTAGGTGGCTGCTAAACTCGTGTGTCCTGCTGCTCTTGGCAGTGAGCAGCCTGCAGGCGCGCCTGATCCTGCCACAGTCCCTGGACGTCGACGGTATCCAGCTGGAAACAAAGGGAGCCGAAGCCCTCCACTACGCCAGTGTTAGTCCCCGCGTGGACGACAATAGTGAGGGAAACTACCGGTTACCTAACACCACGGCCCCCGAGGCCTACGACGTCGAGCTCTGGACTAATGTGCACAGTGGACTCAGGGAGTTCAATGGCACCGTCAAGATCGACCTTCAGGTACTAGAGGAGACCAAGGAAATCAGGCTGCACTATCGCCAGACCTGGAACTTCACGGCCGAGATTATCAGCCGCGATCTGGCCCAGCCCGTGGTGATTCCTCTTACGTTTACCAATGAGAGCACACGCGAGTTCCTTACCTTTACGCCGGAGGACACCGCGTTGTCCTTTGCGGCCAACACCAACTGGACTTTGACCATCAACTATACCGGCATTCTGCGTACCGACATGGGCGGCTTCTACTACTCCAGCTATACGGACGACGATGGCACGGTCCAGTAAGTTGGATTTCTATGATTTCTATGTGCTTGGATTGTACTTAGTATGAGTTCTTATCGAACTATTAATGTCGATTGTACTTGATTACGTTTAATTTCTTATCGGCATATGGCGTTGAGCTTATCTTAATAAGGTTTAATTAGGTGTTGCTTGCTTGTGAAATGAAATATTTAATTTTTTACCTTGACATCCCCAGCTACCTGGCCACCACTCAGTTCGAGAGCACCAATGCCAGGCATGCATTCCCCTGCTATGATGAGCCCGCCAGGAGAGCCACCTTCAACATTACCATTCACCATGATTCCAGCTACACGGCTGTCAGTAATATGCCTGTGAATGAGACAAAATCCAGGTGGGTTTTAAAAACAATTATAAACTTGGATTGGTACAACTTGGCGTATGAGCGATAAAATTACTCATACGCAGCGTGGACCCTGTTTAGGTACAAAAGACTTGTACAATTTATTTAATTTCTCTTTGTATCCCCACCAGCTCTGGTGTCACCGCTTTCCAGACCACGCCCAAGATGTCCACCTACCTCATAGCCTTCATCGTTTCCGATTTCGAGTCCACTACGGGCGAGCTTAATGGCCTGCGGCAGCGTGTCTTCTCGCGGAAAGGCAAGCAGGATCAGCAAGAATGGGCTCTATGGTCTGGTCTGGTTGTGGAAGCCAGTCTGGCCGGTTACTTTGGTGTACCTTTCGCCCTGCCCAAGCTAGATCAGGCTGGCATACCCGACTTCTCTGCCGGAGCTATGGAGAACTGGGGCCTGGCCACCTATCGCGAGCAGTACATGTGGTGGAACAAGGAAAACTCCACGATTAACCTGAAGACGAGCATCTCCAACATCATTGGACACGAGTACGCGCACATGTGGTTTGGCGATCTGGTGTCTGTGAAATGGTGGACTTATCTGTGGCTCAAGGAGGGCTTCGCCACTCTCTTCTCCTACGAATCGAACGACATTGCCTTCCCCGAGTGGGACACTTATCAGATCTACCATGTGCAGGACTATAATAGTGCCCTGCTGAACGATGCACTGACCAGCGCCGTGCCCATGACTCACTATGTGCAGACGCCTTCCGAGATCTCAAATAGGTACAACACCTTCTCTTATGCCAAGCCTGCCAGTGTTCTTTACATGTTCAAGAATGCCTGGTCGGACAAGGTCTTCCGGTCTGGATTGAACAAATACCTGACCAAGAAGTGAGTAACCTAGTTTAACTGTCAAGTTTCTCTCCCTTATCAAAGACTATCCTCTCCCAACCAGCCAATTTACTTCCTGCGATGAGTGGGATCTGTTTGCCTCCTTCCAAGAGGCTGCCAATGAGAACAACCTGGTGTTACCCACTTCCGTGGACAACATCTTTAGCAGCTGGTCGCATCAGGCAGGTTATCCCCTGGTGACGGTGACCCGTAACTACGATACGGGTGCCATCACACTGAAGCAGGAGCGTTATTTGGCGGACAAGGATAGCGGCAATTCGGCCACCTGGTACACGCCCATTAACTTTGCCACGGCCTCCAATCCGGATTACCGCAACACGAGTGCCTCGCATTATTTGCTTAATGTAACAGAGACCACAATCACGGATGTCCAGGTTTCCAGCGATGGATGGCTGCTGATCAACAAGCAACAAGCTTTCTATATTCGCACCCTGTACGATGAGCAGAACTATCTGCTCCTGGCCGACGTCCTCAACAGCGAGCCCTGGCTCATCCATCACCGGAATCGCGCCCAGCTGCTGTACGATGCATACATCTTTGTGACCACCAGTCGCCTGAGTCATAGAATCCTGTTCAATCTGCTCGCTTATCTGAAGAACGAGGATGCTTATGCACCCTGGTCGAATGCCAACACCATTTTGACCGTCTTTGATCGCTATCTGCGCGGCGATGACTCTTACTACAACTTCCGTACCTTCGTGCAGCGTCAGATCGAGCCTGTTTTCGACAAGATCGGAGTGAACGAGATTCCCGGCGAGCATTATCTGAACAATTATTTGCGCATCATTACGGTTAGCCTGAGCTGTCAGGTGGGCTATGTGGACTGCTACACACGGTCCGAGAAGAAGCTCTCCGAGTACCTCTTCAACGGAGTTGCCATTGAGCCCACTTTGAGGACTCAGGCTTATTGCGCCGGTCTGCGTTCCCCTTCGGCTGAGATCTATAGCCGCGTAAAGTCGGATTTGCTTTCCTCCACGGATGCCACTGATCGTAGCTTGTTCATCACGTCGCTGGGCTGCTCTGGAAAGGCTGATCAGTTGGCTGAGTTCTTGAGCCTGTCCTTGGACACTGCCAACGGCTTGAGCTACTCGGAACGCACTTCCTTGCTGAACTCAGCTTATTCCAGGAGCGAGGATGGTCTGACCGCCAGTCTGTTGTTCCTGGAGACCAACTGGGAGGCATATGCCAAGCTATCGGAGACTGTCAAGCCCCTCGACTTGGCTCTGCGAGGAATAGCCACCTATGTGGTTAGCGAGAAGCAGAAGACAAGGGTAGGTGGACTGTACTTGAACTTGGAAAGATCTTTAATAATATATACTTTATTCCTTCCTTAGCTCAACGCCCTGGTGGAAGAGGTCAAGTCGAAGGAACCTTCTTATCTGGCTGATAATCTGGAAACCGTCATCGACTCCCGTATCCAGGCCAACTTTGACTGGCTGGATGTGCATCGTGATCCTACGTTCACTTGGATTGAGGACCATTTGGCGGAGAAGGGCAGTGGCGCCATGACAATGCCCCTAGCCACGATCCTGATCAGTGCCTTGGCCCTGCTCCTGTCGCATCTATTTTAGACTAAGTTTGAGTATTATATACCTTTAAATAAAGAATTAAATGAGTCATAACATAAGAGATTGTGTTTTAAGAAGAACTGATAACCATCTATGGATTACTATATGGATTTCTCAAATGTATGCCCCCAAGTTTGGGGGGCTCAAAGTTTCCCAAGATGGGATTGTGAAATCAGTGATTACTGCGGATGGATCGGTTTATGGCTTTAGTGGCCGATCAATCTTATCTTGGTTCTGGGAATTGCATTATTGCCGATAAAGTACACTGATAAATGGGGCTTAGGACGAAATTCGAGTGTGAAGTGGATATTTACAGAATTGCGGTTATGGTTTATGGAGTTCACGTGCTCATATCAGTTGGCATTTGATTGATTTTGGAATGTTCAAGAACAGGGACATATAATACCTGGAATTATAACCTTCTTGGTCACTATCCACTTCATTAACCTCTGGGTTTTACCAGAATGGTCAATTGATTGCTTAGTTTTCATCATTTTGCTGAGTAATTCAAAACAGATTAATGGTCGGGTCTTTATCTCAAGAGCAACGGCTGAAGGGTCCATTATAGTAATCATGATTTAGAGTTGTACAAACATATCTATAAACAAGCGTGTGAAACTGAAATTCTACTAAAAGAGTAGAAGTTCTCTGTTGGGTTGTGAAAATAAAAGTTGTTTTCTTACTAGATAAGAGTCTGGCATACTTTTCTGGTGTTTAAGATGAGAGGATTTTATAATGGGAATTGTTTTGTGACCAGATTTGGTGTCACATCTCACAGCTAACTATTTACTGAGGTTAAACGCGATCAGATCTTAATGAAAAAAAGTGAAAATCTACACTAATATCACTTATACGCACCTTTATCAGATCAAGGGCAGTCCGCTTTGCCACTTGGGATTTTATCAGCTTGTCTATCTTGAAAGGAACATACTTATTGGCCACTATCTTGGCCAACTAGCTGTTACCAACCCTAGCAAAAATACATCTATATATTGGCCAAGTCACGATAGGAATCCAAAGGGTAGTGGTCGTTCCATCGAATGGCTGATTTACGGCCTAAGGCGGCTTTATAGCACTGCCAGACGACACACTTCGGGCCAAGATTGGGGTAATCTCTTTACGTGGTCCCCAGATAAGAAGACGGGTCTCGCTTAAAAGTGGCCAGCCCGAGTGGATCGGTTCAGTCTTGCCGCGCTTTCGCCATGAGTCGCGTCCCCATCCTGCTGGCCGTGCTTTTGACCATTTCCGCCGTTACCCAGGCGGCGGTGGTGCGCACCTTCCCGCCCCTCGAGCAGCTCGGGCAGCTCCTGGAGAATCCCAATGCCCGTGCGGTGGTTCCGTTCGCCGATGAGGATAACTATCGCCTGCCCAACGACACAATCCCCAGCCACTATGCCGTCAGCCTGACCACTAACGTCCACACAGGCGAGACCAAGTTCACTGGCACCGTGGCCATCACTCTGTCGGTGTTGACCACCACCTCTACTATTGTGGTGCATGCCCGCCAGCTGGAGAACTTCACCGCTAGCATCATCCAGCAGGGTGTGACTGGAGCCACTGCCCAGGACTTGACCTGGTCGTATGAGGAGGAGCGCGAGTTCCTTACCTTCAGCAAGACGGATCTTAGCTTTGCCGAGGGCACCACCTGGGTTTTGACCATTTACTACGAGGGCAACCTGCGCACTGACAACGGCGGTTTCTATCTGTCCACTTTCACTGACGATAGTGGCGCCACCAAGTACCTGGCCACCACCCAGTTCGAGAGCACTGACGCCCGTCACGCCTTCCCCTGCTACGACGAGCCCTCCAAGCGGGCCGAGTTCACCATTACGATCAAGCACGATCCCAGCTACAATGCCATCAGTAACATGCCCGTAGATGAAACTGCCTCCAGGTTGGTTTTTGGGGGAGGGGAGAAGTGTGGGATATTGGGAAATAATTTTAGTAATATTTCATTCACAGATTGATAGGTGATCCTTCTTAAAGGTTGATAGAAGTTCTATAGCTTATACTTCGATATTAATTCTTATTACATATTTTGGTTAATTTTTTATAGGCTTAAAATTATGGCTTTACTTGCGACTTTATCTATTTTTTAATAAGGAGAACTGTTTAAATTGTTTTAAATTACGAAATTCTGACTGTGACGTAACGATATTCCCTTATCAAAACATAGTTTATGATAGTCATAAAAAGCTACGTGAACGCTATCATAAAAATATTTTATGATTTTTTATGGCACTTTTTAAGGCAGAATATAGAAATATATATATAGCAAAGAATGCACTTCTATATCCTTTTCGAATTCTTTAAATCTATATTAAATCTTTCCCTATTTAATCCTTTTGCAGCTCCGGCGTCACCGTCTTCCAGAAGACCGTAAACATGCCCTCTTACCTGGTGGCCTTCATCGTCTCCGAGTTCGTCTTCACTGAGGGTGAGCTCAATGGCCTGCCGCAGCGCGTCTTCTCGCGCAAGGGAACCGAGGGCGACCAGGAGTGGGCTCTGACCACTGGCATGCTGGTGGAGAAGCGTCTATCCGAATACTTTGATGTGCCCTTCGCCCTGCCTAAGCTGGACCAGGCTGGCATTCCTGATTTTGCCGCCGGCGCCATGGAGAACTGGGGTCTGGCCACCTACCGAGAGGAGTATCTGCTGTACAACCCGGAGAACTCGACGATCAATACTCAGACGAACATTGCCACCATTGAGTCGCATGAGGATGCGCACATGTGGTTTGGCGATCTGGTGGCCATCGAGTGGTGGAGTTTCCTGTGGCTGAAGGAGGGCTTTGCCACCCTCTTCGAGAATCTGGCTGTGGATCTGGTAGGTTCTTTCATATCTAGGATTTTTGTTCTCAAGCTAATCGTTTTGCTTGACAGGCCTATCCCGAGTGGGACATCTTCCAGACCTTCCATGCCGGCTCCTACCAGAGTGCTCTGGTCAACGATGCCAGCCCCTCTGCCCGTCCCATGAGCCACTTTGTCCAGAAGCCCTCGGAGATTTCTTTGCTGTACGACTCGGTCTCGTATGCCAAGGCCGGATCCGTTCTGGACATGTGGCGCCATGCCCTCACCAACAAGGTGTTCCAGCGTGGTCTGCACAACTACCTGGTGGACAAGTAAGTCTATATTTTGTATCCTTAGCAGCTAATCCCTAATAATTTCATCCTTTTGCAGCCAATACACTGCCGCCAATCCCACCAAGCTCTTCGAGGGCATCGCCAAGGCTGCTGTCGAGGAGAACTACGCCGTGCCCGCTACTGTGGACGAGATGATGAGCAGCTGGACCAACCAGGGTGGAGTGCCGCTGTTGACCGTTACCAGGGACTACGAGGCGGGTACCTTCACCGTCAATCAGTCGGTGTACACCAACGACAAGGACTACACCAACGACAAGCTGTGGTACATTCCCATCAACTATGCCGACTTCTCGAACAATGATTTCCGGAACACTGAGGCCACTCACTACCTGCTAAACACCACCGAGTTGGTCGTCGACGCCAAGCTGGATAATGAGAACTGGCTGGTGCTGAACAAGAAGTCTGTCTTCTATTACCGCATCAACTACGATGCCCGCAACTGGCAGTTGATCACCAACACCCTGACCACTCGTCCGCACACCATTGATCCCCGTAACCGTGCCCAGTTCATCAACGATCTGTATCGCTTTGCCACCAGCGGTCGTGTGGAGCATGCTACGCTGCTCCAGCTGCTGACCTACCTTCCCCTTGAGGATAAGTACTCGCCTTGGTCCGCCGCCAACACGGTGATCACCCTGTTCAACCGGTATCTGAGTACGGATGAGGCCTACGGACACTTCCAGTACTATGTGGCCATGCTGGTCGGAGATCAGTTCGACAAGTTTGGCGTGAACGATCTGCATGGTGAGCACCATCTGGTGAAGTTCACCCGCAATGTGGTGATCAACATCGCCTGTCTGGTTGGTGTCCCAAGCTGTCTGACCGAGACCAAGGCCAAGCTGACGGCACTGGTGGAGCAGGGCATCGCCATCGAGCCCAATCTGCAGTCTCAGGTTTATTGCAACGGTCTCCGACAGGCCGACTCCAAGATCTTCGACTTTGTCTACGACAAGCTGATGAACTCCAACGATCAGGCCGAGCGCCGCCTGCTGATCTCCGCCCTGGGCTGCTCCCAGGATGCCACGCAGCTGGAGAAGTTCGTGTCCAGCAGCATTGATCAGACCAACAGCCTGCGTGTCCAGGAGCGTATCACGCTGCTCAGCCCGGCCTACTCGCGCGGCGAGGTAGGTCTTCTGGCCTCCATTGAGTTCCTGCAAGATAACTGGGAGGCTTATGCCCAGCTTAACACCGGCTTTGGCGGTGTGAATCCCCTGTACAGCGACATCGTGGGCATCTCCGCCTACACAGTCAATGCCAAGCAGCAGGAGGAGCTCCAGAAGCTGGTGGACACCGTGAAGGACTCGTCCTATGTACCCACTACCCTGCAGGCTAGCGTGGATGCCAATGTGAATGCCAACACCGCCTGGCTAACGGCCAACCGGGATCCTGTGATTACCTGGGTCGCCGGTTTCCGCAGCGGCAGCCCCGCCTTGGGAGCTTCCCTCTTGGCTGTGCTCCTGTGCCTCCTGGCCGCCAAGCTGGCATAGTGTTTTTTAGACTCCTAAGTTAGATTTAGTTCCTCGTATTTGTGTGCCAATAAATTCCAATAATTCCCTAAGACACTTGTGTTTGCTCTGGTCGAGAATTTACAGTTCCTTTTGGGGCTTTATCGATGGTTTTATGGAATTGCGTGATCGAGGAGGGGTGATCTCATAAATTCCCCCATCCAGAGCGCAGAAAACCTACAGAGTTCTTACGTTCGTCCATGAGCTAGCCATAAATGTATCCGTAATCAGCCGAAAGTACTAATCATGGCCTTGGCAACGAAACCCATTGGCTTGCTCTTGGGCTGAAACTCTGAAAAAAAGAAAGAAAGAGCTAAAACCCATATTAATTTATAGATTTTTTAAATTAAAACCGAAGCCCATTCGGAGTATTATTTATATTTTTTAAACAATGTATGTCTTATCACCCAATAAATATACTGGAGATCGTGTGTCTTTAAAAAGTCCATCTGATTTATAAGTTTACTTGGAATTATAGATAATTTGCTTTTAATTATCTATATCACTCTGGGACTTTGTATTTCTGAAGTGCTGACTAAGAGATTGACATCTATTTGGCCAACGATTAAGGTTGTTTGTTTAATGAAGTTTATAATTGATAATAAATACATACGACTATGGTTTGAGTTACCTTAAAATCTTTGAAGTGTTTGAAATCGGTCATACATTCAGTTAATTGGGTCATAAATTAAGAGTGAATTTTATTGTAATATGGTCGGACACTTATCAATCAATACTAAACAAATTCTCAAAGGCGTCTAAGTACACAAAAGATTATAGATTATATAAAAAAGGCAACGGTTGCTATGGAATATTTCAACAAGCTTTTACTATTTGAAACTTTGATAAAATATTAAAATATTTTGGAAGAATTCCTTGGAAAAATAATAAAATACGACAGTTTAATTTGCTGGTCAATGTAATATTTTTAATGGGAAATAAAATCTGCTCGAGGTGTCCCAAAAATCTTCTTTAAAATCTCCTTAAAATCGTTTTAGAATCCACATAAAATGGTTTTAAAATCTTCTTAAATAAATAATTATCTGAAATGTTATTAATCTAGGGGATTTTTAATTTGTATTTTCAATGAACATCTTCCGTTATTTATCTTAACCCTTGAAAACAATTTAAAACTATTTTGACAACCGTGTTGAAACAAGAGCTTTATTCTTGAGTGTAAAATAATTAGTCGGAGGTGCTAGTTTAATTGTATAACTTTATTGATAATTTCTAATCCAGTTCTCTTCAACTTCAACCTTTTTCCAATAATGATGGCGTACAACTTCAAGTTCTTTCTTTTCTTTCTGCCACTCATTCGATACTATGAGTTGGCAGCATCCGTAATGACAGATGTAATGTTAGCTAACAGCCATAAGGCGCGGAATTTGAATATAATCCAATGTACTATTTGGGTTTTGACCCAACAAACCGAAAAATCGGACATAAACAAGCCTTCAATCAAAGACCAAAATCCAAGACCAATTAATAAGTCACCGTGACACAAGAGACACCAGCTTGGTCTTCCAAACACAATATTTAAAGTGTTTGTTCCCCTGGAAGACTGCAAATCACGCTCGATAAGATTGCCACAGGCAGTGCATCGTAAAGTGGCGACGCTTCCACAAAACAAGCAGTGCAGCGGAAATCAAATGTTATGCCATCGTCTGGCGGCACTGGCCATATTCGACGGCTTCCATCGGTGGCCGATGGGGGAGTGCGTAAATCACCGCCACGAATCCTTATCGCCCCGCTTAATCTATAGACCCGGCCGACACTATCTTGGCCGAAATAAAAAGCTAAAGGCTACAGATAAGCCATTGATAAGGGCCAAGTCTGAAACAGGCCAAGTACCATATAAACGGGACCCGGATCGGCCAGCGTTTAGTTGTCGATTCGAATCGCGTGCCGAGTGGCGTGCGAAATACCAATTCTAGTCCCGGGTCCGTGATCGAGCCCTGTGCAAAAAAGTGAGTTTCCGTGTGCTAGAAGTTATATAAGTGTAGATCCAATCTATGATGAAATTCGATCATTGTTAGATGATAAAAAAAAATAGAAAAAAGGATTTAAAAAAAAAACATAGAAATTAAATTTTAAAGATATTTCTAAACAAGATTGGTTCAAGGATATTTTGTAAAAGGAAAAGTTGGTTCTCTGTTGGAATTTTTCAAGGAGAGTTTCTTGAAGATGTCTTCTTGAGCTAATTTTCGTAATTATTTTTTTATATTGGCCTTAAATTTGAATTTTCTTTGGACATTCACATTTTATAAACCGAAAAACACACCAGCTTTGTACCAATATTGCACTATAAAAACAAATGCTACAATTAAGATACAGCCAGATTTTATGAAAGCTATAATTATAAAATCCAATAAAGGAATAAATATCTGGCACTTTTCCCATAAAGTTTCCCTGCTTTACTATCTACCTCTAAAGATATTTTCCAACTATAATCCAAATTAGATATAATGTTCGCCCTGCGAGTGGCTCTACTCCTGGCCGCCTGTGTGGCCTTGGCCTCCGCCGGCACCCGGCAGCTGGTCCAGGATGTCCAGCCTCCTGTGACCCTGGCCACCACGCTGCAGGACTATCGCCTGCAGGAGAATATCAAGCCGGCTTACTACAACATCACCCTGAGGCCCTACCTGCTGGAGACCGATGGCACCAAGCGATTCACCTTCGATGGCGAGGTCTTCATCGAGGTGGTGCCCACGCTGGCCACCAACAGCGTTCACCTGCACTCGAAAAATCTCACCTACTCGGTCTCCCAGTACTGGGCCAAGCCCGCTGATGGAGTGACTACCACACCGACGGCCACCAACTTCAATGCCGCCAATGAGACGGATGCGGATACGGATATTGTGAAGCTCACCACTGCCGCCAATTTGGAGGCCGGTAAGAGTTATATCCTGCACTTCGTGTACACCGGTTTGATGGAGGATGATATGCACGGCTTCTATCGCAGCTACTACGTGGACGACAACAATGTGACCAAGTGGGTCTTAGCCTTTACCTTAAGGTGTTCCTTGGGGTCTAAATGGTTTGATTCCTTTTTGCAGGTGGCTCGGCTCCACTCAGTTCCAGACCAACCATGCCCGCCGCGCCTTCCCCAGCTTCGATGAGCCCCAGTTCAAGGCCAAGTTTGATGTGACTTTGATCCGCCACAGGACCTTCAATACGGCCAGTAACACGCGCTTGATTGGATCCTATCCTCATGCCGAAGAGTAAGTTACCGTTAGTCCCTTGTTTGTATCGCATTAATTTTCTCCTTTGCTTTGTCAGGGGATACTATGTGGATGTGTACAAGACCACGCCTACTATGTCTACTTACATCCTGGCCTTCATTGTTTCCGAGTTCACCGCCCGCAAGGACACCGAGTTCGGAGTTTTGGCCCGGCCCGAGTACTACACCCAGACGCAGTACCCCTACAACGTGGGCAAGCAGATCCTTAAGGAGATGGGCACTTACCTGAATCTGGACTATTACACTATGGGCAACGACAAGATGGACATGGCCGCCATTCCCGATTTCTCGGCAGGAGCCATGGAAAACTGGGGTCTGCTCACCTACAGGGAGCGCAGTCTTCTGGTTGACGAGTCCGCCACCACCCTGGCCTCGCGTCAGTCCATTGCCGCCGTGGTGGCTCATGAGCAAGCGCACATGTGGTTTGGCGATCTGGTGACCTGCCAGTGGTGGAGCTACACCTGGCTGAACGAGGGTTTCGCCCGCTACTTCCAGTACTTTGGCACTGCCTTCGTCGAGACCGAGTGGGATCTGGATAAGCAGTTCGTTGTGGATCAAGTGCAGTCGGTGATGGCCATGGATTCGACCAATGCCACCAATCCCCTGAGTGATGAGAACACCTACACCCCTGCCCACCTTAGCCGCATGTTCAACAGCATTTCCTACAACAAGGGAGCATCCTTTATCCGCATGATCAAGCACACCATGGGCGAGGATAAGTTCCAAGAGGCCCTGCAGTCGTACCTGGTTAAATAGTGAGTATTCCAGAACCCTAACCGTTACCGGAAGTGGATTAAATTTAAGGTTAACTCCCTCCACAGCTCCTACCAGCCCTCGTATCCGCAGTACCTGTTGAGCTCTTGGCAGCAGTTCTGGCCCAACAGCAGCTACAATTCCAGCTCCGAGGAGATCTTTAACAGCTTCACCACACAGGTGGGCTACCCCGTGATCCACCTGGAAGTCGACGAAAGTCAGGTTCGCTTCACCCAGAAGCGCTTCCTGCTGAAGGAGAACGACGGAGCCAACGCCAGCCTGGTCTACACGGTGCCCATTTCCTACACCCACAGCGAGAATGTCAACTTCCAGAATGCCACGCCCAAGTTCATCTTGCGCGCTGGCGTTCCTACTACCGTGACCTTTGGCACTTTATCCCTCAAGTGGATCATTGCTAACGTCCAGCAGACGGGTTATTATCGAGTTAATTACACTGAGAACAACTGGCATGCCATCCACCAGGTGCTGAATACGGCGGATCACGGTGGAATCCACGAGAACAACCGTGCCCAGATCGTGGACGATTTGTTCAACTTGGCCAGAGCGGGCCAGATTTCCTACAACCTGACCCTGCAGGTGATCGAGTACCTGGAGACGGAGACCAACTACATTCCCTGGACCTCGGCCTTCAACGGTTTCAACTTCCTGACCATCCGACTGGGCAACGACACGGCCAACTTCAATAGCTACATCCAGCAGCTGACCCAGAAGGCCTACAACCAGCTTGGATTTAATGAAACCTCCGAGGACAGGGCATTGGATATCTATCTCCGCACCAAGGTCCTCTCCTGGGCCTGTCGCTATGGCAGCACCGATTGCATCAACAAGGCCAAGAGCTACTTCCAGTCGCTGGCCACCGTGCCCAAGAACATCCGCGCCACTGTCTACTGTGTGGGTCTGCGCGAGGGTGGAGCTGCCGAGTTCCAGGCTCTGTATGACAAGTTCAAGGCCGAGACCGTGGCCACCGAGGAGACCCTGCTGCAGAACTCCTTTGGCTGTGTGAAGAGTCAGGAACTGATTGAGCGCGTCTTCAATCTGATCATCAGCGATGAGATCCGTCGCCAGGATAAGTCCTCCGTTCTGGCCACTCTCTACACAGAGAACAACGAGAATGTGAGCCCAGTGTTTGCCTTGGTGACCAAGCAGCACGAGGAGCTGGCCGAGGCGTAAGTACTCCCAGGACTTGATAGATTCCTATTTGATTTCTTCATTAAAATTTTTATTTTCCTTCCCTTAGAATGGGCGGTTATTCCGCAGTGGCCACCGTGATCTCCAACATCGCCGCTCGCTTCACCACCCAGCAGCAGTACGATGACCTGGTGGCCTTCAATAAGGCCAGCGGTTCCAAGTTTGGAACCTCTCAGGCCACTTTGACCGCTGCAGAGCAGACTGTGGACGAGAACCTCAAGTGGGCCGCATCCAGGCTGGGTGACTTCCGCACTTACTTGGCTGGCCGTAATGGAAGCGCCGTGGTTAATGCCTTCAGCGCTCTGAGCCTGCTCCTGGTGGCCCTGGTCACCATGCTGCGCCACTAGGCATGGCACCTCTGAAAGGAGGGGGGACAGGTGCACCCCCTCCTCCACTAATTCATAAAGTATTTGTACAGTTAGAGCACCCAATAAAAGAACAAGAACGCCTTTTGTAGATAACACTCCGCCGTATATTCACTCGGCTTAAAGGGCCTCCCTGGCGACTAAGTTTACGATCTGATTAGCGCCATTACTCGCACTATCGTTTGGGGATGATTCAGTTTGCAATCTTTAGGGGATTTCATTGAACTTAAGTGCTCGCCATAAATACGTATCGGCGGTGCTGTAAACTATTGTATTTTACAGTCGTTGAAGACATCGATTTGAGGGCCTTTGTTTCGAAACTATTTCATGGGTAATATACCCTTTTTTTATTGCCTATTCTCTAATCGATCGGTTATCTTTAGTTGGGCCATAAAATCTTATCAATAGAGGCTTAGCGGCTAGCAGATACCAAGCTTATATGGAAATGATACAGATCCTTATCTAAGGTGTGGGCTTTTGATTTAACGAAACTAGTATTTAACGTCTAAATGCATTTTAGTGCGGTTAAAAAGGCATATAATTTTATGAACTACTTTATCTTGTTATTTATTGAACATTTCTTGTGAATTTGATTGAATCATTTGATATGTTTCTGGACATATTGTGTTGATAAGCCATAAAGTCCTTATCGTTTCAAATCGATTTTCTCTTCTAAGAATATCAGCTGATTTTTTATAGATTTCATCAGGTTGGACTCTTGCTCCTTTTAGAATTATGACGATGGGGGTTTTATTTATTTATCAAATTTTTAAAACTTGTTTCTGAGAACTATTACCAATTGTTTGCCAATCATAAATTATAAAGCTTTTGTCATTTATTTATTTTGGGACGCATGGCAATAGAAGGTTCCCCGAAAAAGCAGGTAAGGTAATTTACCTTACAGAAAACAACAATTTTGACCAATTGGTTGGATTCTTTTAAAACAAAAGGTAGTTAGGTTAAAACAAAGTTATTTAAAGCAACGAACGATTATTATAAAGTAAAATTAAAAAATATATATAAATTAAAACTTCATTAAGTTCTTAAGTTCTTTTTAGTTGTTGGACCCTTGTAGGGAATGCTATTATTTTATTCTGAGATTGAATAGAAAATCTATATTATTAGGGAGACTCATTTACCTCAGTGATCTAAAAAGATCAAAGCACGTCAGGTAACCTGCTGTTATAGATCGTAATTATTGTTATTATTTAGCTTAATTAATAATAAGTGAGACCCGAACATATGTTGGTGTGATTATTTATGGGAGGTGTGACAGCTTGTTCTATTGATACGAACTGCCCGTAATCTAATCATCTCCAAGGGGGAACTTTTATTTGCGCTTCTGATTTCGGCGATCCGGCAGAGTGTCATTTTTACTTAGTCTCAGTATTCGAACTTCTGTCGGCATGAACGGATCGGGTTTGCGATCTTCTGTGGCATTTGTGGGGCTACTCTTTGCCCTGCTTGCCGGCTCTGCGGCGGGAGCCAGTTACCGGCTGGACGGTAGCATTGCTCCCTCTCACTACAACCTGACCATCGGCGTGCTGAGTAACGCCGCCGACTCCGCTCTCTTTGACGGTGAGGTGGGCATTACTCTGCGGCTGGCCGGGAACACACCTGTGTCCGTGATTACACTACACTCTGACGGCCTTAACATATCGGAATGCTGGTTGCTCGATGGCGCAACAGGTGCGCAGGTGGAGGTTATCGCCAGCGAACGGCTGACTTATGACGCCGCCACTCAGCAGGTGAACGTTCCCTTAACGCAGGCCCTGCAGCCTGAACGAGATTACACGCTGGGCTTCAAGTATGTGGGTCGCATACGCACAGACCTGGTGGGACTCTTCTCCGCCAGCTATGTGGAGCAGGATACCAATGTCACCAAATGGATGGCCGTCACGCAGATGCAGCGCATCAATGCCCGTTTGGTTCTGCCCTGCTTCGATGAGCCTGCCATGAAGGCCAAGTTCCTGTTGCAGATCGAGCGTCCTGATGGCTACCAGGCCATGGCCAACACTAGGCTAAGGGAGACCACCGCTGTAGAGTAAGGATTTACTCCTCAGTTTCATAAAAATATTACCCTAATCTTTACTTTATTGAATTCCAGTCAGGGTCGCTTTGTGGATCACTTCCTAGAGACCCCCGTGATGTCCACTTATCTTCTGGCTTTCATGATTGCCGATTATTCGGCCCGTGGTAATGTCAGCAAGTTTGCAGTCCTGACCCGTCCAGAGTTTTACAATTATACGGAGTTTAGCTACCATGTGGGTCTGCAGGTGGTGACGGAATACGAGAAGTTGTTTCAGAGTCCTTACCAGCAGCTGGGCAACGATGTCTTGCAGTATGCCAGCTCACCCAGGTTTCCGCATAATGGCATGGAGAACTGGGGTCTCATCATTTACAGCGATGGTGTCCTTGTCCAGGAGCCTGGCTACTCTGATGGCTGGTCGAACAAGGAGTTTGCTGCCCGTATCATTGCCCACGAAACCTCACACATGTGGTTTGGAGACAGTGTAACCTTTGAATGGTGGAGCTACTTCTGGCTAAATGAGGCCTTTGCTCGTTACTACGAGTACTTTATGGCTGGACAGGTTGGATCCTTCTTACAGGATAATCTGGAATACATAATATATGCTTGTTTTCTTACAGCTCTATCCTGAGTTCCACTTGGACCAGCAGTTTGTGGTGCGCCAAATGCAGATGATCTTTAACACAGATGCCAGGAACTCCACCCAGCCCCTGACCAGTCCAGAGTCAGAGATCCAAACTCCCGCCCAGATAGCCTACAAGTTCAGTGGCATTACCTATGCCAAGGGAGCCTGCATTGTGAGGATGTGGCGGAATGCCATGGGAGCAGATAACTTTGACACGGCCATCAGGAGCTACCTGGAGGAATAGTAAGTTATAGAAAATTAACAGTTACCAAATATCCTTTAACCATTTTCCCGATTTTTCCAGCCACTTGAAGAACACTATTCCTCGAAACCTTTTCTATTACCTCTACGAAAACTGGCCTGCCACACCCTATGTAGATCTGGTAAAGTTCTTTGCGGATTACACCGAACAGGTGGGCTATCCCATGCTGATGGTTAACGCCTCCAGTGAGCACTTCATCAACGTGGAGCAGAAGCGATTCCTGCTGAATCCCTTGGATGGCAGCGATAAAACTTTAAGGTACACGGTGCCCATTACCTATGCCACCAATCTTGCTCCCAATTTCTACAACCTGACACCTTCCATATACATGGACAAGTTAGTGGATGTGGTGAGGCTATACTTCGATGAGCCTATTGACTGGATCTTGGTCAATCTGAGGCAGTCCAACTACCAGCGAGTGCTGTACGATCCCACCCTGATGAGTGGCCTGCAGGTGGCTCTCTCAGCCTCCAATCACAGTGGTATTCCTGTAGAAAACCGGGCGCAGATCATCGACGATCTGTTTAACTTTGCGCGAGTTGGTTACCTCGACTATGCCGAAATCTTTGAGTTTTTGGAGTACCTTAGTTTGGAGGTGGACTATGTGCCCTGGTATGCTGTGTACGAGAACCTTGATCTGGTCGCCAAACGTCTGACACCGGAGCAGCTGCCCAACTTCAGGAGCTACCTCGAAGACATCACGGATACTGTTTTTAATAAACTGGGAGTGGGCTGGAGTGCGGCGGATACGCCTATGGATGTGGCCCATCGGAACAAACTGGTCAGCTGGCTGTGCCGTTACCAGGCCCATCAATGCCGTGAAAAGGTCAACGTGAAGTTCAACACGGAGCAGGAGAAACCCTCGCCGGATTACCGGGAAACCTTTTACTGTGCCGCTGCCAGAGATTATAATTCTTTCACCCTGATTTGGGCCATGTATTTCCTGGAGACCCGACCTAGTGAGAAGGAGTTGCTTTGGATGGCCACCAGTTGCACCACGACTTATGAGACTTACTATAACAAGATGATCCTGAATAGCACGGAGAGTGTGGAGAACAAAAAGGCGGGAATAGCTCGTCTTTATGAACAAAATCCGGATCTGGTGCAGCCCATCTTTGAGATGATAACCCAGAATATCACTGAGCTGGCTCTGGAGTAAGCTCTTGAAGATTAGCTCTCTATATTATTTATTTATTCATATTTCTTCTTTCAGTCTGGGCAGCTGGTCGGACACCGCCGAGGTGGTCAGCAATATGGCGGAGTACTTCACTACACGCGAGCAGCAGCAGCTCTTAAAGGACTTTAACCAGGACAACCAGCAACTCTTTGGACAGTCGGCTTCGGTGCTTTCGCAGGCCTTGGACACAGTCGAACAAAATCTTCAGTGGGCGGAGCAGCGTCTGGACAAACTGGTCATCTTTTTGAGCCGCAGAAACGGCAGTTCCGGTCAGGAAGCCACCTCCATTCTGGTGCTGCTGGTGGCTTTGGTCAGCCTAGTAGCCTGGCTTTGATTAGCTGGTTTAAGTGTATGTGTGTTTGTGTGTGTGGAGGGGAAATAAAGAGATTGAAGTGGTGGAGCGCCACGGGAGAAATGCCCTTTTCGTGTACGCAATTACTAGGCAAAAAGGTTTAGGCTGAGCGCAGCTTTATTAGGCCATAATTTACGCAGTCGGGCTATTACTGCTGGCCAAGACGGTACATATAAGGCCACTGGCAGCGGGCAGCGTCTTCCATTTCTCGCGAGACACACTCGCAGTTGGGCTGACGAGATGCTGCGCCATTTGCTACGTCAGGAGAACAACAGGCTCTTCGTCTTGGTCCTGCTCTACTGCGTCCTGGTTAGCTTACTGAAGCTCTGCACCGCTCAGGCGGACAATGCAGTGGCCGCCACCGAAAATGGTATGGAAAATACGTTTTGATTTCTTCTAGCTCTTAGGGTTTTTGTTTCCCTTTCCAGATATCACCCATCTGGGCGACGACTGCCAGGTGACGCCCGTCATCCATGTCCTCCAATATCCCGGATGTGTGCCCAAGCCCATACCCTCCTTTGCCTGTGTGGGTCGCTGCGCCAGTTATATACAGGTGGGGTGTACTGAATTCCAATAAGAAAACTCTATTCTATTTTAACGAATTCCTCAAAAGGTATCTGGCAGTAAAATCTGGCAAATGGAGCGCTCTTGCATGTGCTGCCAGGAGTCAGGGGAGCGCGAGGCAGCCGTCTCTCTCTTCTGTCCCAAGGTAAAACCTGGCGAGCGGAAGTTCAAGAAGGTGCTGACCAAGGCACCGCTGGAGTGCATGTGTCGGCCCTGTACCTCCATCGAGGAGTCTGGCATTATTCCCCAGGAAATCGCCGGCTATTCGGACGAGGGTCCTCTCAACAATCATTTCCGGCGCATTGCTTTGCAATAGATCATTCCATCAATACAATTTTGCATCATGAAAATAAATTAAATTTTTGCCGTATTTGCTTGCTACACAGTGAGAAATGAGATCTTTAAAATCGAGAAAAGGGATCTAGGATTATTAATTTTTAGTAAATGATTTTCAGGAAGACGTGGAGTCCATTAGTTAGTTTTTAATATTATAATTTAATTCAATCTTTAAAACTGTGTTAAGTAAAGACCCCGCTGGTGGTCACACACCACTCTGAGGTCATGAAAGTCCCAGCTGGAGATCGTATGAAAGCCCATGTTGGTCAGCACCACAATGTACTCAAATAAGGCAAAGAAGGTGTAGACTCCCGCCTCGCAATAAGAATTGTGCCTAACGAAGCAATAACCCGCCAGGCCAAAGCACACCACATTGACCGAAAAGAGATTCCGCTTGTACCTCAGCGACTTGGCCTCGAGCGGCAGGAGGCCTGCCTTCGGGCCACTCCTAAACAAGAGATACGAGATTAGCATGTAGGACTCGGAGCAGGCAATGAACAGCAAAAAAGCGTTCCGATGCGTTGGGTAGTCAGCCGACGACGTCCAAAAGGAAAGGCAAACCAGGGCGGAGACCTCCACTACGTTAAGGATGTAGGCCAGGATGCCCAGCAAACGCCGGCTGCGTCTAAATTTCTTGAGATAATGCTCCAGATACGCCTTGGCCAGCACCAGCCGGAGGGGAAAGTGTAGAAAGATGGCCAGTTGCCAGACTGTTCGCTGGGGTTCATAGCTTCCAATGGCCGCCGATATGGAGGGCAGATAGTTATCCACCTGGCATTCAGTGTAGGTGCTTCGTTCAAAGTCAAAGGCCAGTGACCAGGCCACGCCGAAAAAGAAACCTGCCAGGGCCAGGGCTAAAGAGATTAGCGCCACCCAGGGAAAGGGCAGCCGGAAGTAGACGCTCTTCGGGTTAATGAGACGCTGGTACGAGGGTAGCATCTGAGATGGTGGTTCCAGCAGATTCAGTTGGGTTTCTCTCAGTTGATTTCTCCAAATTATACAATTGAGAATGTATGTAAATATTTTTAAAGGTTTTTAGATTTAAAAGTGTTATAAACCTCAAAAATCAAAGGTTTCTGTGAGAAGCAAACTCCCATTACTTTATAATTAATTTAAATGGTAATTTATTTCTCAACTATCTCATATCATTGCTACTAGTTCTCTAAATGGTGTGGTTCCTGCTTCACATAGTTCGTAGATGCATAACTCGAAAAAAACAAAGGTAATCTCTTTACACTGCAACTGGATCGATCTGTCTAACAATAGGAGGAGCTCAACTACATCGCCTACAAGTACTCGACGATATCGCATTTGATGGATATATTCGGGCAGCTCTGGCCCACGACACTGCGGCCCCGGTAGTTGGGGCTCTTCTCGGTGAGGAGCTTTCGGAAGATGGGCAGGATGGCGGTCTCGCCCTCGAGCAGTTCCGTCTCGCTGCTGGCGCCATAGATGCTGCTGCTCTCGTGCTTGCCGCGCTGCTTGCTTCGCTGCTTCTCCGGCGCCACATTCGGCGAGCTGTGGTGGTGGGCAGCGTGCTGGATGCTGGAGTTCCGGCTAATCTTACGCGTCTGAACGCAGGCCTGGCTGCTGGGTGGAGGATCCCTCTCCCGCTCGCTGTCCGTCTCGCTCTGACACACCGTGCCCTTTTGCGGCTTCGGTCTATGCTTGTTGCGGTTCTTCTCGGAGACGGAACGTTGGATGGGCGAGGTGGTATTCGTTTCATAGGCCATACCCATCCCATGACCATGGTGCTCCGTGCAGCGTTGCGGACTGGCATAGTTGCGAGGCGACTGACGCTGCTTGGCGTGCGACAGCGTGTGCGTGTCCCAGAGGTCACTCTGCGACACCACAAAATTCGATTTGAGGGCGGAGCCCATGCTGGTCCGGCGGTTGTCCGAGGCAGTGGGAGCTAAGGAGGCAAAAGATAATTAAAGTAAATATCTAATAGTCTCCCTAGAAATTAGAGACTCACTCTTGATCACACCCGGAGTGCTGGGCTTGGTGTGCGGACACATGTTGCTCAGCTCCGACTGCGAGGTGGAGATGTTGGTGGAGGAGTTGCGGTGCGAGTTGTTGTACTTAGGCCTTGCCGTGGGCGTCTGGCTGCCGCTGTCATAGTGACGTGAGGCCGTAGACTGACGCCTCTCCCGCAGGTTGGAGCAGTCGCCGGTGCTCCGCTTGCCCGCCGTGCTGGTGATGCTTCCGATATTGTCGTCCGTCTGAGCCGACACCGAGTTCCGCTTTTCCAGATGGCGGTGGTGCTGCTGCTGGTGATGTTGTTGCTGCATTTGTTGGTGTTGCTGCTGCTGCTGTTGTTGGTGCTGTTGCTGCATTTGCTGCTGCTGCTGGAGATGCTGCTGCAGCTGTTGCTGGATGGGCTGCATCATGGTGGGAGCGGGCACATGGGTATGATGCTCCACAATGGATTGCTTTTTCTTTTTTCTATATACAAATATTTTTGAAATAAAATTTTTATGGTTTCAAATTAAATAAATTCTTACGGTGGAAGCGATGGGGCCAAAACCGTGGACTGCACTGAGACAAAGGAGTTGTCCATCTCCACATGGGTCGAGGTCACACTGTCCACGGACGTCAGCTCGGTAACTTCTATGACAAAGAGTGCGCAATGCATGATCATGTCTAGGAATTTCCCTCCTCCTTTTACTACTCACCTGTGGTGCTGGGCATCTCTCTACGCACCGGAGGAGCCGACAGCCTGGCCATGTCATCACTCAAAATGGGCTCCAGCTCACTGCCAGCAGTGGCTCCACCCCCAGAGCAGGTCACCCCATCAATCCACTTGCGAGCTTCAGGTCCCAGCTTGCGGATGAGGGCCTGCAGCTCGTTCTCCTTTTCCATCAGAGCCTTTCGGAAACGGCAGTTTGTGTTCTTTACATCTCTTAGGCGCTGCTCCAGCTCACAGACGGAGGAGTCGCGTCGGTTCTTGGACATGGGTCGTAGGGTGGCCCTCACCCGCTTGTCCACCACGCCCTGGGGATTCCGCTTCAGCTCCACCAGCTGCAAAATGATTCGCACGAGTTAGCTAACAATATTTAACCAAAGATTACATCTAGGAAGGAGCAACGGCTACGGATAGTGAGTTAGGATAGACACAGACTAAGGTGGGACGGCAGCAGTAGCCAGGCCATAAAGTCCTGGCTGCTGCTGCTTATCGAGTATAGTTCAAGTTTATAGTTGGTCTGTAGTGTTATATAGCTTTTCGAGAACAAGAATTCAGAGTGCGTGTTGTTTCTGTATCATTAATGTGTATCAACACCAAGAGAAAGTATGAGATCAGTGGATGGTGTAGTCCAATCGGTTCTAGTGAATCTAAAACCCATCGGGCTGACACCGCCGCTTCGAACAACATTCATTTTGCACAAGTATATATGTATAACAGCTACAAAAACTACAAAACTTCCTTACTACCAGTCTTACTTTCGGTACGAACACCAAACACAAAGTGGCTGTCGTACAAAAAATGATAAAAAACGAGAGTAAGACAAAAACTAAATCCTTGCGGTCCGATAGCACCAGGGATATGGCCGCTCCTGCCAAGCAAGTGATGAACACATTGTAAACGGAGAAGCCAATGTGCTTGGAATCATTGAGAGCGGGTATGGAAACATGACGGGTTTCCCAGGCCAAAAAGGCGCCAAACACCTGGGGATTAACATATTAATTAAATTAATTTAATAAAAGTAAATATAATTTAATTAAAAACTAACCAAAAGCAGGCCCTTATAGGCATAGATAATGCTGACAAAGATGGTCATGTGCTCGGACTGGCAGTACTCGTTCTCAGGTATGACTAGCACATCATCAATGTTTTCATGGTGCTGCAATTAAGAAATATTAGTAAATATTTTGATAAACATTTTATAAGTTAACCTACCCTTGGCTCCAGTTGCTTGGTTTCCCGGTAAAAGGGATCTGCTATCTGCCAGGTGGTTATAATGGCTATATCTATGGCTAGGAGCACGCCTACCACCATAAACAACTGATAATCCTTGATGACTTTCTTGTTCAATTTCAAATCAGTGAAGATCGAGTGGACGCGCCAGGTTTTGGAGAACATTGCTCCAAAACTAAGACTAAAGCCAGCCATCAGAATCCAGGCACGGGCTGTGCATATATAGGGGAAAGCGGCCACGCTGCTCAAGGTGGTGTCCAGGCCCAGGAAAATAATGCTCAAATAGGTCAGCATGCAGCCCACAATGATCAGGTTGTTTAGATGAGGACTGGACATCTTAATGTACCTAAAAAATAAATAAAGAAAGAATTAAAAGAAGTTATAGTAGGTTTAGGAGTTAACCCACCTTTGATTTCGATACTTGATGTTAAAGGCCAGAAAAACGGTGGCTATTATAACGCCTATAACCGAGGCACTGGCCGAGACTATGTAAATGGTGGGGTTCACCTGGCTGTGCTCAATGTAGATTAGAGTCCTGTCTTTGGGCGGGGTTTTGCCCACCCATCTCACTGGCTTGCCCAAACTCAAGTCCAAATGGGACTTCTGGGAGTGATATTCGCCAATCTTTTCCATTTGGCCCAGTTGGAACTGGTTGATCAGGATATTGGCCTTCCTCTCGTTGTTGTAAAACCTCACAGGACCCTAAAAAACATATTTCAATTAGTTTTCGATATTATAAATATTTTTTATAAGACCCACCGTGACCCCTTCAAACGAGGTGTTCCTCAAAGCCTCGAGAAAGACGCTCTCCCAGTCCTTTACCCGGTAATCGAAGTGTGTCAGCAAATCCTCACGCTTCTCTGCCACATACTGTATGGCCAAGGCGGCAGCCCAGATGCCATCGTAGGTGTAGCCATGAAAACGGGAGTACTCGGTACCTCTTAGCCTGTCGTACTCCACCAGATACTCATCCGCTGTCTATAGTTTAAAATATTTTAAAATATATAAAAAGGAAATATATTAAATTAACTTACAATGCCAGCTACTGTTATATCGCCACTCGTGGACAAGGGCAGCAGATCCACTAAAATGGCACCCTCTAAAGCCGTGGAGATCTCCTCCACACTGCACTCACTGTCCTGAGTGACATTCCACCAGTCAGTGGTGTAGGTGGCCATAATCAGCCACTGATAGGCCCGGCCATACATGTCCAGTCTGAAATGGTCAAATAATAGTAAAAATAATTCAAAAAGTAAAAGTAAGTACCCACTTGTATGCCTCGCAGAAGGCCTTGCGTGCAAAGTGCTCGTTGAAGTTGCCCATGATAATCCTAACGTCTTTCTCCCTTAGCTTCTTTAGCGATTCGGCCACATCGTTGACGAAACTCTGCGTCTCCACTACCTCCACCTCCATGGAATCCAGGTCGGCCACCATATGGTTGTGGGGCAGCGAGTACCTCGGCTCGTTTTGGTAAACAGTCCCCACCCTCGTCCAATTAAACTCCTTGAGCAGGGCCAGTCGCGGCGCATTGAAGGCGTTCTCCGAGGGCACCACCCGGAAGAAATTGGGGAATGCGTCCTTGGTGAACATGGGATGAGTGTCCGCATAGCTCAACTGGGTCAGGTGCCAGTGCTTGCTGGCCTTGGCAATGGGATCGGTGACGTGCGTGCAGGCGGCGCCGAATAGCATCACCTTGTTGGGTCCCGAGTGCATCATGTCGAAGAAGGACTTGACGCCGACGGCAGCATTGCACTGGGAAAAAATTTAATTAATTAACTAGTAAAAGATAGAAAAAGATAAAGAACTCACCTGCGTGTCATTCCACCACATGTGCAGCCTGTAGTTGGCCAAGATCTTGCCATGCTCATTGACATGGCCCAGAGCTAGCTTCACGCTGGGCATCACCCCGCGCCCTGTATACGAATTCTCCACGCCATCACCATACGGAAAGAAACCCGCTATATAGACATCCGATCGCTTGGCGGTTCTGCTCCAAACTCCGCTCCAGGACAGCAGAAAAAGCAGGACGACATAGGGTATCCGTTGCAACATGTTGACCGCGTGGGCTGCAAAACGATTCTGAGTGTGAATAAGTTTTATCGAGGACGTGAACTTGGTGCCAGGTGGGCGGTGGTGGTGGCAGGTGAGCCCAGCCAAGGCTGTTCGAAGGCAAGGCTGTGCCCCGTATTTATGTGGGTTCGCATGCAGTTGGTGGACCTGATGGAGGGGCAAGGCTAAGGCCAGCGAAATTGCCTCAAATTGCAGCACAGCCCAGCTGCCCACGTTTTGTAATTATAAAGCAATTTGATGATTTAATGACCCTGCATTATTTAGTATACGTTTTCACGCGAAAACCCCTCAGCTTTACAGCTCCTCCTCAGGTCCAGGTACACTCTCTTGTAGTCCCACTTAACCCACCAGTTTGGCTTATCCTAGAGTTGCAATTCACTTCGCCGCCTTTATCATTTTATTTACAAATTTTTTAAACTAAACTCTTGGCCAACGAAGAACTTTTGCAGTGCGAGGGTCCGAAAAATTATGTATCCCCCTGACTTGACACTTGGCTGACAGGAGGAACTCGAGGCAGGATGTGCGCATGTCCCGGCGCGGCCAAAGCTGTGACAGCTCCGCCTTGGCCTAGGCTTTCCGGAACCCACCCCCGGGTCGCATGCCCGGAACGTTACCGTTTGTAAACATACCCAAGCAACAGGTGGGGACTCCGACCGTCAGCTGGAGCATTTGTTGTGACCGTTACCACGGACGACGGGGAGTCGGAAAAAAATGGACAACTCGTCGGGGCAATTACCAAATTGAAAATTGTCAGTGGCTGCCACAATATGGACGACTATGCCCCAAGTCGCTATAAAATGCTCGAGAAAATCGGCGAGGGTGTCCATGGCTGCGTGTTTAAGGCCATCGATTTGCAACGCAACAAGGAGGTGGCCATCAAGAAGGTGGCCCTCAAGAACAAGTTCGGCAATATAGCTTTAAATACGTTAAGGGAGATTAAGACCCTGCAGCTCTGCAAGTCGGAATATGTGAGTTATCCTGTTAAATATCTGAGATTCCCTTAATTAACTTGGTAATTATAGATTCTGGACATCATTGAGATTTATCCCGACCTGACCGGCCTCTCCTTGGTGCTGGAGTATCAGCCGGATACTTTGTATAGTCGCCTCAAGAGCGAGGTGAATCCCCTGAGTCGCCAGCAGGTGCGCAAGTTTGCACATCAAATGTTCAAGGGGATTGCCTACCTCCACGAGGCGGGTCTGATGCACCGGGACATTAAGCCGGCCAACCTCCTGATCAGCGACACTGATATGCTCAAGATTGCCGATTTTGGCCTGGCTCGTCTTTACTTTCCCGAGGAGGATGCGCGTCTTTACTCGCCGCAGGTGTCCACGCGCTGGTATCGAGCCCCAGAAATACTCTGGGGCAGTCAGAAGTACGGCACTGGGGTGGATATGTGGGCAGCAGGTGGGTTTTGCTCTCGGAAAATCTATATTTTTACAAGATATAATATAATGCAGGTTGTGTTGTGGCGGAGATGCTAAGGGGGGTTCCTTTATTTGCTGGAACTACCGACATAGAGCAACTGGCCATCATCATTCGCACTCTGGGCAGTCCGCGGCTTAATCAGTGGCCAGAGCTTACCTCACTGCCGGACTACAGCAAGATACGGTGAGTTTAGAAGCTAAAACTTGAGATTTTGATATATATTAAAGCAAATCCTTACATAGCTTTCCCAATTCCGTGGGCATTCACTGGGACAACCTATTTCCCAGCTGCACGCATGCAGTGGAAATCAATCTGGTCTCAAACCTGGTGGTTTACAATCCCAAAAACCGCCTCAAAGCCAAAGAGGTGGGTTTGTTTTACAGGTTTAAAAAAATTTGGTAGTATTAACAATTGTATATTCTATATTTTGCAGGCTGTCGAACACGATTATTTCCACTAGTTTAAGTCTACGTAAACAGGTATTGTTAGCATCTAAGAGTTTTCCGATTCTTTGAATCTAAAAAAGGTAAAAATACAACAAATTAATTAGAGAAAATGGAAGAAAGATATTTTTATGACACCCACTTGCACTTGAGACACGTAAAGAACACCGTCTGACCCTCGTCCGCCGATCGCAGTTGCAGTGTGGCGTAGGACATCTTGTCGTGGTTGCATTTGGGACACTTTCGCTCCACCACGGGGCCATCTGCCTCCGAGGACTCGGACTCGTGTTTGGTTCTGTTGAACACCTTGCTGGGATCGTAGGTGTTGAAATGGATGGTAAACTCTGACTTCTCGCCGCTGTAAACTAATGGAAATTGTTTAGTTTTAGGAAGACATGCGGTTGAGGTTTGAAATTCTCGCTTACCATCCGGCAGGAACTCCTGCTTGCAGTTGTAGCAGATGACATTGCCTTTGACTTGCAGCGGGGGCAGAATAGAGCCACACGAAGGACAAAAACCAGCGCAATTGTTAAAGGTTTCCATTTTAAAACAAGTTTTGAAAATTAAGACTTGTGTTTTTGATTTTGTGTCACGTTTAGGGATAATGTGACCGTCTTTGCTTTAGCTGCTAATGCCTTAAAATATTTCTCTGGTCACACTTAAGCAAACCTTAACGTAATCCAATACGTAGTAAACATAAACGTAACGGTTTTTGAGTATTTTTAGTATTTTTTACAGGCAGTTTTTTTATTCAAATTCGAAAATGAATTATTTATGAGAAGGGAAACTGAAAGATAAGTTTATATATATGAACACCCAACTAAGCAATAAATTAAACAATTAATTCGACTTTGATCAGTATAATTAGCGTATAAAAACTAGTACAGCAATAAGGCGATCTTACGGGCTAGTTGGCTAAAATGCAAGTCAGATGTGTGTACTCTAGATCTGGATTCAATTAAACTACCTAAAACTATCACAGGCAGAACAGTAACTACGCGCTAGAGGACCTAACTACAACTACGCATCTAGGAACTTTTGATCCTTGGCGGCCGGATAAATAGCACAGAAATCCTACGACTCAAAGGAAGTCTCTTTTGAGTTGAAAGTAATCATAATTTTCCTGTGCGACTACCGGCTGGGATGACTCTGCGGCATATTGAGCTCCCAGAGCTTCATATTGTTGTCCAGGACCTCGTGGAACCAGCTCTCCTTCTCGGGCTGCTCCCGGAAGACGGGATTCAGCGACTTGAGGTCAAGCTGGAGGATGGCATCGTTGCCCAGCAGCGCGTCCAGCGACCGGAGCAGCGTGCTGTTCCCGTGCAGCTTCAGCAGGGTCACATACTTGACCACGTAGTACTCGTACTGCAGCTTCCTTTTCGCCCAACGCTCCACCGTGGCATTGGCACTGGCCGACCTGATCTGGCCAAGATGCTCGGCAAACCAGGGAGCAAAGTAGTTGTATAGATCCAGCTTGGACAGGCCGTTCAGGCCCTTACTCTTGATCCGATCCTTGATCATGCGGTAGTTCTTCCTGCTGTACACAAACACCTGGTAGAGGGAGTTGCCCGTGGTATAGGAGTTCACATAGTGAGTGCCCACTACGTCCATGAAACGCATGGCAGAGGTTAAGTTTCCTATCTCTAGCTGCTCTATCCGTGATCTCACATCGGGCTCCAGTTGCTGGTTCACCGGGATCTCGGCATTTAGGCGACCAGTCTCTCGGAATCGCACCACTCGCACTAGGACGTAAGAGTAGTCCCCCTGGATGAACGAGGTGTTGATGCCCAGCTTCTTGGCCGCATTGTCTGGAAACCAGCCACCCGTGAATGCTTCCCAGGGCTTGTCCATCCGGTCGATGGTGAAGTCCCGAAAGTAGGCCTGGAACAATTGCCTACGATTCTCGCAGAACTCCATGTGGAAGTCGCCATGGAAGATGCCCGGCGTGGTGTCCTCGTGACTCTCCGCCAGGCCACTCAGGTTCTGCAAGAAGAATGGTAAAATTATAATTTTTACAATTTCAAATTCATTATGTTGACTTAGTAATATTTTAAAACTAGATTGGAAAAGCTCTCCAAATTAGAAATATATATTATAAGTTGGCTTCACTATAATCGATTTTAAACCCAATTGCAAACTGCAAGGGTATACAAACTTCGGCTACTCAAAGTCACCTTTCCTTATTGTTATAAATAAAATTTAATGGTTTAATAAGTGGTTTTTATGGAGCTTCAATTAAATTTGGTAGCTGAAGCTTTTAAACTTAATTGAAGCTAATTTACAAATGGTACTTGGTTTTACCATAATACCCCCAATTATAAATAAATAAATATTAAGCAAATGTTGCTTTATAACGTAATAAAAATAAATGTAATTGACAACAAAAAGCTTTCCCGCAACTAAAACCACAAATTACACGTTTTAAAAAATGCTTCAAGCTTGTCCAAAGGTTAAAACATCGAGAAATGCGATGCCCCTATAAAATTTCCATGTGTCAGTAAGTTAAATAATAGCTTTAAGTCAGGGAGCTTGAGCTCTGCTTAATGTATACTTTATAAATACTTAATGATTAATTGTTGACAATCTAAAACAAATGCTCTGAGATTTTGCTTATTAATAAAGACAGGCAGAAGCAGACTCACCCTGTAAATGTTCCTGGTGGGCTCTTTAAACACCCATCGCTCTGATTCAGCATTATCATTCAGAGGTATTACCCGCATCGATATGCTTAGGTATCCATAACGCAGGAATATATTGATGGCCTTGCCAATCCTCAGCTGGGATTCGCGACCTCCTCCGACCATCAGGAGCGCCAGCGTCAGCAGCCAAAAAAGGCTCTTCCGCGGGCTCATCGCTCAGCATGCAAGGTAAGTACTGTAAATGGGAATACAGGAGGTTAAAACAGAGGTTTTTCTATAAATATTTTTAGCTGAGAAAATAATAATAATAATAAATAATCAAAGTTCAGTTATTGAAGAAAAACCAAGCTTTGGGAATAATATATTCCAATAAATATGTTTTGCACATTCCTTTGCTAAAGTAAACAAAAATCTTCAACATTCATTTAAAGTTAATTTATTCTAGTGACTGGCTAAGTTGTTTTCAATTATAGTATTACGTAGGAATCGGTGACAAACTAGTTTTATGCTTTCTTAATATCAAAAAGTGCATTCTTTATTTCTTTCTCTGTTTGTTAATAGTATTATAAACTAAACTGCATACAAAATAGTTGCTAAACAGAGGGTTAACTACACAAGATAACTGGCCATAATTGCAGGGCCATCGTGTTTGCATTTCCACCCGACTATATACTATATATAAGCGAGGCGATAATGTTTGCGGGCTCTAATTGACCGTGAACCTTCAGTAGCGCTGAACTTGAACCGCCTGAGCTTGGTTCAGCTCCAAGTTCCGTGGAGTAGACCAGACCAGAGCAGAGTGGAGTTGAGTAGAGGCCACCTGTCAGCGATGAGCCGTGGCTCTGCTCCGATCGGAGTCACCTTAAGTGGCTGCAATTAGCCTCAGGCTACGTCTCGCGTCTCTCTGGCCATAAAAAAAATATATACAGCCACAAAGTAAAGCCATCAAAATTGGTTCGGCGGCAGCGAAACACATATTGCCGTTGGTTAGACTTGCAAATTATTTCCTAAAAACATTTTGCATGCCTCGTAACCGTTTTTTTTTCTTGTTGGCCCACTCGCTTCGGACGACCGGTTGTCCGTTAGCTGGCCAAGATTAAGCCGGATTATGGCCGGCGAGGAAGCAGCCGCCACCGTGGAGTACCAGAAATTGGCCCAAAGCGACCCATTCTTAATGTTTTTAATACCAGCAGTTATCAGCATCACGTCGACGTGTTTGACGGTCCAAAAAGCACAGAGGTTAGCCGGGTGTTAGCCGCGTTAGTGAGTCACACCTGTCGCGAGCAGTCAAGCGCAAACGGCAGCCGTCGAAAAACAGCCATGATGACACTCAAATTGTTAACAATTTACGTGAACCATAAAATCTAGGCGTCGCTTAACTTGCCCAAAACAAAAAATTAAACAAAAAAAAAAAACTATATGAAAATATCAGGAAGAATGACGGGAAAATTGCCCGTAATGGTATTACCCCTGAATGGAAATGGAACAAAGAAAAAAAATCTGTGGTGCCTCACGATTAAGTGTCTAATGTGCTTCCAGGAAATGCTTTCTTGATTGTACAGTTTATAAATATATATATAAATAAATATTCGCCAAGCGCCATTATCAGTGGTCAGAGCAGCGCGATTATCACACCAAGCTTGACCCCAAATGATGAACTTGTGAGATTGCAAAGGTTTATTTTTTAATGAGTTCTGCGGGGTAAATGCGATCGCGAAGGTTGAAACCTCCACAGCCACTTTGGGGTTTGTCAAATTCTATACTTAAAACCCCTAATGAGCTTATGGCTCCGTGAAAAATCACATAGAAACGTCGAAGTAACCGAAACTCGAGCTGAAGCTTTGAAAATCTGCGCGTCCCACTTGAATGGCATAAGTTATATGACATAATGATAGTTAGTTTTCGGTGGCGGGGGGTATTTACAATAGCGGACGCATAACCTTGTGCAAAAGACCCAAAATAAAGCCGCGAAGCCGCGAACCGGAGTTCGAGATGAAGAAGACGAATTGAATCAAAAATTCAATGCGCGCACTCGGACTCTGAGGCAAAGGCAACTAAAATCAACTCGGTCAACTGTGACTCCCTGTGCACTGAGAGAAAATTAAGCCAAGGGTTCTTACAAAGTATCTTTGAGATATATTTATATATTTAAATGGATTTAAAAATGAATTTTTTAAACTAAATTGATGAGAGAGTTTCTTCAAGGAAGAATTTTTCCATTAAAAAATATAGGAAAACAAACAAAGATAAATAAAGTATCCTTTTGTTAATAAAGTATCATTTTAAATAAATTTTAAAATAAATTTTCTGAATTAAATAATGTGAGAGTTATTCAAGGAAGTATTTGGCCACTAAAAAATATAAGAAAATAACATTAAGCTAAGGGTTCTTAAAAAGTATCTTTAGGGCAATAAAGTATTATTATTTTTATATATTTAAGTGTATTTTTAAATTCTTTTTTTGAACTAAATTAATAGGCAAGTTTTTCAAAATTTGTTAGAAAATGCTTTAAGGAAGTATTTTACCACTAAAATTATCAACTTTTTAATAATAAGGTGTCAATATTATTATCTCATTATTATTTTTCATGAATATCCTAAATCATATATGTTTAGTTACTCTTTAACTTTGTAGTCAACATATTATTGTTTAAATTTTTTTCGCTCATAGCTTGGTCATATTTTACCATATTTATCACTTTTTAAAATAACCAAAAAGGGTTTTAAAAACCATCACATTTTTCTGCCTGTATTTCACTGTGGTGAAGCTCAGTCAATTGGAGATTCTTTATGCGCATTTTATGTGCTCTTTTGTGGTCTGGGCCTGGAGTGAAGCCGGACGAAGGGCACCGGCACTGCCATCGCCACCGACTTGGGACATAAGGTCTGCAGTTTATATCGCGCTTAATTTTATGCTTGCTCCGTGTGCGTTGTTTCCTTGAGCGGTGTTAAACAAAAGTTGTCTTGAGTCGACCGACTGTCGCTGACGCTGAGGTGCCGCTGCTGCTGCTGCTGCTGCTATTTTTATTTTTTTCTTTGGTTATTACCTGACCGAGAACACAAAACGCGGATCGGAATTGACGTAACCAGCGGCCAGAAGCGACTCTTCAGCTGAAGAAGCTCAGGAGGCGGGAGGCGGAGACTAATCCGAACTCTAGAGTGGTTTGCCACTGGTTAGCCTTATCGCTCTGATACCCGGGGGCCATTGCACAAGGCGGGCTGGCTCACAGCTTATTGCTTGAGCGGCACATCGTTAAGTCGCCGCCGAGTCTTTACGGTTTTTTTTTTTTGTGGGTCAGGGGTCGAGATTCTACGCTTGGCGCCCTCGAGTGATAAGCAGCGGCTCTATCAATAGATCGGCCCAGACAGAGATATCGAATTACATTCGCGCGGGTTTCGGCAACAACACACAGAGCACACACACTAGATAGACAGACAGACGGACGGAGTGACAGTCGAGTCAAGTACCCAGTCACAGGCACAGACACTCTCGCGACGTGCCTTCAATTGCAATTAAAAAGCCGGAATCCGAATCCGAATGCGGCTCGGAGGCAGCACACAGCACTTACACTCCAAACGCGAGCAGCACAACTTCCAGAGCGCAGATTCAAAACCAAACTGACAACTGGCTACCAAAACTCGATCGCCGGAGAGAACCAGCCAGCGATCAGCAGCGAGCAGCGCACTATGGGGTCGAATACGATTTTTTGTGGGAAGACATATAAAACTTAAAAACTAATATATATTTTTTAAATCTATAAAATGACGAATATAATATTAATTTACTATATAGATTATACGTCTGAATAATAAATATAAATAAATAATAAAATTGTTGGAAAATGGAAGATGTTCTACCATTTCTCACAACCTATCAAAGTTTTGAACATTTGTCCCAGGCTTCAAAAAACTAAATGCAGGTCTCTGATTTAAAAACAAGAAAGAACCTCACTTAGGTTAGCCGAAGCTTGAAATTTGATCAAAAACCGAAATTAAAATCGATTATAACTTAGTAAAAATGCATTAATTTCAAATCGGAAAACATCTCTGTATTAGTTTTTATTAGATTAACAAATCTACATACTGAGCTTAATTTTTTTAAAAATTAAAATTTTTTGTAAATTTTTGAGAATTTTAACGATGTAACCCCTTATTAAATTTTGAAAAAATGGGTACAAATTTGTTTTCCTTCAGACATTGTCAGTCGACTTGCCTGTTAATGCTGATCATGAATATATATTATTTATAGGGTCGCAAATGACTCCTTCACTGTTTCGTAAGCTTCTGACTGAAATTATATACCTTGCAATATTTTTTTTACAGAAAATGTAACGTTTTATCCCATGGTGCAGCGGCAACAGCGATATATGCTGCACCACGCCTGCAACATGTTGCTAGAGTAAGTCGAGTACACGCTAACAAAATTAAAACAAGTTTTGTAGATCATTTCTGTGGGAAGTTATTAGATTCAAATGAGTTTTGCTACCTGCTGCAGAATAGAAAGGTAAATTATGCAAAAAGCAACATAAAAAAGTCAAGTTGGGAGGCTCTAATTATGTTAGGAGCGATAACAGGTTGAAATATCAGCGATCATAGATCAAAGATAATTTTAAAAGTGCATATTTATAACAAGGCTTGTATAAAAATACTTGAAACACTATTTAATATCTAAAATAAAATTTTTTTAATTAAGAAATAACGTATTCTAAGTTGTAATTAGGATTACAATTATGCAAGCGAAAACCATTTCAAATTAATCATTATCAAATAAGAATAGTAAAGGATATCTTACATCAACCCGAGATGACCTGAAAATATACTTAGATCAGCATTGCTAATCAATAATTCCTTGAAATTGTTAAAGGGTAATCGTTATTCTTTGCCGTGTACATGTTGCAGCGAAAGCAGCCACCGGCATTTGCAGTTCAATGACTGTCTGGCGGCGGCCAGCACGAGTTCTACTCCTCCAATCCAACGGTGATGTGATGGTTATGGTTAATGCTAATGCTAATGGCCTGGCACAAATATCTATGCTGACATCTGCTGCCGCTGGGGGGACAGCTTTTCCGCTTATTAATATTTCCCGGCACGTAGCAGCGTCGCTTCCACTTCCAACTTGTCCAGGGGGGGAAAGGGCTTGGAGCAGCTTGAAATGATTGCAGTTGGCCCGCTCGGCCAGGAGGCTTGCGCAAGACTTCAATAGAACCAAAGCAGACAGTGTTTTGTAATCAAAAACTTTTGGGACTACAGTCTAGAGCCAAAAAGAAATAATAACACAAAAAGTTTGGACAAAAACCGAAGAAAAAAAAAACGAAAGTATCAGATTCGCATTACCTTGAAAACATGCCAACAAATTTGGGTCAAGCTTTGAGCGCTTGAAGTTCGTGTATAATGTTTCAATTAGAAGCTTTCGGATATGACAAATGTATCTGTATCTGGTAGGTAGAGGTAGCCATGGCTGCAGGGCATCCGCTTGTCACATTGCCTTGACTCCCCAACCGGCTGTCCATCGAGCATTTCTTCGGAAGAATCGCCGCTGGCTTTCTAAGAACTCCGAAAGGTTTTGATTTTGAGTCGAGCGGACGTGTGGGGGGGGGAACTTCCGAAAATCATTGCAAAAGCTCAAGTTGAAATTGTATCTCTCGTATATTTCATTCTCTTGTTTGTTTTTTTGTTGTTGTGTTTTATATATAGAAGTTCTTTTTATTAATTTTGTTTCGGTTTCTGTGTGGGGTTTTTGCTTTGCTTTCTTTGCTGCTTGTATCATGATTCAAAACTTATGTATTTAAAATTCGGTATTTCAGTGTTTACTCGTTTTTATTTAATTCGCATTCCCGTTCTTCGTCTTTGTCGGTTTTTGTTGTTTCCTCTTTAATTTATTATTATTAATCCCATGTTTAAACTATGTATATATAATGCCATTTTTATCATTTAGTTTAAATGATATTTACTAACTCTCAGCGGCCCCAATCGAACGATGCGTTGGGTCTAGACCCCCCCGATCGTTCGATTCATTAATTTCATTTATTATTTTAATAACAATTCACTCAATTAGCTCAAATCGCGTCAATCTACACATATTGACATTTTGGAGATCATAAGCATTTTTCAACTCATCTTCACGATCATCGTCATCATCATCATCATCATTAACTTATGAAATTAGAGAAAAATTCTAATTCATGCATGTGTGCTTGTCTCTTCTCATTTCTTTCTTTCTTTTCTTTTTTCTTTTTATGTAATATCAACAATAAATTTTTACTTAATCTTAGTGTGAAATTATTCTTAGAGTACAGCTACAATTTGCTCGCATCGGCTAAGAAAAAAAGGATCAATTAAAAATACGAAAACGAAACGAAACGAATCCTTTGAAATCCTAGCTCATTCTTGGGATGCCCTTCGGTTCGGTTTTCCCCCTTCAACCTACTACATTCAATCCTATATATCCTGTCCTTCAATCGTTCCTAATCCATTGTTAATACCGTAAAATATTAGATTTTGATTTGAGCATTTCTCTCCTAATCATTTCTCCTTAATCATTTTTGGTGTTTTGCGGAGCCTCAAAATGTACATACATCCATCTCGTCGTCTCGTCTCCAGGTTGTTCCTTATAAGGTTTCCTCTCGCCTCGCTTTAAGGTATAATACTTAGTTAATTTGGCCACTCGGCTGTTTGGTTTGTGGTTGTGGGTAGGTAGTTAGTTCTTCAGTATTTTCTTCGGGTAGGTTCGGTTGTCACTGGGATACTTCTATGATTTTTGCATTGCCTGCTCCTGCTGTCCTGCTCAGAACCAAAAAGTTATAGCCCAGCGCCTAACGATAATACTCTATGCAAAATTGTTCAACCATTTTGAAACCATAGAATTGTTCTGGATATACGAGTGTGTGTGTGTGTCTTCTTCTCTTGTGGGTGTTGTGGGTGCGGTTGGGAAATTCAAGTGGGTCGTCGAGTGTGGGTTGCGGTTGGGCTTTGAGAGACTGCTGGAGAACCGTGGCACGTGTTTGTTTTTAATGCTAAGTTCGATATCAAGTGCAATCTCTATTCGATACGAGAAAATTCGCTTCTTTTTCCATCTCAGAAGCTCTAAATCAGGGAAGCTAAGTTGTGAAAAGGGTATCTAGGACGACAAAAGCGAAATTACTGAGCGCTGGATCCTTGATCTAGTTGCTTGATTGCTAAGACAGTCATTGTAAAGTATCTCGAAAATTTGAAGCTGCTGCTTTTGGGTGGTTACTGGGCCTGTGTGGGTGTACGATTCAAATTCAAATCAATTCAAAAGCGACTCAAGGATCTTTGGGTCATTCTTTCGTTAGTTTAGGTTCTCGTTTTTATTTCTTATTATTTTCTTTTTGGTTTTTGGTTTTGTTTTGGCTGTGGGTTAAAAGGAAGCGCTCCGCTATATTAATCTTATTGAACTGACTGATTTTCAATGTATCCAACCTGAGTTTGAGTTGTTCGAAAAATATATATATGTGTGTGTATACATATTTTCTCATTTTCCTACTTTCTTCTCTCCATTCTCCTTGCTGTTTTTTTTGTTATATATTTATACGTGTTGACCTGCCTCTTACACTCCGTTCCCTTTGCTAATTATTTTAATTCGTAATTGCAGTTAGTATGTGTGTTGTTTTTTGTTTTTGTGCTCACTCCATGTTTTTCCATTTGTTTACTTTGCTTTTGCTTGAATTAAACGCTGCTGCAATTATTATTATTGGTTTTTCTTTACTTCTTACTTTTTTTTTGTTTATTATGTTTGATTGCATTTTTTTGGTTGTGTGTGTGTGTCTTACTCATTTCCCATTGAATTCAATTAAACGTCAACAATTTGGTATTTTGTTATTATTATATATGGTTTTTCTTTTACCTCCGTGTGTGTGTGTGTGTGTGGTGTAATTAATTTCTTTTTTTGGTTTTGCATTTGCATTTGCTGTTTTTTCTGTATTTTCGGTTTTCTGTTACCTTTTTCGTTATGTTTATTGCATTTAAAACGTGCACTTTGCGACCTTACCACTGTCTTTACTCGATCTTCCTCCGTGTGTAATTAATTAGTTCTTACTTGGCTTGAAACACTTGAAATTGCTCACATCATAATTCGCTTATTACCTTCTGCTCTCCGTGTTCGTTCTGGTTGTATGTATGTCTCCGCGTGTCTATGTTTAATTATATTTAATTACGTAGTTTTCTCTATAATTTACTAACTCGTTCAACGCCCCCCGCCCCCTGCTCACCAGACTTTTGCCGTAAATAATCGCTGAGTAAAAATAATTTTGGAGTGCCTTTTGGTCTCCAGTTAACTTAGACACTAACAAGTGCAAGATTTACATAAGCGTTTAATGCTGTTCTCTTCTGACTAAATGCTGAACAAAAACAAAGACAACAAAACAATGATAATACTTAAAGAATAACAAAACTGAACATGGAATGGCTTAAAACAGAGAATACGTTAAAATAATACCAATAAACGTAGGGCTAAAACACACGAAAAGGAGGCAATACAATTGGTTGTTTGACAATTAACACTTCTTTGCGACCGCAGTTCCCATAATACCCTTTTACACTTAAATTATATAGCTCGGCGCCTGGCGCCTTCTATTCATAATCCGATCTTGCGATCCATCCTCACTGTGTCCTCTCTTAGTGGTTGCTTTTACTGTTGCTTCTGTTGCTGTTGTTTGTGCCTTGGTAATACTTTAATGGTGTGTGTGTTGTGGTGTGGTTGGTGATGTGTTTCTTGCTTCCGCTTCCGCTTCAGTAGAGCGCCACATTGGAGGCCTGTGTGTAGGCATCCCACTCGCAGTCACAGCCCTCGAGGCAGTCGGGGCATTCCAGCTCACTGTCTTGTCAGTAGAGCCAGGACACGGGCACCCACTGCGGGGTGGTGTGCACCCGCTCGATGGCCGTCTCCAGCGTGGCAATCGTCTCGCTGATGTCGTTGTTCACAATCGTCAAATCGAAGAAGTGCCCATACAGCTGGCGCAGCATCTCCGACTCCTTGGCCAGCCGCTCCAGGCTGCCGTCGTACTGTCAAAGAAAGCAATTAGAATGGTTTCTAATATATCCATTGTATTTACAGTTTCTTACATCCGCAATATTCTGCAGCGAGGGGGCCGCTATAAAGACGACATAGGGCGTGAACTCGGCGGTGCGCAGAATCTTTAGCGCCTGCGGCTCCACATCCAATATGGCCATCTTTCCCTCGGTGTGTATGCGCCGAATGGTGTCCAACTTGGTGCCGTACATCGCGTCCTCATGAGTGCCTTTTAGGGATTTGGAAGGGGTTTTTAAGTTTACTAGGAATAGTAAGTTAAATTGGGAAACTTACCATATTCCAAGTACTCATTCGCACCGATGTCCGCCATCATTTCGTCGTGCGAGACAAAGTAATAGCTGCGTCCGTTCTCCTCCTCGGGTTTGGCAGGTCTCGTTGTATCTGGAGAGGAGAGGAAGAGGAAAGGAATTAGCAGACATTCTTTACCTATACTCCTCATTATTTATATTTCGAAATATGTCAAGGACCTTAACATCCTCTAAAAACTTCCAAGAAACCAGGTTAGTCATAAATTTTGAAGCTATAATTCGCTGTCAATGGTTGATAAATCAATTGAGGAATTTAAAAGGGAAAGCTGACAGTATAAAGTGCCACGTTTATAAGTTAAAAATGTATTTTCTAAAAGAAAATAATGGCTTATTCTCATATTTTGCAGAATATTTATGATGATTCAAGTTTTATGGGAAACAAAATGGATATAACGATTTATGCATCATTAAACCAAGTAATTGAGTGATGATTTTTCGTTTTAAAGAGCCAAAAATATCTTCTAAATATACTTAAGCAAATATTCTAACGATTTTATTTAGTTTTGAAACTTACGAGGAATGGGATAGGCGTACTTGTCGGGATACTTTGATATCAAGGTGTTCTTGATGTGCCGCCTGCCCACCCCATGAGCACCCAATAGCACCAATGTCTTTCTCTGGAAGTTTGGATCACCAACTGCAAAAGAAAGAAAGTATACAAACGAATTGTAAACATAAACAAGCTTCACGTCCTGGCTGGCTGGTGAACCCACCTGGCACCTTGACAACCTCCTCGTACGTGACCACATCGAGCGTGTCGAAGATGGCGTTATGCTTGGCCAGGTATTTGTCCCGGCATTGCTTCTTCTTGCGCCCGAAGATGGAGCAGTTAACTGTTGGTTATAATGTAAGGCCAAATATTATTAAATTGTTTCATTTGGAGAGGCAGATTAGATATGTAGTAGAGCTGAGTAGGTTAAGAGCCGCATGCTTATAGAGCAGACACAAACATGCTGTAGAGCAGGCATTAGAGATAAAATCGAGCACAAAGCAAGCACGATTCTGCTTATTGGATGAGTTTATGATAAATCCTTTTAGATGATTGATACAACAATGGTCCTGAATAAATAAATTTCCTTTTGGCTCCGGATTCCTGCCTGTCCTAGGCCTTCAAATAAATTGAATATGCGGTGTGTTCTTTAAGCCAGCCTAACGTGCAAAGGTGTAAAGGGTGTGTGTTTCTGTGTTTGTGAGTATTTTCTGGGAGCTAACTAAGTCTCTCAAAGAGTGAGTTTTGGGGTTTATAAGCGGGGTTTAATACTGGGGGTACTGTAAGGTACAACTAAAGGAAATAAGTAATAAGATGCGTGACTACCGACTCTTTCTTTTAAATAAAATTTATTTAGAGGCTCAATCTAGCTTAAGAATTTGTTTTGCCGTTACACATCTTATTATTATATTGTCTTTGGTACAACTTTGTCTGAGGTGCATCTACAACTTCGTGGCGTATGGCGTACGTGATCATGAGAGGTGGTTCTACTCGTTTCCTTGGGGGGCTGAGTGGTGTTGGTTCATTGGTGGTGCCGTCTACGAAAAGCTACAACTTTGGAACTTGGGTGGGTGTCAGGGTTTGGATATGGATAAGGGGTTAAGGGATATGGAACTGAATTCTTTATACAACTTTATGCTATCGATAGAAATTCTGCTGTTTAGTGTGGCATTGTTTGTGGCATAACAGGAACTCAAGAAGAAACGTTTAAAAGACGAGTCTTGGCAGGTCTCCTTGTGGAGATTCCTTTGGATTTTGTGGTGTAGAGTGGTGTGTGTTGGTGGGTTTTTTTGTTTGGTTATATGGTAACTACCTGCTGATCCATCACACCCATCTGCGTGAGCGGAACATCCAGCACCCGGTTCTCCTGCATTATATATTATCATACATACACAGTTTATAGCGATTTCTTGGTTTCGGTTATTGGTTATTGGTTTTCGAGATGCGAGAATCATGGTTAGCAACTAAGTTATAAGAGATTTGTACAGGTGTGCGAGAGGGGGGAAATTGGAGGTTGAGTCTTGGTTTGTTTAGCTTGAAATTTGGCAGCGTTTTGGTGGCTTTCACTTTTCCCTTCTTGTTTTTTTTTTTATTGGGTTAATTTGAAAAGGTATTCCTTTGACTACTTTTTGGGGCATGCAACTCTCTGGGTGTTGAGTGTACAGATGTGGGTGTCATTGGGTGTTGTGTGTGTTGTGGGTGTTTAAAAGAGACGTAGAGAGAGAGCAGATAGAGAGTGGGCGCGCTTTCCCCTATTTTCTTTCGAGTAACTACGAGTTCGTCATACACTTCCAATATAAGTACAATTATTCATATAGCATACGATTGGTTTGATTATATCGAGCATCCAATTACACATAGAGAACACGGATAGGTTTTGCTTCGAGACGCCTGCCAATGCCTCTACCCCGGTACTCACCCTGCTCCTGCTTGGTCTTGTCTACCGTCTGGCAGGCAATCCGCCACTCCTGCAGCTCCGGCGACGGTATCAGTCCCGCCGAACCGCCCACCGTGTCCAGTCGCGCCTGCCACCAGTGATGGTCATCCTTGCTAATTATCTGCGCGGGTAACAAATATAATTAATTATACGATTCCTATCGCCATCGGTTGTACTCTCTGCATACCTGCAGTATGTCGCCCACTTGGAACGATATGCCCGCCTGGGCGCAGGGTATAAGCTCATCATCCAGCGGATTATAATCGAATTGTGCGCGCACGAAAATCTGCGGAAAAAGAAGAGCAGGAAAAAATAGTAGAAACTCTGTTGAAATCTGCAAATAGTTTTGCTTGTCGGTCGATGATTTGGTTTTCCTTTTCCGTATTCATTTACTATCTTTTTTTTTGTATTTTGTATTTCTGCGCTATTTTCTGCTGAGACTGCAACTGAGTGGCGGCAGCCTCAGCAAAATGGGTTTCGGCTTACCGAATTATATGCGAAACTCATTTGCATGTCAAAAGCAGATACAGAAAACAACAAATTCTGTTACAGCCAGCAACTGTGGCAAGCAGATGAGGTTAAAAATTAGATACTCTAAGAGATTTATATGCTATTAGCAGGGATTTAAGGCAGTTTAATTAATATTTAAGGATATATATTATATTATATTTGATTTAAGGCATTTAAAGGGTTTACAAGAAGAGATTTCTTGGGGCTTAGCTGCTTTTTATGAGAAAAGCTTGTTTTTTTAGGAATTAAATTTAAAAAGTGAAAGATTTTAATATTTTAAAATGTTGTTTGTAAATTTAATAAGAAGAAATGTCTATTCCTGAGCTGCTTTTTATAAGAAAGCATTAAAGCAAAAGCATTAAAAGAAAAGCAACATTATAGTATGGAATTTTAAAAGGGCAATCATAGAGGTTTTAATACTTTAAAATGTAAAATTGTATTTTTATTTATTTATATTTAATTATTTCTTGTAAAATATTAAATCTACTTTAATTTTGGTATATTTCAGAGCACTGTTAACCATTTATGTAACATTTAATTAAACTTTTCTAACAGCTTTTACCACAAACATACTTTGTACGCCTGCATCACACTTGATTGTAATGGAAATTGTTTATTAAATTACAACTTTTAGACAAATTAAGAGACTACAACTAATCCGTTTCATTGTCTCTCTTTTTTGCCAAACAAAAAAATAAATGCTCAAATATATAAAGTGCAAATATTAATTCAGAAAACGTTTGTTGAGGTTTTAGCTTTTTGTGTAAATTAGGATTTGGCCATGTGTTGCAAACTTTGGCTCATAATTGTAGCAAGCTCGCATCCTGTGCCTGCCACATCGCTGCTGCTGGTAACTGATGAACATAAATTAGACAAATTTACGGCTCCTGTGCGGGCTGTGAGCTATGAGCTATGAGCTGTGCCTTTTGACTGCTCTGACGGTTAATGAATATGCACATCTACTGCCTGTTGTTGGGTGAGTTCGAGTAAAAGTAATTTCGAGCCAGGATGTGTGTGGTGTGTGGTGTGCGGTGTGTGTGCGTGATTACGTGTCTATTGTTAGGGGGGATATACTTACAAGCACTGGAGCGGGTCTGATCCTGAAAAGCTGCATGGTGGCATGAGTGGAAGGAAGAGAGAGGACGCAACGGAAGGAAGGAACAGATTGAGAGAGAGAGAGTGTGTGGAGTTATGTTAATGCACTGCGAAATAATTGCATAATGGATTATAGCTACAACTGCAGGATGCCTCTTCCCTCAGATACATATGAGCCTGCCCATAAATATTACATGTCTGCCAACACAAACCCATTTCTTTCCGACCAAATATAATGTGCACAATGCACTCGTCTGACTGAGCTGAAAGCCGCTTTCGTTGGTGCCTCATTGTTTTGATTTTGATATGGAAATTGGGGGAGGAGCCCCCCTCCCCCTTATGGCCCTATAATTAATCCTCATTGATATTTTGATTTCGCCAAAATTGACAAACAAAGCGGGCGCATTCCAATTCATTGAACTTAATGACATAATACCAAAGGTAAGGTGCGTTTGGGAGGTTTCAGGAGAGCAATTTAGATAGGGATTAGAGGGGCTTAAGTGTTGTCTATGTGAGGGATAATATATATTTGGAATCATTATGCACGACAGGAGATTTAATTAGCAATTAGGGATATTATTATTTTTATAGAGAAGAATATATCATATACTTTTTTGTAAAGAAACTGTCTCTAAGTTCTAGTTAAGCTATCTTTTCTTAAGGCAACCCCATCTAGTTTTGACCATAGAAGCATATTCTATATTTTATTATAAGGAAACAGTCTTAAGTATACATATGTATGGCTGTAACAGCATTTTTCTGCCTTTCTCTCACTTAAATATACAACAACCCAATCTCAATTTCCTTTCTTCAACAAATATTCCTAATAAACCCAAAACCTAACATATTTCTGGGCTCTCAACTTGGCTTACAAATTAGTGGCCATTAATTCCAGCAGAACAGTAATTGAATGGACTGCATAACTCATATGAAATGGGCAGGACAAGGCCATGGTTAGTATATTATTTTCTGTGTGATAAGTAGGGTGATTAGTCAGCCTTAAAGCAATCTATATACACACACAAACTAAGCCTAAAATGTAACTCAAGTTAAACTGGGATAAACTTACCTCGCAGGGGGGCGGAGCGCTGCGGTACGAAGGAACTATCTTGAAGGTAACAGAACCGCGTGCCTCGCGCTGCAACAAAAGGGATTAACGCAGGACACATTCAATTAGCAAAGGTGAACAAAGTCAGGGGGAGGTTTGGAGGTATAGAAGGGTATAGGATTTGGGATTGGTATTGAGGCCAGATTGATTGGCGGACTCACCAGCATTCGTTGCAATTGGCCAACCGACTGATGCTGCACCGGCTGGCCGTTGATCTCCCGTATCTCGTCGCCCACGTGCAGCGTGGCCTGGCGGTGAATCATACCGCCGTGCATAATCCTGGCCACAATGCAGCGTCCGTCCTCGGTCATCTTCAGCGTGATGCCCTGCAAAAGGGAGATTAGAGAAGGATGGGGTTTAGGCTGGTTGCTCTTAGGGCTGTTTTTCCCCATGCCAGCAACTTACCATGGGCTCGTCCGTGTTCTTTTGGAACTGCACCAATCGCACCCGGGTCACATGCTGCAGCTCACCGCCCTCGACATTGTCCAGCTCATCGCCGTTGAGGTACGGCACCATGGGGGGCGGGGTGACGCGCAGCGCCTCCTCCCCATAGACATCCCGGGCCACCACATCGTGGCTATGGAGCAGAGCCTAAAAGAAAAAAAACACAAATATGAATTACTTTTAAAATATCAAAAACAGAAGTGGTTAAAAAGTATAAACATAAAATATAATTCCAGCAATATTCCCCATTATTTATTTGATCATAAAAGTAGAAAAGCTCAACCCGTTTAGAATTGGTTTCTGCATTAAGCGGAAGTGAAATGTGTTGAAAGGGAAATAATTTTGATTTAAACACATGCTAGGCTTAGGCTAAGGGCTAGCCTAAATTATGGCCAGCAATTAAGCTGGCCGTTATGAGCTTGGACCTGGATCGGGACCAAAATGTGGTGGCCTGGGCTCGTTTGGCCGGGAAATTAAATTTCCGATTTGCCACGCCTGCCACATACATCATAAGCCGCCCGAAAAACGAGCCGACCGCAGGGCACAACTTGTTTACATTAACTGTGCGACATTTGTTGCTCCTGCCAAAAGGAAGCGGCATCACAACGACAAAAAAAAAAAGAAAAGAAAAACACACACAAACGAGCTGGATAAAAAACACATGGCTTGTTGGAGTGTGGAGAATGGAACGCCCATTTCCGAAAAGCCGTTAAAAGCGGCGACAGCCACAAACGAGGGCACGCACATGACCCCGTGACCCCATGGATAACCAGGGATAACCCAGCCACGACAAAAATCTCAACAATTTATGGGCGGCAGCCCGACTTTATACAATTTCGGTTTTAATAAATTATGTTTAATAACACTTTGAATATGTTGCGAAATTAATTTTTCCTGCCCTTGCCCTTTTTCCTCGAGCAATATCCTGGCGTAGGAATGCCGGTCGAAGGAAGGAGTGAGCGCTGCCAGGGTCCTCAGGCTGAAGCTGATGCTGATGCCAAGGCATTGGGCTAGGCCATAAAAAAGGATTTTACTGCGATGGCATGCCGTGACACTTGTGCCACTCACACGCACACACACACACACAGCCAGGATATACAGAGGCCAAATGCAGGATATACATGCTTACACTGATCAAAACAATATCAAGATGGCATATGTATGTATATGAATGCTGTAAAAGTCTTTTAAATATCTTAAAGGAGAGATCTCAATTTTAGATTGTTTTTTTTTTTTTTCAAGAGAAGGCCATTAAAAGGTTCATTTTAAAATATATTGACTCTTTGAGGTTTAAGGTATTGATTTTTAAAGGTAAACAAATGTTTTAAGAAACCTTTGCTTTAAGTTATGATATTTAAAACATTAGGTCTTTCGCTTGAATCGACAACGTTTTGGAGAATTAAGAATATTGGGAATTTTCAAATACAAAAAACTCTTTTTTCTATGTAAATTAAAACTGAAACCAAAGTATATTTCCAAATATTTCTAGAACTACATTAAACCCGTAAAAAATTTTAAGACTTTCAAAAAACCCCTAAAGTTAATGGCCTGCAATCTTGATCCGAGTGTACATTTACATATAGGTTAAGTACAGCTAACGCACCGCCAGCACTTTGGCTCAACACCTTTCTCCTCTCCACTTCTTCACCCTCAACTCCTGGTGAAACTACCCCATTGAGTTCATCCCCAAGCTCCTGGCACCGACTCATCCCCAATCCTTGGCCACAGCAGCAGCAGCAGCAGCCACAGCCACTGGCCCCATAAAAAACGCAATTTTCAACGCTGATGATTACTCAATGCCACAAATACGGGCACGTAGCACACTCCCACACTCACACACACACACAGCTACATCCCACACCTATACTCCTACACCCCTAGATCCAAACACACACACCCACACGCACAGGCACAGCAGCACGTTCCATTTCCGCCACAGACATTGCTGCTGACATCGACCGCAGAACAGAACTGAGCAGCAGCCAGCTCTCATTTCGCTCTCGCTGGCAGGCACAGCATTTCGCATTGCTCTCCGCAATTTTCCGCTTTTCCAGCGGGCTGCAACTACTATTCCGAGAGCTTTCCTTGCACACTCCACTCCACGGCATTCGGCACTCACCACTTTTGAGTGAATATCCGCAATGGCGTGTGCATAAATATTTCATAATACTTTCGAGGCATAACGTCGAGAGCAGAGCTGGTTATGAGGATGGGAGATGGGGGGAATCTCCCAACTCAGTTAGCTGTGTAAACAGGAATATGAGAATGATTGGGTGGATTGTGGACAGGGGGAACGAACGTTACCAGTTTGAGTTCTCCCAGTTCCGGAGTTCTCGGGGATTGACAGGTGGTAATCGAGTTTGGGGCTTATCGGGGAAACATCAATTCAATAATTTTTCGACGTGTTTGAATCGAGGGGGGGGCGAATCATTTTCGGGTATAGGAGGATAGGATATCACATTTAGTGCGCCTTGATTTGCGATTGCTATTGCGATTGGGAAATGGAAATACCAACGTGGAGCATCCTTGAGGATGGTCTTTTGATCCCGCTGTAAACATGGTAACCGATTTCATTCAATTTCGAGCCGTATCGAATGGGCAAGAAGAAAGGTAAACCTATACAATGGGCTTCTGTCTGTTTTAGAAAAAAAAGCGATAGCGGAAATCTTTGAAGAAATAAGAGAAAAGCACGCTTCAGGTATGAGAAAGTAAATAAAGAGAAAGTAATAAAAGAGTTTTTAATTTAAAAGCATTTTTACACAAATAAAGAAAGAAAAATCTATGAGAAATGTGGTTCTTATTAACCTAAACCTTAAAGTTAAAGTGATTTTTTTGATTTTAAGGTTTAGGAAAACCTTTTTTTTTATAACTTTGACAAGTTTTTAGTATAGATTTTTAACCTTAAAGTTAAAGAGGCTTTCTTTAGTTTACCAGCTTTAAAAAATTTTCAATATTTGTTTAGGCCCTTTAACTTACAGCCTGTGCTTTGCTTAAACATTTTCAAGGAATTAAGCCCTGTTTTCTCATCAATAATTCATCAAAGGACAACTGAGAAATCTGTAAATGTTTCCCTTAAACTCCAAAGAACTAATTTCATATGCTAATACCAAAATATTTTACTTTTCCAAGCCAGGAAATATAAATACCAAGAGCTTTTAGTCCAAATGAGTGACCCCTTTAATGGCCACTTCTGTGGGCCTGCTGCAAATCCTATTCCGTACTTGTCTGTCTGCAATTTATTATTGTATTTGGCCATTTCAGCGGAAGTTTGCAATCCAATTACACACAAAAACTTCCAACTACGCGTTAATGCGAGTTCGAAACACCAGCCCTCGCCCACAGTCACGCCCTGGCATCAGCAGCCGCAGCAGAATTTGACTAAATAAATGGATAATACAATTTCCTCGAGCCGAGCGAGAAACGAAATTAACTATGTACATCGAATAAAATTTGCTGAACTTGGCAACTATTCAAATGCGGCAGATGGGGGGCGGCTAAGATTTTTCCGGGGAAAAACCAAGCAGCAAAAAGGGACTCACGCCTGGTTACCAAGTGAACGATAAACAACGTAATCTGATTTCACTTAAAGCCCGTCGTTGTCGCCGTTACCGCCTCCAGGGCCACGCCCACTGACCACCAAATTGAGAGGGGCGAGGGCGGGAGGTCCATATTTAACACCAAGTTGTTGGACCAATAAAACGGTAAATTTAATAAGCGCTTGACAGGCGCAAAGTTGAGCAGTTAAGTTTAATGCCTCATTAGGCGCTCCGTTTCTGTGACATTGATAGCCAACGTGGCAAACTTTGGGCTTTAGCTTTGGTCCCAGCTTTGGCTTTGGCCCACACACACCCCCACACTAACCACATAGCACATCGTTCCCCTCTAGAGGCAGAGGGGGGGAGCATCTGCCTCTGATTTCCATGATTAATACTTAAGTGCTTGTTAAAGTTTTGCCCCGTGGCCAGAGTTTCCCTCAGCCCGGCTTATATGCAGATCTGCCCGTTTGTTTGCCGAGGTCCTGTCCTAAACAATCAGTATAACCCCATCTCTTCCCCGGCTTGTATCCGAGCCCCGAGCTCTATTTGTTTGCTGCTGAGGCAGCAGCCACATCAGAGTTGTACTGCTCCGGAAGCTGGACAGGGAAAACAGCATCGAGCAAAACACTCGGAGAAAATTCCCCTAAAAGAAAACCTTAGCTTTTATACTCTCTTTTGAAATCTTGAAAGCCCCGAAAGCTTTGCTTTTAAATAATTCAAGGTGGCAAAAAAAAAGTTAGCCATAAAGTTTGCACAAATCTTTGACAGGAAACAAAAGTTTGCCAAGAAAATCTGAAACTTAACAGCAAAGGTAAGGGTAAGTAGTAAATATAGAAGCAAGTTTTAAAAAACTAAAAATGGAATTGACTTGCAGTTAAATGCAGTTCTTGAGTTCAGGAATTAATAAGTGAGAATTTGAAGGGAAAAATGTAGTTTACTTCAAGATTAAAATTGAAAGCTAACAAGAAAAGGGCATTAGGTATATTTTTGAAAGTAAAAGAAAGTCTAAAACTTTAGTTAAAGAATTTATCTAAAATATTAAATTGTAGAGATAAACCCTTAAATATTAAATTCAAAAAAATATTCCCATTAACTTAAACCTTTTTCTGTGTTTTTTTTAATATAAAATCCCTTGAATAGTATAGAGTTTTTTTTTTTAGCTTTTTCCAAGCCAAGTGTCCATGCTGAGTCAGGTCCATTGTTGGCCCGGGAGTCTGTCCATCCCGTAGCTGGTCATTTTTCCAGCTTTATGCTAAGCCACTAACCTCCAACCACCAAAGGGGCAGGTCATTCTCCATCCCCTTCTCCTGCCCCACACCATGGCGTCCATCCAATATCCCGCCACCAGACCGCACGAACGTTATTTGTTGGTTTTAATAATTACACAGCATGGCCAAAACGAGGACGAGAATGGGTATAGGCATGGAACTATATCAGGTTCCTTCACCATGCCCACTCCCGCTCTTTTTTCGGACTGGTGTAGGTAAAAGGCGGCGCTACAGGATTTTCCTCTCCTTAATATTCCGGGCCACACGTCAATTACACACGTACACAAATGCGCGCGCGACTGCGAATGGCTTCCGTATCCATTTCAGTGGGCAAAAACCAGAG